CGTTTGTCTACTTTTTACACTGTAAAGCGTCAATCAGTAGCATTGGTGCATATTATATCTGTTGTTTCGGCCCCAATTCTACCACTGACACAATAAAAAATACGGTTATTTTGAGACAATTCAAGTCTACACACATCAGTACTTTAAGCGTAAGTGGGAGGCGTACGCATAGATTCGTATCCAAACACTCTGTTTTTCCGCCTTACAATACAAATTAAAATGTGTATTTGTTCGTTGCTTTTGTTATCACCCCTGTACAAACTGTTGCTACCCGTGTCAGTAAACTCGGTAATACATCATTGGCTTGAGACCGTGATCCGACAAACGATCAGGATCTAAGCAATTCTGCCAACCACCTTGCGTTTCTCGGGGAGCGTTCAACTTTTCTGGAGCATGCACATTTGCGCTTGTATATATTAAGTCTTCAGCCTTCAACTTTTCAGGAATTATTCAATATCAGTACATTAAAATGCGCCACGATTTGAGACGAACGAACATGTTGTTAAAGAAAAAAGATCCGGATAGCGACTGCCATCTCTCCTTCTTCTCGACCATCATCCTTGTAGTTTCGCAGCTCTATGAATCTATGCAGTCTATTCACAAGGGTGCTCTCGTATCTGGAAGAGCCACATACCTTTGTTTTACGCCGCCATTTCTGTGATTGCTTACACATGGGAATACAGTCGTAAGCGGAGGAGATGAGATGGCTCGGTTGTTGCGCGCTTAATACAATTTACTGATGAAGAATCATATATCCGTAAGTAAAATCACGCGTATAATAATATTATTGCATCGTTTACTCACACATTCTTTAACACCTCGTGCCACGCCAACTCTTACCAACAAAAGTAAGCTGACTGATGCAATTGGCAATTTGCATTGTATATGTGTATATGTGTATAGCACGATGTGCCACATAGATTATTCATGAGGTTACGCGACAGAGATAATGCGAGGATGATAACTAAAATGATAAAAGGGTCATTCTTCGCCTGTAAGAGCGAGGGAGAAGTGACGCAAGCTCAAACGCCATTGACAAGGTGGAATCCGTTTACGAAAGACGAATGGTCAAGAGAAAAGTGGTACTTTTTGAAACCGGAGAATAGCGGGAAAAAAGGCATCCTACTTGCGTTATAAAATATCGTATAAGCCCTTTTTAAACCAAGCTTTGGACAATGCGAATCCGCAGCAGTCAGTCAAGCTTGAAGTCAAGCGTGTTTCAATTGCTGCCGTTGGTGGTCATTTGTTTCAAACGGATCTTGCATCACAGAAAAGAAAAACACAGACGCAACCTCGTTTTTTAACTTTTAAGAACATTAGCAGGGTCCGTGCGTAGAGAGCACGGTGTCAAAGAGTTGCCACCGCTTTATATGCACTTGAAAAAGATCCTAAGTCTTAATCAGTACATTCACAAGGTCGATCAATACGCGAGAGATCTTTCTTTGTGATTTGGGATGGCATTACCCAACGATAGATTAAGTTTCCGTTATAATAATAGTCAAACATAGAAAGCTTCTCTTGTTGATTATTATCTTTTTGTCATTTTCTTATTGTATTTTAAAGAGAAACCCTCTTTACTAGGAAGTTCCAATAGAAAAAGAGGGGAAAAACTCCTGCTGTCTCTTTTTTCCAGGAAGACAACAAAACCTGATCGAAGACGCAGGTAGTGAATGGTCGCTACGCAATGAGAGACCTTCGCCATTCACTAGTGGCGCCCGTGCCGTGTGTGCCCACAACGTCAACTAAGCACAAAGATGCCTCAAGGTTGTTGTACTACGTTGGTGCAGCCCTAGGGCATGCTTCCAACAACCTTGCTACCATTGAAGCATCTTTCGGGTAGAATATATCCACCTCAACCTGGCTAATAGCTTTCCAAGTCAAGGATTCACACAACACTTTGCGCTTCATAAAGTTTGTGTAAATGGAACTGGAGAAGAAAAAAAATGGGAGGGGTGGGGGGTTTTTTGGTATTCTTATCCAGACAATTTTTTGCCGTCACGCTCGGGTCTTCAATGAAATCCATCATGTTGATTGGCTCTCATTTGTAAGGCTCTGGTTGGCTCATTTTATGGACCGCTTATATCATATGACGCAACTTGACCCAAAAGCAAAGGGAAGGCGAAGGAGATGTGTAAGTGATAGTCGTCGTGAAGAAGTCAAATACGCTACAGCAGCAGTGATCGACATGCTATGTATGTTTCACCATGCCGATGTACCCTCCGATACTGTCGCCGCTTATTTTGGAAAGAAGTGTCAGTGCACGCACCCGGCCTCCGCGTCAAATACAGGTATGTACAAGAAGTTTCGAATGCCAACAGGCTCATTGAGCACGTGAACTGCAAGAAGATCCTAAAAAAAAGAAAAGGTTTTAAGGAATGCGATAGAGCGGCGCGATTAGAAGTGACGAGAAAGAAAGACAGAATGCTGACTTTTTTAAGGAACAACCGAACGAGGGCGGCGTGAGTGCGACCTTCGAAGGAGCAACATAGACAGCAGTGCGCTTTCTAAATCTGAAACGAGCTGACAACAAAGCAAAGTGCGAAGTTGCTAATATAAAAAAACTATCATTAATGTTTTTGGGGACAACATATTTACAAGAAGTCAAAAGGATCCAACCAATATCTGCCAATCAATTCCCTGATTACTGTGTCCTCCCTAATGCGCTCATTCCAGTCCACGCATGCCACACCACCCTTTCAGCGTAGCAATTTTCTGCTGAGCATTATCAGCTTTTAAGCCGTTCTCGTTCGCGGAGGTGGTGATCTTTTCGGTACGGTTTTCTCCCTCAGCTAGCGACGGGAACCGTAGTTGTTTAATGCTGCTAAGGAGATGTAGCCTTTGTAGTGCGTCCACAGACAACGAAGCAGTTTGAGCCGCTGTGTTGAGTGACAGTACAACATATCGCAATCTTTAAAATATCGCTCAAAGACGTGTTGTTGTGAAAGCCAGGTCTGCTTTAGCATGGCCCGCCGATATGCGATATTCATAGAATGCGATGAAACGTCCAGCCTAAGAAACACCACAAAAATAGCTTTGAAGATAGATGGTTTGTCAGGAGCGCGAATCATGACTCTGGCTATTAGAGCCAATGGTTGTCCCACTTAATACATGTAAGGCTTTCAATCATATACCCACTGTCTTGATGTATTTTAGTTCGAATCCTTTAGACTTCGTATACATAATAACGTTGCCATATACAAATATTATTAATAAGACTTGAAGAGCTGTTAAATATCCGCCTTGGCATGTTCTGGGTCTACACGCTGTTGTTGTGTGCCTACTTGAGATGCATATATTCCTTCAAATGTGAACTAAGGTCTGCTTGTAAGTTGGATCCTCTTTGTTGTGCTGGCTTCAGACTTATAAAGATGCCATTTGAGCCCTATCTATCGAGTCCTCACCGTAATAAACAGGCCAAGAGTACAGTGGCTCAATTATCTTCCGCATAACCTGATTTCCTGTTGAACTGTGAAGTTCAAGATACTAGAAACTTTAAGAATTGCAGTTCCGTATAATAGCGGTGGTAAGGATTTTTGCTGTTACTCTTACACTGGGCTCAACACTATTACTGTACTTATGGAGTCCAAATAAACGTATATATGTCTGTCTTCTAGGTTTTTAAAAAGACATATAAGCGGTTTATATTCGAGTCATTTCCATAAGCACATACGTATTTACTACTTACCCACTGCTCTTTGTTCCAGCTAAATCATATATCAACTTGTTTCTGGCGGACTCTTTCTCATTTAATGCAGATATCCAAAAGTCTATGGTATTTTTCTTTTAAAAACAGGTAATCTACCTGCTGTTACGTACTGGCAATGTGGTGAGAGAGGAATGGATATCGTATATGCACACTTTCAAGTTGCGCTATCAGGAGAGAGCATAGTCATGGCAATGAAGAATACTTGTAAAATTGTATGAAATTTATACTTTATTATGCTACTCGAAGGTCCATAATAAAATGCACGACACGGTCATTATCTTTTAAAATAGCCACCATTGATTTAAAAGAAAAGTTGTATACTAAATTAATGGCGTGAATGGCAAAACTGAAAGGAAATATAATTTCCTTGCTATGATAAAGCATCAACTTGAGCACTACATGAAGAAGGGCAATGAAGACGGGTTAAATTTGTAAATGTAAGAAATTTTTTCATTAAGTTTCCTTATCTACCACAGCATCCCAACAAAGAGGGCATACTTACAAGTGTGCATTATTGTTTTACAATAGCCTCGCTTTATCCTTCTGCATTGTTCTATATAGTCAATGGGCAATGGCCTGATTTGGTGATGTCTTTATATTGTCCCGACGGCATATAAAGTCAAGCACAATGCGTACCGGGTAATTGCTCACTCTTTACGGGTTTTGCATCTCACGGGATATGCCTGTAGTTGTCAAGAAGCCTCAGCGAATTAAACAGCTAAATGTATACGTGTCCAGACTCTTGCCCTATTAAAAGATTTCAAAATACCAAATGTTTCGATTTTAATCTAACAATAGGTTGTGGGATTGTTATAGACAGCACTTATACTAATGAGCTAGTATTGTACATATACAGATGCTGCTGATCTGACGATAAAACTTACTTAATGAATACACTATATACTATGATGAGGAAGCGATAGAAGATAGCCGCCACCAGTAATATTTCGTTTGTACGCTTTATAGCGCAAGGGCATACTGTAACGCGTGAAACAAAAATATCAATAACATCAAAATGATAAAACAAGATAGTAACCGCGACAAAATGCGTTGCACCCAGAGCCGGTTTTCTTCTTGTTATCCATTGTACGCGCAAAACCCAGTATTTTTGGAGCAATATAAGTTGACCCAACAATTAGATAAAAGAAGCAGGTGCACCTTTTCTCTCTCTCTCGCATTATTTTTGTTCTTTTCTACCCCTCTACAACATCCTATCATCAGCAAAAGCAACAACATTATGCCTGTTCAACAACAAACCCAATCGAGCTATACGGACTATGGTTCACTTATCGAAATGCTTCAAGAACGTACGTCCCGCTATGGCGATAACGTTTGCATCCGTTATCAGACTATATCAGCTGCTGGCAACAACAATAACAACAGCAACAGTGACAGCGGCAACCAACCGCTCAATCTTGAAACGCTGACGTTCAGCCAAGTCGACAAGATTTCCACGTATCTTGCACACGAATGGGCACCCCAACTTGTCAATGTTTCGTGCGTTGGTTACATTTTCGATGATCCTGTTTGGTCCTTGCTGACCATTCTGGCGATCCTCAAGTTACGACGTACTGTTTTTCCAATCTCAACACGGAACTCGGAATCGGCAATCACTCATTTGTTGACCAAAACCCAAACCAAATACTTGATTACCACCGAGAAGTACGCTCAGATCGCTAAGAAATGTTGCAGTATTGCCGATGACAAAGTAAAAATCACTACCACTGCCACTGCCAGCAATAACAACAAGAATCGCGAAAGTACCATTGACGTAAAGTTTCTCCAGCCGTTTGATAAAGATCAAGTTCTACAGAAAGCATCATCAGTTGAACAGCGCTCCCTACCGCCGTCGTCACTGCAAGATTATCCGTTGCGTGATGGTCTGCTACTTCAGCAACAGAAAACGTCGACCAAAACAACGACAACAGGACATCACGATGATGTCATAGCAATCATCCACAGCTCGGGCACCACCTCGTTTCCCAAGCCGATCCATCTCAGCAACCGAATGCTTTTGTACATTGTTCTGGAACTACTGGGTCCACATCTTGCAAACGCAGACCAATTCTTTGGACCAGCAGACACCGTCATGCTGACGTTTCCCTTGTTTCACGGCCATGGGATCATGTCGCTTTTAATGATCATGTCATTGGGTGCAACAGCAATCATGTTCCCTCGCCTACCACCATTGGCGCGAGATGCCATTTCCGTTATCAACACCTATGGAGTTACCGTCATGACGGTTCCCCCCATCCAGCTTGAAGAGTTGGTTGCTTATATCAAAGAAAATGAGAGCTCTTCTGGCCAGCAGCAACAGAAAGCAAAAAGTGCTCTTATGTCGCGTCCTGATAGTACTGCCATTTCTGCTGTATACACCGCTCTAAAGCAGGTCAAATACTGTACATACGCTGGTGCACCGCTCCACATCAAGACCGGCGAATATTTGCATTCAAAAGGGCTCAACGTCCGCAACGCGTTTGGAGCATCAGGTTCGTAGAGATCACGTTAAGCATGTATTACAGTAGTAGTAGCACTTGGAGTATATTATCCCTTTAAATGAATAACACGGATTAACACTGATTGTTGATGGATTTTATTATCAATATTGATTATATTTAGAAATGGGATTCGTCGCAGGCCCGGATCTGTCGAGAAACGACAAGCATTGGCATCATATGAAGCCGCCGCGAGTGATTGCTCCTTACATTTTCTGGGAACCTCTTGACAAGGAATCCGATACCCGTCAGCTTGTCTTCACCGCCAACTATCCTGCACTTGCTAGTAATATCGCCAACAGGCCCAATGGCGATTATGCGACAGGAGATCTGTTCATTCAAGACCCGCCCAACACGGATACTTGGCGACACGTTGGACGACTTGACGACACGCTGGTGATGTATGTATGATATAGCCAATAATACAAAAGGAAGGAAAATGGGAGGAGCCATATCATTCAATCACTGTCGATTAAGAGCATTTGCTACTTTATAATAGGAAAAACGGCGAAAAGACCAACCCCGTTCCTATGGAAAATGAGATCAATAAGATTGATATTGTACAAAGCTCTACAGTCATTGGCGAAGGTAGAGAATGCACTGCTGTTTTAGTCGAGCTTGCTAAGGATCAGGCAGCCAAATATTCACCTGTGCAAATGATTTATGAAGGTAAACACACAGCAAAGCATCGCTCGTCTTATATGCTGCCCTTCAATCAATATTAATATAATTCAAAAACCTGGTATATTTTTTCATTCATTCTAGTTTACGAAGCTGTAAAACGAGCCAATGTCATGGCACCAAGTCACAGTACTATCGTTGTACCTCAAATGGTGTATATTCTGCCCTTGAACAAAAAGCTGCCAACTACTTTCAAGGGCACAATCATTCGGAAAAAGGCCATCGAACTCTTTCAGGAAGAGATCGACCAAATGTACGACACATTTCTTTACGGCACAGCAATTGACGAAACAACAGGACATATGGTCAGCAGTAACAACAGTACCCAAGATGACACCTGGTCGTTGACGACTGTAACGGCAAGCGGCAATAGCAATGGTCATACTAGCGACGTGGTATCGTTTCTATGCCAAGCAGCGGCACAAGTGCTCAACCGCCAACCAAACGAAATCGATGTCAATGTGTCTCTCTTCGACTACGGTCTCGACTCCCTTCGTGCTATCCAGTTACGAAACGAGATTGCTATGCGTTTTAAATCCGTATTGTCAGTGACCAATTTCTGTTTCGAGTACCCTACCATTGTATCTATGACTCAAGCGCTGGTCGTCCCAAGTGACCCTCTTCCCACTACCAGCTTCAAGCACGAGCAGCTTTCTCTTGAAGAAAACAGCAGCAGACAACAACAAGAGAAACGATACCAAGAAACACAAGCGATTTTCCATGACTACCTGGCTCAAGTCGAACACGACTTTCCTTTCAAAGCTACAAATACCATTGGCAACGGCAAAGCCCGCAAAAAGCAACGACAACAGCAGCACACCGTTCTCCTGACCGGTGCCACAGGATCTCTCGGTTCCTTTCTTCTCCATGCCATGATTCATTCATCTCGAATCAAAAAAATCTATTGTCTCATTCGTGGTGACGAGAGCAAAGTCGACCTGAGCGAGCGGCTTAATAAAGCGTTTCGAGACCGATGTATGGATCCAGCGCTGCTTACCAAGGGTAATAAGGTGCAAGTGCTGCCAATGGCTCTCAATGATCCAAGCCTTGGGTTAACCGAAGCACTGTATGCCAAACTGAAAAAGGAGGTGACCATTATTCAATGCTGTGGCTGGCTTCTTAACTTCAATCACCCTATTCAACACTACGAACGTGAATGTATACGTGGCTTATACAACCTAGTCAAGTTTGCCTATCGCAAGACAAATCCTATACATGTGCATGTCGTATCCAGTATCAGCGCAACTGCACGAACCCACAAAGTTTTGCAACGAAACGATCATGTTTATGGCGCTGTGCCCGAACTTCCATCCATCCAGGATCCGCATGTAGCTTTGCCAGTGGGATATGCTCAGTCCAAGTACATTGTCGAACAGCTCTTTGCATACCTGTCCGAGCACAAGAATATACCCTGCTTCGTCGAGCGTATGGGTCAGATCTACGGCGATACCAGAAACGGCATCTGGAACACAAGCGAGCACTATCCTTTGATGATGGTTGGTGGGGCCGCCATGAAAATGATGCCTGATCTCGGCCTGGACGTGGACTGGCTACCTGTGGACACGGCGGCGGCGAGCATTTTGGAAGTCATGTTGCACTCAATCGATCACTATCCCTACAAGAATACAAGAAGAATAATGTATCACATTATCAATCCAGAGCATGTCTCTTGGTCCAAGCTATTGGACGCCTTGCGCGAATGTGGTATCCAGTTCAATGTCGTCGATTCGGACGTATGGGTTGAAGAGCTACGCAAGCATCCAGACAATCCAGCTTACAGACTGATGTCGTACTTTGAAAACAATTGGGCAGCGAAAACAGCACTGCAGAAAAGAACGTTTCCGGGGTGGGAGACAAAGATGACGGCCAAGATTGCCCCTTCCTTAGCTCATGCACCGGTTTTTAGTTCTCAGTTGCTACAAAAGTGTCTTTTGTCGTGGAGAAACGCTGGCTTTTATGTGTAACTGTACAAGTATAAAAATCAAAATAAACAAAAGAAATTTGTACGATATAAATAAATCGATACAGAGCACCCGTATCAAAATGCTTGCCTTGTTAGCAGTGTTGGATTATTCACCGTGAATATTCGGAGAGCTAATAATCACGCCGTGAAAAAGTGAATAATGTATGTGAATATTCCAGCGTGAATAAACCTTCATCAATTGGAAATGCTTAAGGGAGAGCAAGAGAGAGAGAAAGCAAAGGCTCCAGAGTCCATTCATTGATTTGGCATGTATTACTCACGCGTGAATATGTTACATTCTCACTGTCCGTGAAGAATGGTCAACGTGAGTATTGCCAACACTGCTTGTTAGAGCTGAGCAGCAGCATATGTAGCAGCAGAACTTTTGTTCGGCGTTTAAGAAACTAGTTTACACAACAAAAGTGCACGGCTGTATTGTTACTAATACGTTGGCTAACAATACACATCTATTGTTATACTTGTATGTGCAGTAACCGAACAGATGTAACTGCTGTAAGATCCCTGCAGTACGTAACATGTACAAGTCCTATCTAAACTTTTTACCGCCTGAAAGGGTAAGTACTTGTCATTCGTCATGAATCCGAGAGAAGGCACTAAAAGCGGAGAGTCAAACCCAATTCCGCAGCTGTGTGGTGATAACGTCGATCGTCCAGATCCTGCAAACACCAAGTTTTTCTTTCTTTCTTTCTTCATTTAAACAATCTTAACGATGAGACTATACTCGATCTTGATTTTACAGAAAGTCCAAGACAAGGCACAGGTTCTTGCTTCGCAGTTCGATCTGTCTAGCTTTGGTTATTTCCAACGCAGCAGGTAAAATAGAAAGATTTCGCAATCTTGAATATATAGATGAGCTGTTTGCCCAAAAAGAATAAAAGGAAAGAAGGAAGGTATATTAACACAATGTGTGTTACCGGTGTCCATTGTTTTTACTCTAATTTTCAAGTGTACAGGAATTTATGAACTTCTCGTCTACAACGATTGCAGAACGTACCCCAACTGGTCAACGACAAAGTGTTGAGAGTGAAAGTAAGAGGACACAAGGACCATAGGATAACATTTGAGAAGGGAAAAGGGGGGGGGGGCTTCTCAGTTTGATTCTTATATGAATTCTTCATTTTTCGATGGAACAACATAAATGAACTAGATAACGTGGCGCACGTCTACGGTCATCCTCAAGGCATTTGGGGTATGGTTATCAGCGACAAGGAATACCCATCTAGAGTTGCGTTTGCGTTGTTAAACAAAATTTTGGATGAGTTCTTGGTCAAGTTTCCACGTGATAAATGGAACCCTCCACTGAGCTATCCCGAGCTTAATGATTATTTGAGCAAATATCAAGACCCAAAGCAGGCAGATACGATCATGCGAGTGCAGAATGAATTGGACGAGACAACGGCGATCTTGGTAAAAAAAAAAAAAAGGAAAAAGCAGGATACTTTCTTTTTGTGTGAACTTGGATGGGAAAAGTGAGGGTTGGTGATTTTGGAAGTGTGGATCGATGAATAGATGGATTATGTGATCTAATCGCTAGTTGCTGCTATTATGTATATAGCACAAAACCATTGAGTCGGTACTTCAGCGTGGAGAAAAGGTATAGTATCTATGATGGGATAAAATATATAATAAAAAGGTGGTATTAGATGTTCTTTAGAATGTGAGAAACTAATCCACTCTCGGTATTAGCTGGATTCTTTGGTGGACAGATCTGAGGCCTTGTCGAGCCAATCCAAGATGTTCTACAAGACTGCAAAGAAGACCAACTCCTGCTGTGTCGTAATGTAGAGACGTTTATCATTACCAAACAACAACTTTGTCCTTACATATTATCACTTGGTGTGTCGGCCACCCTCTCGCTCTTACACACGCTTCCTATCTCTCGTTCTCTCTCTCCTTCTGTGTTGTGGCGCTCGTCCCCTCTTATATTACTCTATATACACATTTCGAATCCTCTTTCCCCGAATAAACTGCTGTGATGGACCGAGGGAAATTTGATGTGATTGGAGGGCTAGCTCACGCAATTTCAGTAATCACACTAGTACATCACAACACCAGCAACATCATCACCGCCTCTAAACCATGTAATAATAAACCAACCATAGTGGAATATTAGAACATATACACTACCCCTCTTGCCCCCTTTTATACATTAAACAGTAGTAGACGATATCATTATAGAGTCAACAACCACCGAAATAAGGTGAGTGTTACACGTAAAAGCTTATTCAGAGCTGTCATTGGCTGCTTTAAGGATTTCTTATGAAGCCTTCTGATTGGCCAAAACGTAAGCCCAGGAACTTCCGCTGTGCGTAGTCCGCCCGCCATTTTTGGTTTTACGCAAAAACAACACCGCGCCTTGTACACTTCCTACTCTGGCTTCCCTTTTTTCAACAACGCAATGGACACGCAATGTTTCCAAACAGTAACTACGCAACAGCCCACTTTCGCTGCTTCTGCTTCTTCCACTACTATTGTGGTCGGTGACAATAGTAACAGTAGTAGCAGTAATGGTCATGACAGCAACGCTAAATTCCTGTCACGACAACAACAACAACAACAAGCAGCAGCAGCAACTTTGGCCTCCCGACTCGATCAGGATCTCGCTACGCTTGTAGCCGCTGGTAATCTCTCTGCTATTGAGGAACAGCTAGCAGACACTACTACATTGGATCCAGATCGAATGCAATCGGGTACTGGACTACGCCCACTACACTTTGCTGCTTCCAGGGGCTACTTGGACATTGTAACCTGCCTCATTGAGAAAGCTGGTGCAACTGTTGACGCCACGGACAAAGAAGGAGAGGTGGGAAGTCCATATACTTTTTCAAAATCAATAAAGACACGTTCTGTACGTAACATATCTAACACAAAGGTCATGCTCGCTGCTCGCTGAATACACATATATATTCTCTTGATAGACAGCACTGTTAAAAGCAGCATATGCAGGACATATGACTATTGTCGAATATCTGGTAATAAAAGCACAAGCAGACACGACTCATCAAGACAAGGATGGCTGGCGCGCCCTGCATAACGCATGTTCGCGAGGTCATTTGCCCATGGTCCAGTTTCTGGTGGAGTGTGGTGCGCCTGTCAATGCACGGAGTCGGATTGGAAATACTCCACTCAGTAAGTCCGCCCCCTTCTTACTTTATCATCATCCCAATTCTCCTATATACAGACAGGAGGCATTCTTAACCTTGCTCTCGTTGTAATACTTATAGTCAATGCTGCGTCTAAGGGGAACACCGCTGTGGTGGAATATTTGTTGAATGAAGCGGAGGCAGATCCATTACTGCACAATGAATTTGGTGAAACAGCGTATGATGCGGCAGCGGCTATTGGCAGCGTGTATTTATGCGAGTTATTGGAAGCAGCGGAGCGGGCTTGCTGGGTTGATCCTATTCGAGGTAGAGGTACATAACTCTAGAAAAAAAGAGAAACAAAGGTTGGGAAATATTTAGTAAACCGCTGTTGATTACAATGCATTTAATAGATGGCCCATATGATCCATTATCCATCCACGTTACAGTTCCTGTCTTGATCCACGAAAATCAACGAGCAGTGACCTCATTGTTAAGGGGTCTAGGCAAGCAACTACCCACATTCTCTTCATCAGCGCTAAGTAAAAATGACAGACGAAGTGCTTGGAGTCTATACCCGTCTGGGAAACCCACCACAAGGGGCCACGTCAAGCTACCGCCGTTGGACCGAAATGCGTCATGGTTCTGGCTGACGGATTGGACGGTTGACTATTCTCATCCAAAGTCGGACAACGAAGGATGGCAGTATGGGAAAAGCTTTGAGTATACGGATGACGAGGAATGGACAGCAGCGATTCCTACCAGCGGTGCAGGATGGGTGCGTAGACGACGTTGGATGCGTATCATGAAACGACGGGTGGATCATCAGCAGCAACAGCTGGAATCTGCAGCCGCCAGCGGCGGGCAAGTGATAATAGCAGGCGCACGAGAACAAGAAGTACAAACAGGTGAAAGCAACAGTTTAATGGGTGGTACTACAACAACAACAGACCAAGGTATTAAAAAGAATGGGCGCTCGTGAAACAGTTATAGTTTGAATGATATGCTTATCAGATCTTAACCTTAATAGGAGGACACGACCATTTAAGACTAGTGGAACGACAGGAACAGGCATCTGGCAGCAGCCACACGAGTAACAACAACAGTGGCAGCAGCAGCAACAGCACGGTGGGCATGAGCTTGACCAAGGCCCAGTCGGTGTTTGTGGGGTGTACAACACATGTTCAGTCGGTTGAAACAGCAGCAGCAGCAGCAGCAGGAGCAGGAGCAACAGAACCGGAGCCTTCACCGCGACAGTCGTCTTTAGAACTGACACGAGCAAGTGTACGGTCGTCGATCGCTTCTTCACATTCTTGCCATGTTCAGCCCCACTATTACCATCACCACCACCACCATCGACCGACGTATGTATGGGAGCGTAACGAACAAGCAGCCGAATGTCGACGGTGTGGAAGATGGTTCAACCTGCTTGTCCGTCGCCACCATTGCAGGTTCGGATATATTTTCTAAAGGATTTTTACGGGATGGGAAAAAACAGCAACAGGCGATGGCACAGAGTTGGACTTTTTGTTTATTCCTCGTTGCATAACATCAACAACACCAGACGGTGTGGACTCGTTGTTTGTGACAAGTGTAGCACCAAGCGTTCGATGCTTCCGTTTTCACATAGTGTGGTGGACCCGGCAGTGCCTTTAGAACAACACTATTTGGTGTCACTCCAGCCGCAGCGGGTATGCGACGGATGTTTCGACGAGCTGTCACGACCACGAGCAGCCACAGGAGGCATACTGCTCAGCAGACAGCATAGTAGGACCAACAGCATCATCATCAACACTATGAATAACAATAACAATGGCAGCAGCAGCAGCAGCAGCAGCAACAACAACAACAACAACACCAGCCGGCCGAGCAGCATGCTGATGCGACGCACACCGAGTGCTCAGAGTGTGATGATGGAATGTCCTGTCTGTGGGGCAGACCTTGAGGAGTACGGTAGCACAAGCGAGCAAGAAGTGCATGTGCGAACATGTCTAAATGCAAACACGCCTGCAGCATTGTCTGGGATCCGATATGTGGGTAAGTACTTGTGATGAATAGCCAAAGACAACGACGGTATATACATTCTGACTTGTTTGGTTGAGTTTACAAGCTCCCGTCCAATTCGGCTTTGGTGGGCCAAGAGTGCGTCATTTGTCTGGAGGAGTATGTTGAAGGTACGCTATCATTGCTGCTGCTGCTGCTGCTGCTGCTGCTGCTTCGCTGTAAGGTCATCACGAGACAACTGATATGGTGATGACGGTGTACGCTGTATAGGTAACACAATGGCAAGGTTAAACTGCCTTTGCACTTTCCACCATGGCTGCATACACAGTTGGTTTGCAAAGGGCAAGGAGTGTCCTCTGCATTCTCAGTGAACCCACCACCCTTTTTGCCTCTCCACCCCACATCCTCGTCATCGCCATTCGTCAACCATGCCCAAAAGAAACGTTTCGCATCCGATGTGTGGGCTGGACTCTTCCCCCCCCCTTTAGCCAGTGTGTATTGCCTGAGGAGGTGTGGAGTGGGGTGAGTTTGTTAAAGAAAGACGGAGGAGGGTGGGGGGGGGGTAAGGCTGTTTTAGGGAAATGGGGTGAGCAGTTTAGTCCCACCCACCCCACTCTCACTCTCACACACACACACACTCGCAACGAGGCGAATTAGACGCACCGTGCAATTTCTCTCTCCTTCTTCCTCTTTCTTTTTCTCTTTTCTTCCCTCTTTCTCTCTCTCACTTTTTCTTTCTATTTCTTGTATCATACCCTGTTTCCCACTTCTTCTTCTTCTTCTTCTTTCATTGCGCATAATGGTCGCCATCAAGTGCTAGATTCCCTCGACCAGCCCCGACACTCCCACTCATATGCATTCTTCTCTCTTACTCTTTTCTCTTTCTTCTGCCTCTTTTTCTAAATCAAACAACCCCAAAACACCATGCTTGTATATTACTGTGACACACTGAACATCAACAACAACAACAACAACACCATCATCATCATCAACTGCAACACTCCTATTGTCGAGACTTGAACAAGAACCCATCAACCAAAACCCAAACTCAAACAGGGAACCGCTCAAAACTCTCCGTTTATCTCCTAATCTTTATTCTTATCCTTACTTCTCCAAAGAAGAACAACAACAACAACCCCGTAAAAAAACCAATCGCACGCTTCAGCATCACCAACACCCCATTATCATCGAACCAAAGAAGAATCAACTTCCTTGTCAGCAGCCCCCCCCACACACACACCCCCTCCCGGGTACTCCAAATCCACCCCCACCTCCTCACCACACACACACACACACCCACACCCACTGATAACCCACCGCACAGTTTAAACGCACGCCCCGGATGGCTGTTACACAAGACGATTACTGGACTCAGGTGTCCACGTCCATGATTGACAAGGTCATCGATACCACCACCAAGGAGAACAACCGTTATCAGATCCTCGAAGAGCTCGGACGCGGCTCCTACGGCTGTCTCTTCCTGGGCCAGTCGCTCCTCGACAACGCGTACGTCGCCATCAAGGTCCTGTGCAAGACCGGCCTGGATCACCAACAGCTCGAGCTCCAGCAACTCGAGATTGATATCCAACAGACGCTCAAGCACACACATTTGTTGACACTGCACGGCACTGTGCAGGACAAGGACTACATCTACATGGTCATGGAACTCTGCGATCAAGGGGACCTGTTTGACTTTGTCGTGCGTAGCAAGAACAACAGACAAGAAGACCTCGTCGTCCACACCTTTTCGCAGATCCTCGAAGCCGTCGACTACATGCACTCCCGCTCAGTCTACCATCGCGACATTAAGCTGGAAAACATCTTGCTCAAGACATCCGACTTGGACGAATCGCTCGTTGAATGCAAAGTCGCTGACTTTGGCTTGGCTACACGGGAACGCTTCAACATGGAGTTTGGCTGCGGATCCACGTCTTATCTCGCGCCCGAACACTTTGACGACGAAGAAAACAACGATGCCATGGATCTCACGATCATCAACAACGGCGGCAACAACCACTATGATTGCGAAGAGCAGTTGTTGGCGTATGATGCTGCTGCCTCTGATATCTGGAGCCTGGGCATCTTGCTGCTCGCCCTTTTGTTTGGTCGAAATCCGTGGGAGGAAGCCACCACCATGGACGTCGCCTATCGTGAGTTCAAACGCGACCCAACTGTATTGAAGCACCAGCTGTTCCCCACGCTTTCCACCGGCTGCTATCGTCTGCTCAAATCCGTCCTGTCACCCAACCCGGCCAACCGACCCAGCATCACCGAAATGAAGCACCAGTTCCAGGCTCTGGATCGACTGCTCGTCGACGAGCACTGCGAGGAAGATACTGCCGCCACGTCCATCCAAGACAACGACGACGATTACTATTGCTGGCCAGTCGATATTCCCACCACCACCACCACCACCTCCACCACTTGTGTTTCCACTGCTGCCGCTGTCGCCGCTGGCAAAAAGTCCGACAAGGTTAGCTTCGACTCGGCTATCTTTAGTGGTACTTATCGTGCTGGTTCCGGGGAATCCTGGTCGGATATGGTTGAAGAGGAACAAGACGAGCACTATGATATGATGTCTGCATCCACTCTGTCGTCGTGCTCCTCTTCTTCTTCTTCTTCTGCTGCTGCTGCCGGCGAATCTTCACTGGCATCGTCAACATCGGCATCGTCCATGGAGCAAGAGGACGACGACACAGACATGTTTATCCACACTCAAGAAAAAGGATCGTGGTGGCTCTGAAAAGGATCGTTTCTGTCTTTTCCTTTCTGCTGCCAAGTCTCTCTCACATAGCACCACGCCACATCCCATTATTTGCATAACACTCTCATTCACACACACACACTCTCTCTCGCGCTCTCCCTTGTGGTTCACTTCTGTTTGTTCCTATGCCCCCACCAACACCCACCCCCCTCTTTTTATTTCGTTTCTTTGTGTGAATGAAAAATAAAAGAATTAGCACCAATCGTTATTTCTGTCTGTTATTGCTTGTATGCAATAAAAGGAAATTGGTAGTTTCTAAGGTTGTTTATTAATTCGCTTTCTTGTAATTTTGGTTGGTGAAATTAACCACTATGTATCGTACTACATATGCGGTATGTGTGTGTCACACCCTGTGCTTATTCCTCCCTCCCCTCCCCTCCGCCCATACGTCGATCTCCTAATTCGTGCTTTCCGATTTACCCATCCAATAACAGCTTGTAACCCTTCGTATGGTTCCCAACGAGAAGAGGGATCAGTCTACAGTATGATACGTAGCTTATGGGAAAATGCATGACTCTTGGATCTACCCACCTCTAGCAGGATGACCGTGGGGGGGGGGGAGGGGTACCCATGTCTTGCGCACCGATTATTTCTGCTTTTTTCATCACTTGTTGCTGCTAGGTCCTTTTTCTGATTTGGGTTAAGCGACAGACAGAGAGGTTGCCTTATTTGCCCACAAAGTCATTCAGTGGTTACAAGCATCCTTGCTACCTATCAGGTGCAAATTGTTCTGTTATGTACCTTATCACTTTCAACATGAATGTTATTATACGAGGCTCATGTAGCATTGACGGTGATCATACAACAAAACAAGAAGGCTTAATGGCAGATGGATCACTCAAGGTCGGGCCCTTGTGCTATTCACATTATGACAGAGCTCATAGTTTGGCTGTCGTGATCAAGGTCATTGATGCCTCTTGTTGTTGGAGGGGGGGGAAGAGGGGCCGATGATAAAAAAAAAAAAAAGAGAGTTTCTAATTTTGGAATTGACGCCGAATGCTTTCTAAGAAACAATGAATACTTTTGTTTGTTGCTTAAAGGATACATACTGTAAATCAGCTACATGATGGACCCAAAGGGTCTTCCTTGTATGCATGTGTGTACTCCAAAGACAAGGACTATGCGCTCATTGTTTGCATTGTTGGCGTGGACGAGCCATTGACAGTCGTGACATGTGTCTCCAAATGACACGTCCTTTAACATTAAACGTCAGGAGTGGGCCTCGGGTTTAGTTGAGAAGAATTTTCAATCAACCAGCCCCTCTCCCCACCTCAGCCACAACATGAACAAGAACGAGTGTAATTGGAGTCCTACTTTGAGACTTTATTATCTTGGATCGTATGCAATATTTCTTTGTCGATGTGCTGCATATTTCTAAAGCAACTTTTATTACATATAATCTAGTTGCATTTTTAAATGTATTATCATGATGTCTGCTTAATTGCCATCATCCCTTCCCCTAAAAATGGGTCTACATACTCCTATTTCGAATGGGTTATATGTGGCCACCATATTGCACACAAACATCAAAGTGAAGCTACTAGCAACAGCAAATATGAGTTCCTGACGAGTACATAGCAGTGGTACTGTCTTTCTTTCTTTTCTCCAACATCCACTGGAAAGAGAATACGGTATGATACACTAAAAGCGGCAAATAGAATCATAAGTGTTGAGTTATATCATACCCACGTGTATCAAAGATCAAGTTCTGACTACATATTGCGACCACAGCCAAAAGAAGGGTTTACCGCGTTTACAAAGTGGTGGCTTCTAACTGATAATACGGCTACATGTCACGAGCCTCGACCATCATGCTGGGAGTCTTTACACAGCACACACACCCTTTCTGCTACCACAATCTGCATCTGACGTATAACGTACAAATTGTATGCACCATGTCTAAATACTCGCAGTTTCTCTGAGTGATTATTTAGCATTGGGATGGCTTTCCACGAGAGCATGCGTAATGTTCATTCCATGCATTCCGTCATTGATGTGAACAAAGAAACTCTTTGAGACACCGCATAGCTACATAATTAGTTGCACTATAAACCAAAGCCATTCTGTTGAAAACATTCTAGAACAGCTAATAATTATTTTGTTTGTGTTGTTAATTGCTGTGTAATAAGAAAAGTAGGGTAGTACACCCACCACCCAACTCTTCTTTACATGGCAATACTACTTGCATGAAAATTCCATCCTGGTTTCAGCATGGTTCTCTCCCTTCCCCATCCTCTGAAACCCTCTGTGTCTACGAATGACCCTACATTCATCATCAAACGAAAAACACAAAACAGTCAATCATCCTTCCGCGAAAAACGTACTAACGCTGACATTGAAAAACGAATCTTTTTTAGGTTGGGATCCATAAAGCCCAGAACCATGCTCGTTTCTATAAAAATCTCGGGACTAACGGTTACTATTGCTTTCGTCTCCCAAGTTTTGCCTCAACCCGCGACAGGAAAAACGTAGCAATCAATTTTGTTTACTGCGCAAGAGAAAAAAAAGGTACTCTAAGCTTTTTATGTACAATTAAAGTCAAACTACATCTCGTACGCTTGTGTGTGTGTGTGCTAATTTTTCGATTTCACTATGGGCCACACTGACAGGAGAACTGTCCCGGTTACGACGATCTCTTATCAGTTTCACTTCCGCTACTCCGAAGACAACTTCTTTTTTTTTTGGTGTTGCTAGGCGACACTCTTACCTCTTTTCATCTTTTTTTTTTCCATCCAATCTCATCTTTTCCGTCTCTAACAAACAATTATCCCCCTTACGGGTTTAGTCCTTTGCCTTTTCCTTCTTTCCTTTTTGCCACCCCTTTTACCATCGTCCTCTTTAACGGTCACAGGCTCTTTTCTCCAATCAGTTACAACAGTCAGAGAAAAACGGAATCAAAACCTTTTTTTTTTTGTGTTCACTCTCTTTCAACTCACCTCAACCGTCGTCGTCAACAACAACAACAGCCTTCTCTCTTTTCTCCATTCCCTTTTATTTATCTTTCTTAAAAAAAAAAGAAGACTAGAAATGGCGCTTTATCCGAGTAATCCATTGTCCACGCGAGGATCGACTAGCAGCAACAGCTTAGACTCATCCATGCTTTGGCTGGGAATGTACTTTGTACTCAATCTGGTATTGACATTGTACAACAAGATCATTTTATCGCTTTTCCAGTTTCCGTATCCATGGACGCTGACAGCCATTCACACGTTATGCGGTGCGATTGGAGCCTATCTATTCTGGCGTTTTAACGTATTTACTCCTGCCAAACTGGGTGAACGGGAAAATATCATTATGATTCTGTTTTCGGTCCTCTATACTATCAATATTGCCATCAGTAATGTTTCACTGTAAGTTAGTGTTCATCTGGATGTGTTTTTGGTTAAGGAAAGAGGCGTTTGGTTCTAACCCATGATTCCCAACATCAGTAATCTTGTCACAGTGCCTGTAAGTACATTTGAATGATTCTAGGCAACAACAGTGCAATTAAATGATGATATCGCAAATTGATAGTTCCACCAAGTGGTTCGTGCCATGACGCCGGTATTCACCATCTTGCTGTCTGTCATGTTCCTCAGCAAATCCTACTCTACCATGACCTATATTTCGCTGTTACCGGTGAGTTGTTTTAATTATAGCTCTATTTTCATGCACTGCTATTTTTAAATCGGATTGAAAGGGGGGAGCCTTGTTCCAGACGAAAGAAAAAAGGTGCTAAACACGGTCTTTTTTTAAGGTTGTTGCAGGTGTCGCTTTCGCAACATTTGGCGATTATGATTATACAGGCATGGGATTCTTTCTGACGGTTCTGGGCACGGTGTTAGCAGCAGTGAAAACGGTCGTGACGAATCGCGTTCAGGTCGGTCGACTCAAGCTGCATCCATTGGATCTGTTACTACGCATGTCGCCACTCGCGTTTATGCAAACACTCGTTTATGCGTATGCAACGGGCGAAATGGCCCAAGTACGCGAGTTTTACCGGACGGGATTCACATGGACGCTCGCTTTTGCGCTGTTGGTCAATGGCGTGATTGCATTCTTTCTAAACGTCGTCAGCTTCACTGCCAACAAAAAGACGAGCGCACTGACGATGACCGTGGCAGGCAACGTAAAGCAGGTTCTTTCGATCGTACTGGCGGTGATCATCTTTAAATTGCATATCACGTGGATGAATGCATGGGGCATCTTGTTGACTTTGGGTGGTGGCGCTTGGTACACGTAAGTTTACGCGTTTTGGGTTGAGTGTTCTGTTTTGATGAAAGGGATCTTCCGACTTACATCCGGGACGTGGGTTTCTGTCACTAGGCATGTGGAAATGGTAGAAAAGAGTACAAAGCGACTCACAACGGATACGCTGTTGGGATCCGGCCCGATCAAAACATCTGCTGATCTTGAACTGACAGGTGTCAAAACGCAACGATAGAAAAAAAAAAAAACCAAGCATATTACACATACTACAACATATTACACACACACACACACATTTAACATATATACAACTTACAACTTCAGCACTTTACACATATTGAAACCCGGTCACATAGGTTGTTTCTCTCTCTCTCTCTATCTCCCGTTTTCGATCATTTAGCACATCTTTTTCTCTCTTCTTTATATATCCCCACCTCCCCCCCCCTCCCTTCCGTCCATCCTGCATGTCGTTCGTTCCTTGTTCAAAATTAATTTACACAAAAGAAAAAGATAGACACGTTGATTTCTTTTCTTATCTGCACAAAAAGAATACGTTACGGGATCTCGCTGAAGGCTTTACGATGTGGACATCAGTATGGTGGAGTGATGTAATAAAGTAAACAATGGAAGCTTAGATATATATTAGATCGGTATTGTGTATGTGTGTGTCACACCCCGACTTTTGTATTGTTTGCTTTTTCTCTCTCCAGATTCTGCCTTTCATGCGTACCAAGATAAAGCTACATACATACCAGAAAGCACAGATATGAGCACACCACAAAAGGTATACGATCCACCGGCACCCATGGCGCGTTCTTGCATATCAGTCGCTATTCAGGATCCTGTGCCAGCTTATATGCACAGCTTTTCATATTTACCCAAAGTAACTTATCTGATCATCCACAGCATATACTGGCCAACCTAGTTGTGACCTGCTGCAAAAATATGTGGTCGATCCCGGAAAAAAAGCACCCAACCAATTTCAAAGTCGATTTATTATCATATTATTCAAAAGGAGCGCTACGTTGATTCGGTACTAGCAAAATTTAAGCCGTTAGGAGAAATAACCTCAAGGTTTCAATACAGATATTATCAAGTCCGAAGGATACAAAGATAATGCTGGAAGAGCTGGTCTGATTAGGCGTAGCAAATTCGTCAATGTATGCTCTAGCTGATGAGGACATATTGAATACCCCTACGAATAGGCACAGTGTGCAAGATCTAAGCCTAAAAAGCAGTACAACTTGCTTACTGGTCTAATTACAAACGTTTCCTGCTGTTACCCATCGAACTTAATCTAGTACATTTGCCTGAGTTTGTTGCAGCATTAAATCAAATGTAGGTAGCTAACGAAACGTAATAGCATATCGTCAAGGTCATACTGCTGATAACATGTAAAAAGGCTGACGTCTAGAATCCTGTTGAAGAAACAAATAACAAGTTCACTAATAGCACAGTCGTCACAGTTTCTGTGGATTTACCCATGTTTGGAGTAGAACGTACAACATCAATGCTGTTTATACTGTACTGGGTTTCTATAGGAAAAGCGATCCGTGATCAACAACTGATTGCATCAAAGTATAGAATGGACCGTGTTTCATTTATCACTGCCGATAGTATTTCAAAAAGCAAAGTACAGTAGCTACCGATCAAGCCAGCAACCAAGCCTATACCATAGTCCCTGACCGATCCAAAAGACATTGATTTATTGGCTCTGATCCTCCAAATTATTCCCCGCTTTGTGTAACCAAATAGGTGATCGACAGGATCGTTGTCCTTGTTGTCGCTTTGGCTACCCTTGAGTGCCGCTCCAGAATGTGAGCCTCGTTTGCTAAACTGATGTAATACTCCTTTACGTTTTTTGCATGGTTACATGGTCAGCCAATGTCCTATGAGCTTTCGTTTATGTTAAAGAGAAAAAGCAACCATTGAAAAAATTGAGCACTTACTGTTTTTTGATTAAGGTATTATCGTAAACGGGAGTGAGGAGAAACCTTAGTGACGTTCTAGGTCCAAAACGCACTAATACTCAAAAAAGAAAAATACTCTTTTGCTCTCTCTCTCTCTCCTTTTTAATTTATTTCGCTCTCTCACTCTGCTTCCCTCAACCTTCCTTCATCTTCCGTGCCATCTTATGTACATATAATTATACCAACCAACCAACACACTAACGGATATGTCACTGCCAGATTCACCATCAGCTCTACCCCAGTCATTCTGGTCGCGCACCGTCTATAGTGTCGCCATTGTCACGTTTCTCTTGCTTTGGATGTTTGCATGGAGTCATCAAGATGGCACCATCCTTCCAACGAACCAACGAGACGCCGAGATCCCAACAAACTACGCTGCAAAAATAGACCCAGTTGTGGACTTGCCAAAGAATAAGCAGCTTTGCACGAGCAGTACATACAACGACGGCAAATGGGTCAAAAAGCCAATCAAGCTCGAGGCTGAGACGGCAGCTGCTGTGGAAAAAGCAGCCAAGTATTACTGCGCATGGAACTTTCCTCATAAATGTTATCGTCGACACGACGAGACCGGGGAGTTTAACCGAAGTCGCCACATGTAAGCAAGTCTTTCTATTTCCATCTCTTCTTAATTTGGCTGTTTTGTGCTGGAAAGGGGACGTTCTATATCTATTTTTCTTTTAACTAACGCATAACCCGATCCTCACATAATCCGTATAAAAGCTTGGATTATACTTGGAAACCAAAGAAATGTGAATTGGTACCATTCGACGCCAATGCATTCTCAGCTTATCTCGCAGACCATCCTTTATTATTTGTCGGTGACTCTATCAATCAGCTAGAGTTCGAGAGTATGGCATGCTTGCTTGGCGAAACGCTCTACAACCCACCAGGCAACACCAATATCACTGGCGGAAACACCAACATGTGGGCCAGTCAGCTTGTGCACGAAAGCAAATTACAGGTTCAAAGTGCTGTTAGTTTGGCCTATCTTCGATCGGATTACCTTGTACGATTGGACGATTTCAAGTTGTTGGACCCGTTTGATGAGGAGGGATTTGTAATTGGAAGAGGCAGCAATTTTCCGTGGTAGGTTTACTTGAGAAAAAGTTCGAGTATGTGAAAGGCAAAGAAGGAGATACGTTGTTAGAAATACTGAACGATGTGTATACAACTCGTAGGAAGCATGCTTTGTCACGGTTTCATCATATCGTTTTGAACACGGTAAGTTTGCTGTTTGTGTATCTTCTTATATTCCAATACAACTAATATATATGTGTTTTGCAGGGTCCACACTGGCACACGGACAAGAAGTGGGGTCCCAACGAGTCGGATGATGAGATGATGGCAGCGTATAGGAAAGCGATGAAGATCGTCGTTGATTTCTTGGTTGAGAACATGACGCCACTGCAACGCATATGGATTCGAAGCACACCTTATGGACATCTCAAATGCTCTCAGTATAAGGAACCTAGCAAAGTACCACACGTTCCTACCCGTAAACAGGGTGAATATCAATGGGACATGCATGTCAAGTTTGACCAAGTTTGGAAGGTAATAGATAAGAATACTGATGGTGTAAGAAAAAATAAGAGAGTGTGCGATAGATTGATGTTTTGTTATTAGGATCTTATTGATGAGACTGGTGACGACCGCATCAAATTCTTCAATGTCTCTACCATGGCTAATCTTCGTGGTGATGCCCATTCTCGTCCCGATTCAGATTGTCTACACACCTGCTTGCCTGGTCCCGTAGATGACTGGAACAAGCTACTATTCAGTGAAATTGCTAGGGAGGCTGCTCGGATAGCATCATAGTTTTAAATCAAGAAGAACATAAACGAGAGATAGAAAGAGTATCTTATAGAGACAGTTTACACCCACCCACTGCACAACAGTTTAACTTTTATGTACATTATACCGATTTCAAGTTCTGTTCAAGGAATTCATCTGTAAGCATCTCTGCTTCTCGAATATCATAACCCTAGGAGTAGTTTTAAAGATGTTCATTAATGAAGTGATATGTAAAGCATCTCTTTTGTGGATTGGGGTTATGGTGATTAATTACCCTGTTGACGCCAATCTTTTCCTGGAGATATGTCTTGGCAGATGCATACTGTTGGTTTTTAGAATATTAATTAGTCATGCTGCCAAAAATAGTTGTTTTCTGGACAATAAGAGTGGCGAATGATGTCACCTGACAGTATGAGTGTTACTTACGAGCATATTAATTTCTGCCTTGGCAGTGGAAGGCGACCAGTAGATGAACAACAAGGGGAAGTTCTTACGTCCATCACTATGCGTCAACTTGAATATATATCAAAGTTAATAACTACTGGTTGCTTTCTTGGTTATATCGTATGAAGAATAGAATGGATGTACCTCGTAGCTAAGGATAATGTAGCGGGGACTGTTCTCGGGAAGTTCTGCATGATTTTTCAGTGCAAGTAAGTTGGCGAAGCCCCAATATCATATTGCAATTTTGTGTTGTATATATACCTTCAACAAGATCCTCGATCGAAATGTTGTCAAAAACTTCATCCTCTACGATTTTCAACTGCTTGCGATCAATTTGCACTACAAGTTGGACGCACGTATAAGTCTTCTTTCAAAACATATTTATTCGTGGGGTTTGGGAATAAGCAAAACTTACAGACAAAGGCCGCGTTGCCGCTGGAATACTTTGCGAAGCGGAATTCCTTGAGCTTCTCTTCAAGTTCAGGGTCAATATCACAGGTGGAAGTGCTCTAGATTGTGAAAAACCAAGACATACATTTCACCCAAAAACTCAGTCTTTCTGCCTACTTTTCGCGTAATTGTCATGTCATTGTAGTCTTTGAAAGTTACCATTGCTGGTGATATGTTCGTTGCCAAGGTAATGTTAGCGGAGTTGCTGTGGGACATGAGTAGGTCAGTTTAAAACCCAAATCCGGATTGTCCGGGATTCTTTCAAGCATACGATTTGAAAGACTGTCATCATAGCAATACTAAAGGGCACCGATGCTGCAGCTGAAGTTCAAGGGTAGGCTCAACGTGCAAGCTGGTACTGATACTTTTAAGCGATGTGGCAGCCAATTGTTACACATGATTGTTGTGATCAAAGCGAGGGTTATATTTGCATATATTTACAGATAAAAAAAGTAGCGCAATGTTACAAATCGAGGAGAAGAACGTACAGAAAGATGAGTGAGGGGAGAAGAGTTTGATGGAAGGAGGGTTAATGGTATAGTAGCAAGTAAATAGGAACTATGGGATTTCGTAATTTTAGTTCATTGCAAAGTGCCAAGGCTGTCTGCGCGCTGTTGCTGAGTTTCCTGGTCATCTATAACAAACAAATTCAGTCCAAACCATTTTTTGACATGACAATAATAAAGCTATCATCCATTTACCTTTGAAAGCGGCTAGACCAATTAATATACCGGCCACGAAGAAGATCAAGCTAATGAAAAACCACAAGACGCCCCAGACACGACTGGACATGCATCCACCACACTGTTTTGCAAATTTGGATGCATCGGATTCGTATGCTTTCCGGAACACCAGATCGTCGAGGATATCCCACAGACAATACATGCACGACATAACGCTAACAACAATATCCATTCAGCTTTCAAAATTGTATATACCATCATCACACCCATCGCTTGCTTACCCAACAAATAATACGAAATATTTTAGACCAACGCTGCGAGCGACGAGCCATAAAAGGACAATTAAACCAATAAAGAGGACGCCAATACCACGCGTGAGCCAATTTCTAGCCCACCACAATGTGAACAATAAGCAGACGCCCAGAAAAATAGAGGCAACTTTGGATGCAAGCACGTCGAATCCGCACATGACAAGGATGGCGCCAATAAGTGAGGATCCCAGATAACCTGCAGGCAGAGTGCACATGGGAATACCTCCACGCTAAAATATAGCAATTCCATTTAATAACAAGGCCTTGCTTTGATCCATCACACACAAACTTCCGTTTTACCATGCGAGTAACACCGCCTTCATCTGGATCAATTTCTATCGACTCGATTTTCGCACACGTAAAGCATCCAACGATGGCATGCGAGAACTCGTGTAACCCCACCGTCAGGAGCTATACACACGATTCGAGAAAGTCACTTTTCGCTATTCCTGAGATAACGTGTGTTGAAACACTACATCTTTGCACCGTTTTTCATTGCTTACCTTGAACGGTGCAAGCACAATTTTGATAACAGGCATGTTCCATAATATCAGAACGGCAGCGACATATACACCAATAATAATAAGCGTTATTTTCTGATCGTCAGTTGGTGTCAGACGATTGATTGTCTCATCTTGGACAGCTTGTCGTGCTACGAGGTAATGCGTGTAGCTGCTTTGGTCGTCTATAACGGGCGCCATCTAATTTATTTTTATTGCTGTTGTCTGATTCCGGTAGTCAATTAACAAGAGGTCAAGAAAGAAAAAAAGGAACAGTAAAAGAAGGGAAACAAAAAGGGCTTTGGGCCGAGACGCCCATACATTCATATGCGGATAGGCACAGGTTTATAAAAATAGAATTTGTCTTGGTGTAACCACCGTCTTGGCGATCGTCCCGTCTCCGTTATGCCATCTGAAACGGCATTGATTGTTAGCAACAACGGAACTAATGAAAAAAACAGTTACTGTTCCTGAAAATTTTAGGATTCATTTACCACAGTCAGGGGCACGCCTACATGATCGCTTTACTTGTGTTATAACGATATGTTTTGAGAGTAACAACTATAATAACCATGCTGAGCCATTTGTAAAGGCACAGGGGGGGTACCGTCTATCGTAACATTTTTTATGAAAAGCAATCGAAAAATGGTAAGCCTTTTTTAACCGTGGCGCTGCTATTATGCAATGGCTCATGCAGACACCAGCGACATTAAGCAAGCGAGACCGTTTTTCACCGATGAGCGTAGAAACGGAGCAGAGAGCACAACCGAGTTTTGATCCGTAGCTGTTGCTGCACACTAAACGGCCTACGATCAGTCATTTAATTCATGTGATCCTCGTATTGACAGCATGATAATAGCCTTATGAGATTTGACAGGTATAAAAGATGATGGCTTCGTATAGATATTATACATACATGGTATGCTTAGTGTTTTATTACTGCTAGCATTTGTAAACTAGTAGCGGTAGAAGTAAACTTTAGGAATAAGTTTATCTATCCTTTGCAAACCATAGCTGGTGATTAGAGGACATTCGGTTATTATAAGGGCTTTAAGATTCCCCTCAGGGTTGTCCTCGAAATAACTCAAACAATCATCGGTAATGCTGGAAAGATTAAGCAGCGCGAGTGATTTTAATGAAGGAGCAAAGGCAAACCACTGGAACGTATCATCATCAAGTGTGAGCTCGTCGAGTTCATTTATCTTTAACTCCTCCAAAGTTCCAGCCTCTTGTACTTTTTGAGCAAATTGATCCATAAGCCGTTTGGGCACCATCACTCTAATAAGCTCAATAATGCGAATGGTAGGAAGACTAGCCAATAAGGATAACGCCGAACAGGAAGAGATTGCCCATGACAGATCCACTTCTTCAAGTTTGACGCGTCGTAGTCGAGACTGAGTGACGCCTAGTGCTTGGAACGCCTCGAAAAACGCCGTGAGACCTGGAGCAATGGAACACTTGTGATTAGAGTTGCACGCAACAATCTCTAGCTCCTCCAGTTCACGGAGTAAAGTGATGTTGTCGGCCATCGCTATAAAGACCCTTTGTGCTGATTCATCGTCGGCGAACGACAGACAAAGACTTTGGAGCATCCCACACTGTTTGATCAAATCTGCAACGGTACTATGCGTCCTTTGAATGTCTCGTATGGCTAACTTGCGTAACGATGGAAAAGAAATGCGTCCCAAGGCACGAAGCTGTTGGTTGAACCCTCCACCTACTGGAAGTACCCTTAATGGTATATCCAGCTCCTGCAACGTCTCGTGATGGGCAGAAAGCAACGGTACTAGTGTAGATAACCAGTATATTTCGTCTGTTACGCGTAGTTGTAATAGTCCACCAGAATCGTGTGTTTGATCGCCTTTAGCTTTGTTGTAGTCAGTGCTGTAAGTACGAGCAGCACCAGCACCAGAAGTAATTTTTTGTTGTTGTGGCATGTTGTACCAATACCCCTCATTGTTAAAAGCAAAAGCTTGCAGATGAGTGCCGAGCTCCTGGATTGAGCTGCATATTTCAGTTCCGCCCTCTACCACTTCTGCCTTTATGTTCAGCACTCTAAGGTGCTGGCATCGTCGTAGAACGAATTCGAAAGCGCCATGGGATAGATAAGAGCAAAGTAGGAGAATCCGGGTAATGCCATGGCTAGTCCTTGTTCTTGGGATAACGTCTTCAATATCGCTGAGCATACCATTACCGCCGTATATCAGATCCTGTATATTGGGACATAGTTCGAGAACCTTGAAAAGAGATGGCATCATATTTTCATCCTCGTCGTCAAACAGGATAAGACTCAGCTTTGTCAATTGGGCACCCACATTTAAGAGAGCGCTGAATATCGGATCGTTAAAACCAGTACGATTTGCTTGAAGATTGGCAGTTAGTATAACTCTAAAATACACGACAATTATATAATTACAGTAGATACGTACAATGAATGGTCAGCTTACGAAAGTTGCAAAACCGTCGTTTCTCTGCTAGTGCAGCAAAGATAGGAAATAACTTTGTGTACGCCCCGTAATCAGATAGTTCCAGTTCCTTAACAGTGCTGCTGACGATAGGTAGGAAGCCGCATACTAAATTGAGCTCTTCCTCTTGAAGGTTGAGGGCAACTATTTTCTCCCAAACATTCGGACATCCTAGAATCCTAGCACGCCATGCTTTAGATACACAGAGCGGTTTTAATATTCGTTGTGGGTACCAGTTGAGATAACCGAATATCTGCATCATAATTTCCGTGGGCAGCGAGGTAATAAAATCAACTCGTTTTTCATGGCATTCTTTTGCTGTACACAGACGTGCTTTTAGCTCTGTTTCTGTAGTTGTTTCTGTTTCAGTGATGATTGCGCTGGTGCTGCTATCTGCTCCTGGAGTTGTTTTGTTCACGGCGTCTTCCAAAACCTCGACCGCCCGTCCTGCCTTGCCCCACATCATGTAGATTTCGCTTGCACATATGTAACCTTGCGTCGAATGAGGAGCGACACGCATCATGAGGCTTGCATCGTCGAGTGCTTTTTGGATTTGGCAGTTTTTAGCGTATGCCATGGCGCGTCGTTGATAAAGGATCAAAAGCCTCAAATGATTGATGGCATCGATGGCACGGCAAGATGCGTCAATGGCGAGACTATGATGACCTTGTTTACTCTCTTCTTCAATTTTTTCAAGATATTGCGTCCATGCGTTATCTGATGTAAGAAGGTCGACAAAGTTGCAATCGTTTGGCATGGTTCCATATCTCTTTTGTTGGACAAATTGAGTGAGAAGAATATTCCAGTACCGATCTATGCAATTTTAAAGCATGAACAGTGGAGTCTATGGAGAAGCACAATTTTATAATCCAAAAGTTATATACATTGCCATATACAAATAACATTTTTTATTGTTACAATAGATAGTATTAAGTAGTGTACAGGTTGCAGAATCTAATAAGATCGAAGGGCAAAACTATCGTCGCGCCTTCCGCTTCCAGAAACACAGGGCAAAGAACGCCAAAATGTTAAATGCTGCAAACGCAAGCATAATACCCACATTGCGCCATTTATGAGATGCGCTCCAACCAAACTTGTTGTGTAAAATTCTTCTCCTGATCGAAATGTGCTGTAGCTGCAAGTATCTGTAGCATTGCTATCAGCGATATATCCTGTACAGTACTGCCCATTGCAAAGAAGTTGGCCATGTAATCGCCACAGGCTTGACCAGGAGGAGCACTGAACTGGATCATGTCATTGTCGTTACATACAACCGGCAAAGTTTCCATCTCGTTGACCAGTATGCCTTCGACGTAATAGTGGTATGGATTCGCCCAGTACAACCAAGAGCTGTAGAATTCCGGCATCGCATCTGGTGACTGCACTAACCCAGCAAAAAGGAACAAAACGACATTGATAAGCGTGTTCAATACGGCTGCCAAAGTTTCGTGCTCGCCCAGAAAAGCAAGCATAAATCCAAGAGTAATGGCCCAAATGACACAAGAGACAAGCATCACGTAGAAGTAGCCACAAGCTTCAGGTGTATTGACAAAGCCAGTTGCCCAGTAGAATCCAAACATGAAAAAGGCGCTAAAAACCAAGGCATACAACATTTCGACGAGGACCATCGATATTGCAAATGGGAACCATCCATGGTATCGAGACGCATATTGACGACGAAAATATATTCTTTCGGTCAGTAGCTTAGGTTGTCCAGCTAGAATCTACAAAAAACAGTGTTGGCCAATCACTGGATGACAAAAAAGCTATTGTACAAAGGAGCACAAAATGTAAAAAAAACAATGTTAAGTAACTTACCAAAGTTTCACCCATCATAATCGAAGCAAAAGCCCGGCCTCATATCCGTGACAGAAAAAGATAGCTTCCAGTATGTGAAACCGCAGAACAAAGCAGTGATCATGATCGAAATGAAGCGGCCAAAGTTGTACGAGCACGAGCGCCAGTAAATGACCCACATGCGGGTACATACACGTCGCAGTTGAGTCCACAGCGATGTTGCATATATCAATGCTTCTCGTGAAGAATGTCTATCGACGGTTTGATGGATGGCTTCGAGTTCCTGATCTAGTGCTTCCGCTTGAGAAGAGCTGTGCCAAATTTGTGGCCAGTCGAGAACGACACCCGTATTAGCTGTGCCGGCACCGACGACTTCGAGAATATACTCGGCAGGATTGGCCTGAGGTGCACATTTGGGGCCGCCGTTCGTTTCAAAATAGTCAATCATAGTACGAGCATCCTTGCCGATTGGCCCGTAGTATGCAGTACGACCACCACGAACAAGCAACATCAAATGATCAAAATGCTCGAACAAGATAGCAGAAGGCTGATGAATGGTACACAAGACGGGCCAGCCAGCGTCAGCAAGCTTGCGCAAAAATCGTACAATGTTGAATGAGCTATGGGCATCCAGACCTGATGTAGGCTCGTCCAAGAACAGCAGTTTTGGCTTGCTGACGAGTTCCACGCCAATCGTCAAACGTTAGCGCTCTTCCACGGGAATGCCGCATCCTTCTTCCACTGATCCGGTCTGGGCATCTGCAATATCTTCCATTTCCAGCAGCTCGATAATTTCTTGAACATAAGTATCTTTTTCTTGTTTGGAAACGGTGGCGTCTTGTCGCAGATAGGCAGAGAGTTATATGGCTTCACGTACGGTAACCAAAGGATTGTGGATATCCATTTGCTCACAGTAAGCAGTAATGCGCTCAAAGTCACTCATCAAGACTTCGTTGTCGAGGTAGATACGAGCGTCAACTTTGCCGATGGTCTTGCGTTGTGCGAGGACGTCAAGCAGTGTTGTTTTACCAGCACCAGAAGATCCCTTGAGAGCAGTAAGTTGACCAGGTTTGATGATACCGGAAACGTCATTGAGAAGCTGAAGAGGTCCACCTTTAAATGGTACAGTGTAATTGACATGATGCCAGGAGAACGTGGCTCCAGTTGCAATATGATCCATTTTGTCCGTTTTTTCTTGTTGGCTTCGTAATCGGTCTTCTTCCTCCTGCTCGCTTCGAGGTCTAGGTGCCTTTTCAGGCAGGTATAGCTTGGTACTACTTCCAGCGCCACTGTCACCACTCTTGTTCGACCATTCGAGGGCAACCGCGACGAGGAAAGTGAACAACAAAAAGAACCCAATGAGAGCAACGAAATTTGGCGCCCATAGATGAGAGGGCTCGTAACTCAATTCGGTACGCAGATAGTCATCGCCTCGAACGAAGTCTTCACCGGGTCGGCCGCCAGCCATAGTGCACATTTTGTAATTCCAATCCGTGTAGCCTGGGCCAAAAGGAACAGAGTTGCCAGCACCTTTGCACGAGTAGATTTGACCAGACATTTCGTTAACTAGGAGAGCCTTGTATTCATAGGCAACAGGATTGATCCAAAATATCCTTTTGATGATATTGACGTATGAGCACAGATTGACAAAAGCTATTTGAAATTGGCATGCAGAAGAAAAAATCATACATACCAGAAAAACCAGGGAGGCATAGAGTCATACGGAATCATATAACCAATGTACATTAATGACGCAAGAAGTAAAGCACCCGCAACTTGGGAAGCGGTGTGATAATGGGAAAAAGGGGTACCCAGAAAACGGAAAAAGCCGTTCATTGTCAAATTGATGAACAGAAGAATGAGTACGTGTGTGAAAAATCGACCGGCTGTCAGATTGAGGCCAGCCAGAAAATATGAGCAAATACTCCATAAGACGACTAACAAATATGTTAGTTAAGGCCTTAACACTGGTTTTAACACTAAATGTTAGTGGTTCTTACCTTGGACAATAGCCAAAGGAATATCCATGAGAGTACTTGAGCGATATAGAATGCTGAAGGACGATACATGGCAAAGTGTTTGTGCTTCTCCAGAATTGGTCGACCCATCATAAAATTAATGAGCTCTGTTTCGGCCAAAAAAGCGTTCTATAGGCCCAAAAAAAGCCAAAATACGCATATGGTTGATTATTGATTATAAAGAGCTATGTATAATTTGCAGGTAGAGAAAAAAATTACCGTTAAAGCTGTGAACATGAGCATTCCACTTCGTCCGAAAGCGCCAGTTCCATCCAATGGAAGGTTAAAAAAACATGATGCGGTAATCAAGCTGAGGATGAAGATGCTACTGTAACGCGATATCAGTGCTTCATGGTCCTTGAATAACAACAATGCTTGTCGGATAGTTAAGGCCTTGACTTGTTGATAGAACGATGCAACATACGGCTGATTCGAAAATGCACGTTTTTGTTGTTCTTCGGTGACAGCATTTTTAAAGTTCTGGGCCTGAATTTCCTTAGTAACCCGGTCTTGGTACGCCTCAAGGTCGGCCATCATTCTCTTGTATGTGGAAGACTCGTAATAGGCTCGTTCAAAGTCGGAAGGGTGGTGAGGCACCATGTTCTCCATGCCAGGCTGGAATTCACGCTCCACTGGAATACATAGGCCGGTGAGGAAATCAGGAGTCGATTTGCGTGGCTGACAATAGAAGCCGAGTCCTTCAAAGTATGACTTTGCTTCTGAAGCTGGTCCAAAATATAAATATCGGCCAGCGTCAAGGAGCAATACCTTGTCAAACAAGTCAAAGATACTGTCTGAGGCTTGGTAGAAGCTTGCAATTGTTGTCTTGTGCCCGACATCGGACATGACACGGAGTGACTTGATATAATCATAGGCCGAAGCAGCATCAAGACCACGTGTCGAGCAATCCCAGCAACTGATGGCACTTTGTGTGGTCATAGCCTCAGCAATCGACAAGCGCTTGCACTCACCGCCAGATAAGCCTCGTAAAAACGCATCGCCCACCACGGTGTTTATTTGTTTGGTCAGTCCGAGCATGTTACCGAAGAGATAGATGATTTGCCGATAAACTCTTTCTTGGTTTCATCAGGTAAACGCGACCCAGGTGTTTTAGTACGCAGCGCAAACTGGAGTGTTTGCTTCACTGTCAGCCTATAAACCATCATTATGTACCAGTCACTAAATCTAAGTATGCTTATATGATATACAATTATAATTTTGACAGGAATCGATCCATAAGCAGAAATAATTATACTCACACGGGAAAATGCATATCTTCTTCAGCATTGTAGGAAACCTGACCACGGTATCGTTTGGCAAACTCAATGTTATCAATGCCGCTATAAGTAACTTGACCATCGACCTTGGTATAGGATGCCCGCATGTTGGCCAAGACAATAAGCAACGTCGTGCAGCCTGCACCGGGGCGACCGAGAACAAGAAGCATTTCGCCAGGCTTGCAAAAACCAGTCAGCTTATGTAAAATGGTCTTACGGCTGGCACTCGAGCAAATTCCAAAGAGTTTCCATGGTGTAAGGACTTTAAAGAGAGCAGTGAACAGATTATTAGGAATGGTGTGTGCATCAGCGCCAAGGCCCTGTTGTAAAGCGACGAGTCAGAAAACAGATATTACGTAGGTCCGTTAACTTCTTTTTAGAATGATTAATGATATTTATGATACCTCAACGGACAGATCATTCCATACAACACCAAGGTTCTTGGGTTTGTGGTCTGCCTGCTCGCTCTCCTCTGACATGTTTTGCAAGAAGTCATTGAGATTGAAAACTTGTTCGCCGGCAGCACCTTCCTCGAGCTTGCCATCTTGGATAGACATTTGTCGACTAATATGTGATAGCTCACGCTTTACTTTTTGATATTTTTCGACGGCATCTTTGTACATGTTTTAATAGACAATTATGTTATTGACGCGCCAACAAATCAATCACATAGCGAGCGTTATACTCATGCGGCATGTACCTTCGACATCAACGTTCGATGATTGCTTCACGTGCTTCCGTTGATAGTTTTCCGCGTCAATTGTTGCGAGTGACGAGCTTGAATCGCGTGTATGATTTATCATATTATCAAATTTGGGCTAGCATAAACAAACTTGTAGGAACTAGAAGATGAAGTTCACACAGGTATTTATATACATGCGATATTACAGCCGGCACCAGGTTGCCGGTGGTAATTTAGGGAAAATCAAAGCGGAGAACCGTTTCATCATAAGTAGCTTCGGCGTCAAATGCCGATCAGTTTGCTTGCAATAGTGCACACCAATGATACTTATAATCGGGAATGGTGTGTGCCAGACAGTGTTACTGATTTGAAAAATAGAAGGAGATCATATTATAACGAAGAGCGATTGAACGATAGGAACTACGGACTGCATGAACTTGTATATATATATGATACGTTGAACAATACACCTGATCAATGCTTCAGCGCTGATCTATTATTTACTATTACGCTGAACATCGCTACGACTGGTACTGCTAATCTAGCAATCGAATTTTCGGCATGCGATCGTCCACTACTTAACATATGCGTCTGCAGACAGGCCTATCCTGATGGTTTGATTATCCGCGCAATGATATGCACCATTCCATTGCTGAAATTTTAAAATCATATCTAACGCTCGCACTTATTTCAGAAAACGAAGTAAAGGTTTTGCACTCCTTTTACTTGTACATACAAGCAAAAAATAAAGATTATGTGTAATGATTGGTGTGTGCCATGAGTTCATAATCTAGTGCATGAAATTTGTGAGAGCGGAGATGTTTGCCAGCCTATCTCTGGCACTGCTTTTCCACTTCTTTTGCTATCACTATCGCTCTACCTAAAAGATACTATGCAGCAGCGTTGTGGCTTGATGGTCGTGGCGCTCATTGTTATGGGCATCACTTTCATGACTTGGACACGACATATAATAAGCGATCGCACAACTGATTGGCGCCCTTTGCAATCAGCTGTTCCGATTGAGTTGTTCGTAATGTCCAAGTGCCCCGATAAAGTCGATTGTGAAGAAGTAATCTCCAAAGTTTGTAAGTAGCATAATACATACCCTATGAGCATACTTCGGTTATGTTTTCTTGAATGAAGTTGAGATATAGAGCAGTTTAGTTTATTTTTTATTTCTTATTTTTTTTTGGGGGCGTGGTTATCTTGATAGTGAAGCAAGTAAAGGTCCCTGTATCTCTTGATGTCAACTACATTGCCAGACCAAATAGCTCCGAGTCTCTTGGATTTGAATGGTATGTAACGTAGATTTATCCTTCAGATTAAATGCGAGTATCCATTAACATATATATATCACGCTATAATGTGGCTATAAGTAAGCACGGACCAACCGAGTGTCTCGGAAACATGCAGGAGTTGTGCTTCAAGAACATATATCCTGATATTGATGACTGGTTTCATGGATTCACGCTTTGCTTGAATGAAAAATATGCGGATATTGGAGAAGATGACAGCCTGCTGGCAGAGGAATGTGGTACGTTATCAAGTGATAGATGTCTTGTATACATCACATACAATTGTACAAAGTCAAAAACTGGCTCTCTCATTACCTGTATGTTATGTAGCAAAACGGGTTGGAAAAGATTATGAACCAGTACAGACATGTACTACTAACTCAGTCGGGGTCGAGCTGTTAGCAAAATCAGTTGAGCGAACACAAAGCTTGAATGTGGAGTAAGTAATGCTGGACACACTTCTGTGCATAGAAAAAACCTGAATTTAACAGTACTGTGTGCTTTGCGTAATATCAAAAATTGAATAGAAAAAGTTGCACAATCTTCATTGATAACAAATTACGCTGTATTCACGATGAAGTATGGAAGGTTCGTAAATTCTCTTTCCTTGCAAAGTAAAGCCTCACTACCATTCTTGCATCTTTATTAACAGCCGTCCTTTCCTCTCCCTCAAGCAGCAATGCGAAGGCGGCCACACAATTTCCGATTTCGTTCGCACTATTGAGGAAGCCTACAACGGCTAGATAGCAACAAGTACCCGCTCCTATTCCTTCATTTTGTCGGTTTTTGCAATCAAAAGAATAGTAAAATGTTAAATTCGGATATGTACATGATGATAGAGATTTCAAAGGTATTGTGGCCATGGGTCAGGCTGTAAAAATCGTTGGATTGTTGTGGTGGGGGAGAGGAGTCGATTGTCGTTCTTTTTCCTTTTACAAGAAAAGGTCAATCACTTGTAGAATAGCTATACACGTAAAGTAAGATATTAAACGATCAGATTACATCGTTTACTTGAAAATTATTTGTGAGTGCATTAAAGCAAAAATGACACTTTACCTCCTCCAAGTAGAGCAAATGCCAAAACACCAAGTACCCAATAGCTCACTGGAAACTTAAACCCTTTTTCTTCTTTCTGTCATTTGAAAATGAGAAGAATCAACTGTTAGTAATAGAGTAGCTATGCCATTAAAAAGACTATTCCCGTCTTTCTCGCAATCGATGCATACCACGAGTGATGACTTGACATGACCACGCTTGTTGACATTATTCTGGTAAACAGCGTTCTTCTTGCGGATAGTAGGTGCAGTTGCCTATATTTAAAAAAAGTTTTGATTTAGTACGCTCTCTGTTTTATCCAAATTCATACGATGTGCATACCATGGTAGACGAGTAAGAGGAGGTGAAAAAGAAAGCAATTAATCTAATAAGGTAAAGGGTCAAGTCTTATTTTAAACGCTCCAAGCAACGAGGCGATCGCTGATTGGATGCGTATAGATTCTAACACGTTGCACTTGATCTAGAGGCCCTGAGCTGGAATATAACCAATGCAAATATTTTTGTGGTACAGCAACGGATTGCAGAGGTAATTCGTTTGAGACATACTAGGTCGAATGAAAATTGATATATCAAAAGGCGTTAACAAAGCATTTCCACATTATGGTATTATCAGGTGTTTTATTGGACCGTAAAAACATCCTATTCAGTCTTGCTTTTCTGCGATGAAATTGACACCGACGCCCTTGAGTTTTCCTTCCTTGATGGCAGTTATTTCCTGGGTCATAAACGTTTCCAAGACAGCCCTTCCCACCGACGAGTCCTCCAATCTAGTAATACAGTAGTTTAGTAAACAGTGGATTACTGGCTACATGAAGGTGGAACGGCAGTGATGGGAAGAAGACACTTACCCTTGAAACACAATCATTCCATGGAGAAATGGATTGTTGCTGACAACCTTGACTTCTGTGCCAAAGGCTCTTTTGAGAGATGCATTAATAGCTTTGGCAGTTGACAAATCTTCGCCCTGTAAACCATGCTTATAGTGTCCCTCCTGTTGGTGATGGTGGTGATCGTCACTATGGGCATCGCCGTGGCCGTGGCCGTGGCCGTGATGATGATGATGATGATGGTGGTGGTGCGAGAAATAAGCTTGCCAACGTTCCAGTGGAGAGCCCATCGTGGGATCCATCATGGCATGCCATTTTTTCTGCATATTCTCGCTCTTGTTGGTAGGTGCCACAAGGTGATTGCCACTCATCAAGAGATCAACACGGTCGAAATACCACCGCGCACTCTCTTCGGTGATTGCACTGCGGTCAAACTCTTCAGCAACAACGACACCCTTTTTCTTGAGGAAGCGGTGAACTTGATCAATTGTCTACGGGCAAGCACCGAAGTGCATCCGAGTACATGTTAGTAAAATGATCTCATGACTCTTTTTTCATGAATAAAACACCAGCAACTTGTTGTCGCCTCTCTCTATTACCCCATCTAATGGATCGCAGTGATGAAGCGACTTGGAAAATAGAATCACATCGAAAGATTCGCGGTATTGCTCAAGGTCCATGTCAAGAACCGTGGTTGCCATATATTTGACATTCGCTTTATGGTCGGCGCATAGCTGGATATCCTCTTCCGATGGGTCGATCGCAGTGACATCAATACGATCTTGATATTGTTCCTTCAGCAAAGCAGAAAAATGACCCGGACTTTGTATATTTCAAAAATGAGCGTTGCATAATTATAAGCTGTAAAGCATAGCTATTATCGTTTTCATGCTTACCCACAACCAACCTCAAGGACCTTGATTGGCTCGACGGCGCTAGGCTCTTTAAAATGACGCGAATCCAGGAGGCCCTAAAGCGTGAAGGATAAGGTGTGAGTTTATATTTGAAAAATGGTTTGCTCTTGTACGAGTTATTTTTCTCTTACCGTGAAAAATGCGAGGAAAGGCTTGTGTTGTAGATATTTGATTGAATCCATCGTGAAACGTAAATAATTTCTGAAATGATTTGCAGCAAAAATGCCGCTATATATATCTCATAAACTATTCCGGATAAATTATTTTAAGCAACTTCCGATTGGGCGGTTCAAAGAAGGCCCGCTGCTTGTCTACTATTCATGACGAATGCTTACGCCATCATTGTGTTTCCACACGTTAACTGCATCAGCCTGGTAGAAGCCCCTGCATTAACTTTGTACAGCAATTATAAAACACGCAAAACATGGATCCATACAAAGTGCTGTCAAAGCTTCCCAAAAAAAATAATTTACAACGGAATATGCCGAGGTCTGGAAGTTGAAAGATCCAGGTCTGATATTTACGTAGTGATGCTCCAGTGTCAGCTTCTCGTTATCGCCCTAATTCTATAGTGTAGACGATGAACCGACTATAACATGAGTATAAATAACTTCCGTGCTCCCATGTAAGTAACGCTTTCTTGAAAATGTAAAGCTGCAGATGGCTTAAGCAATGACGGGTGGATCAGTGCCATAATGCAAGCCAAACAAAGGACATCATTTGCGTAAACAAGCTCGCCACTATAATCGATAGTTTGTTGTGCTGTCCATATTAACACGAGCGCGTTGACACATATCCGCATGCTTCCATCCCAAATCTCAGATTACCGTTTGGGCCCTTTGAAACCTTACAGGGTCTTGGGAAGGTTGTTTAATGTGTTCGAAAGGCTACAAACGACAACAAACGTTAATTTGTATCTTTCGGATGTGCTACCGCTTAAATGAAAATAGCCTTCTTGCACATTATATAAATATTATTGCATAACAGATAAAAAAAAATGCATCACACAAACGTTGTCATTATATAAAGTAATTAACTAATTTTGTTTTGGAGTTAATCGTCGACTACCATTGTTTTACAATCAAGGCTATTATCATTTGATGTTTTGCTCTTAAAGCAATAGTTGCGTAACGTGTCTATCAACAACTTTTTGCTTACAGGTTTCGTAAGGTACCTACGATAATAGATAACTTAATGTAAGAAGGACTTGTACGTGCAGGATATATTTACGGTTCTAGCAGCTTACCCATCCATCCCTACTGCCAAGCATGTTTGTCGAGTAGATTCCTGTATATCGGCTGTCAGCGCAACTATAGGAAAGTGATCATTTCTACCCTTGTTTTTTTCGAGTTTTCGAATCCTTCCTGTGGCCTCTACTCCATCACACTATTTAGCAACAGTAAACAGGATATCAGCTCAATTGTTTGGAAGCGTACTCGAAACAAAAAGGATGGATTTCAAAAGAAAGAAAGGGTGATTCTCAACCTGTGGCATATGATAATCGAGCATTGCGAGCGAAAAGTATCCAGGAGGATTATTTTGCCATGCCTCCACAGCTTCTAACCCGTTATTAGCACAAACAACCTTAAAACCCAAACGCGTGAGCTGTTTGTACAAAAGCTTTTGAGCAACAGGATTATCTACATGAAATCATATCAAACCATAGTTTAGCATTGCTTGTATGTATGCTACGTTAAGAGCCCCAGAATACCTTCTGCAATAAGTAGCGTCTGTGTACTGTATAGAGCTTGCTCTTCAGGAGAAATAGTATCTTGGGAAGCCTTCTTTCTACTTCCTATTGTCTTGGTTGATATTGAAGGGCGTGGCGTTGACGGTGTTTTGAGCGTTTTTTTAATGATAGCGGCATCGTCGCTCGTTTGCTGAATCATGTCGACAAGAGCTTGTAGTAAATTTATGCGTCGAAGAGGAACAGATATACGAACAACCGAGCGTAGCTTCATCGGAGGAAGGCTTACGTTCCCTGCATTTACCCTGAGGGTACTGCTTGATAAATCACTGCGACCATTTTGACTGAGTCGCTCGTCGTCTGTAATGCCGGTTGTTGGAAGATTGTTTGTGCATAGCACGTCGCTGTTCGCGACACTAGGATAATGCATCACAACTACACAGCGAGCACTTTGTAAAAACTGCTTAAGGTGGGTTGTCCATACTTGGAGTTCTGGATCGCTCGTCAACCAAAGGCCAACGAGGACAACGTGGTAGTTGGTGGCCTGCCGATGGATGAAATCACCAGGAGTATGCGCTCCGTCTACAGCTATTCCGGGCAGAAGTTGGCGTATCATCGATGCAGTAGATTCGTGGGTCGCAGCAACAAGGACTCGAGCACCATTCAACTTTTTTAATAAGTCTGCAATCACATCTTCGCGTTTGTTGGCCTGCTCATGTACACGAGATGTCGTAATGTTGAAGAAGAAATTCGAACCCTTGTTTGGCTCGCTCTTCACGTCAATTTTACCAGACATCAAAGAAACCAATTGCAAGCAGATTGATAATCCGAGTCCAGTGCCACCATAGTTACGGCTAATGGATGCATAAAATTTTAGGACCTTACGATGTCGACAACAAATATTGATATTCGAAATGACTTACGTTGTACTACCATCCACCTGCGAGAACGGCACAAAAAGTACCTTGCGTTGCTCTTCGCTTATCCCAATACCAGAGTCAACTACTTCGAAAAGTAATGATATTTTACCATCCGTAGATAAATTCTTTTTGTCCATAGAGCACCGTATTTTGACTTCTCCATCGTGGGTGAATTTTAATGCGTTGCCCAAAAGATTGATTATGACCCTGTAACATAATTAACAGGTTGAGCATACAAATTCCATTTATTATACGCCAAATCTTGATAGTTTAACTTACTGTCGTATACGGTTGCCATCAGCCATAATGACAGCAGGTACATCTGGTTCAACACTATAACTGATATTGATGCTCTTTCGAATGGCCAAGGCAATCAACATTTCGATGACGTCTGCCAGCAGATCGTCAATCACAATAGGTGACAAATCCAACGAGACTTTGCCAGCTTGTAGTTTTGAAAAATTCAGCAGATCGTCAATAAGCTGTAGAAGCATCTCACATGACTCTTTGGCAGTTTGGACGAGGTCTCGTTGCTCAATATCCAGACTAAAGTGATGCACCTGTTTAAATTTTGATGATATTTTGTAGCACACTTTATAGCTCTGGTTGGTAGTACTTACTTTGTATCGGCCAACAATGAGATCATTCCGTAAAAGCCCGAAAAAGGAGTACGTATCTCATGGCTCATATTTGCCAAAAAGATTTCACGTAACCGCATTGCTTTATCGGCAGCTTCTTTGCTCCGTCGAGCCTCTTCAAGTGCTTGTTTTTGCTTCTCAATCATTCTAGAAAACAAATTGTTACTGCTACATGAACTTTTGTGGTGGCAATACAAACCATTTATGCACAAACCTCATATTCGTCATAGTAGCTCGCTGCACAGACTTGAATAGAAAGGCATTCGTGATTGAAATACCCATCTGTTGGCACAAAAGACTGAGAACAGCAATATGCCTTTGGGTGAAAATACCAACGACACCCTCAATAAATAAGCAACCCACAGTGGTTACTTTGTGAATGATTGGCATGCATACAACTGATTTTCTTTTGACACGCTCAAACCATGGTCCCACGGCAAACCTTGTATCTTTTTGGACATCGTTTACGTAGGTGCTTTCACCGGTATGTATCGTATGGTTGATAATGCGACTTGATACTAGGTCGTCATCTTCTGATAGCGGCTTTGGTGGATCGTATGTGGTAGAACTATCTTGCTGCGTGCCGTACGCACACACACCAAACTTATCGTCTTTGATGACAATAGCAACGCAATCTGCTGCTGAAACGTCGAGGATTATTCCTATTCAATGCAATACAACGCGGAAAGTCAGATAATCATCATGGGATGTATCAATCCTGATAACGTAAACAACAGTCCTTACCCATCATCGAACTCAAGAGCGCATTAAACTGGATTTCAGAGCTTAGGACCTGTGAGCTCTTTAAAATTGAAGCCATATCGATCTATCAAAAATGAAGAGAAAACATTAGTATGTACATCATAGAGGTCACCAGCTCAAAATTGTCATTGAAAGAAAAAAAACTGATACCAACAATATCTAAATTCAACAATGTTTGCTCATGTGTAGCAGGTGTCATGAATTCACAAGCTAACGGCTCGTTGAGTGCTACCCTACTTCCGTTTGATGATGCACTGGGACTCCATCCTTGAGCACCATGGTACGGTAGAGGATCAGTTTGGATTTCTGCTTCTTGACTTTCAGATCGAACATCGTCGAAATCGGACAGAAGCTGAGAGAATTTGTTGCTAACGTGTCGTCCTTTTCCGTATGCACCATGCTTCATATACAGATCAACTGCCTAATAAAAGACAAAATCAATATATCTTTTTCAAAGTATTCGATATATATTCCTACTTTACCTTTCTTATATATCCATAGGCAGTATTGTAGAGCCCGATGCGGTTGTAAAAGGCACCGGTATACTCATGCATAACGCAGAGGTCAAAGTACCATGAATTTTTTCTTGCTAGATTTATTGCTTCTTCGTAAAGTCTTCCGGCTTTAGATATGTCAGGAGAATCATCGCTAATCCCTGCAAGTTCAGCTTCCACAAACGTCCAGAACATGGAATAATTGTTTGGACTGTGAATAGCCCATTCGTGTACCAACTCTTGGTTCCTCTTGACTTGCTCGATACATTTTTGGTAGATTGTTGGATCTTGACGTGTCTTTTCAATAAGCGCCAAAGAGAAGAAACAAAGCATCATGCGGGTGTGGCGATAACTTGGATGAGCATACATTGTGTCGATAGATCGGTATCCAATTTCAATTGCAGAATCAAGATATCCATAGAGTGTCAGTGGTACGATCTTGTAAGATTCGTACCAATTTAACATAATGTTGGGTCTGTAGGAGTGCTCGCAACTCTCCGAAACAAAGTGGGAGTCGTTGAAGCCGTCATCGCCGTCAAAAACGTTTGGCGTGTTAATGTACGTTTGGCCCTGGAGTGCTTTTGCTGCGCGTAGAATAGCCAAGGAAAAGAACTTGGTTTCGACAGTAGGTGAATATATCAGGATTTCGTCATATGTTGCTTGACTTTCCCGGGCAACATCTTGCATATTATATCCTTGACCAAACATAAGAATGCATATATGAATCCGGTTAAAGGTGTAGTACATATTGTCACCAGCAGAGCTGCAGAAATCTAAAGCATTTTGATAATACTTGTACGCTTTACTGAGAGGATACTTCCACTGAAGTACATAAGCTGCGTATATGTGGTATGCACGTCCTTTTTCTTGGTTGCTTCCGTATTTATCGGCAAGTGCGATGCCCAGGCTACCGACTTCCTAATCTCAGTATGAGCAAGCGAGCACATTATTGCATACCAGTATTGATTTCTTTTCGCTATAATACCTCCGCAAACTTATATTTCTGATAGAGACTCGCGAATCCGATACCAGTGGCCATACATCCTGAGCCTGTAACATTGGTAGGACCATAGAGAGCAGTGAGATTAAGTATGCGACAGGCCCAGTGACATAGCTCCAACATCTGCCCGCCAAAAAAACAAGATACGAGTCTGAACAACAAAACCAGTTAGCGATACGTTTTCACCTCCTACATGCATGAACCACATATACTTACAGCTCTTCTAGAACACCCATAGTGGCTTTAATAGTCAAATTCTCGCAAGGCTTCATGGCGAGAATTCCATCGACTCCAAACTGCCGTATCAGCCTTTCGGCTTGACTGTATTCCCGCAGAATACCTGCTTCACTGATATCTAATCGCGCTTTCTCTCTTCCCAGCTCGTCCAAACACCGTAGTAGCGCATCTTGAGCCTGTTCAGTCTTCTGTATACTGTAGAGATACCTCGATTGAACACGATAAGCTGGTACTCGATCCAAGGGGCATCGTGATTGTGCGAAGATGATATCCAACCATTGCTCAGTAAGTGTGTATGCACCAACTACCCATGATAATGCAACAGCATTTGTGTAGAGAAGAAGCGTCCCGCTATAGTTGATATCATTCCATTCTTGATTCGGATCACTAAGCTGTATCGCAGAATTAAAGTAAGCAAATGCCATATCATGGGCACCAGCAGTTTGACACTTCGTGGCCGAATCAACAAAAATTTGCCGATATCGCTCCTTGTCGTCCTGCAACATCAACAGATCGATGCACTTTAGCAAATGATCGGCCACAAGAAATGTGTCAACGAGTTTTTCTAATATAATACTAGTGTGAGACTCTATGAATGTCGAGTAAGGCTACGTTACGTGACGTCTATTGAAGATATACCTTCCATTAAGTGCTGTGCAACAGTTAGATGTATATTATCCAATGTGTTCGGATCTGCCAATGCAGCCGCCGCCTGGGATATCCGGTCATGACTCCATTTGAATTCGCTCTCATTAATAGGTACAATGTATCCTTCTTGTAATACAGCCTGCAGACCACTAATAGGGTCGTAGTCTGATCCCGTCGGTGAGCGACTACAAGGAGTTGGTGGAGATCTTGTGTAGAAGCGTTGAAGTCGTTTGAATAAACCGGTGTTGCCGCTCGAGTTATTCGACGTGTTGTTTATAGAAGAATCGTTAGTCAGAGTGCTACTGCTACTGCTACTGCTACTGCTGCAAGCATCGTCCTTGGGTTGTTGCTGGCGATACTGTGTAACCGAAGGGCATTCTGCACCACTTTTTTTTACAGCGCCTTTTTCTGCGGATATCATCAGCGCCTTGACAGTTTCCCAAGAAAATGTGTCCCCGATAAATGAAGCCCACTTCAAAAGGTCTTGCGCTGCATGTGGTAGTTCTCGTAACCTCTTCACCATAAACGAGACATTGAGCTGTGAGTTTTCACCGTCGTCGAACACGGTGACATCTTCGATGTCGCGCAAGTTGTAGTCCCACTCATTTTTCTCCCAGTTGAAAAATATGAGTTTTTTCCGCTCGAGCGTTCGTAGAAGCTGCACTGCATAAAAGGCGTTACACTGAGTTTTTCGGACTACCACATTGGCCAGAGGCATAATCGCTGCTCTGTCAGTTTCGCTTGAGCGGTGAAGGGCTTCGCAGATAAAATCGGCTATTGAGTTCTTGTCGAGGGGCTCGATTTTGATGAGGTGTATGTCCGCCAAGTGTTTGAGTAGCGTAGATAGCTCGGGAGTCATTTCTTGATCCCTGTATGAAATGAATATTAATATCCTGACGCGCGCCATGGCTAGGGCTTCTATTAACTCGAGCGACGGAGAATCTGTCCATAAGAATAAAAAATAAGTTAATACAGATATTCGTGCAGTTGATCTAGGACACTCATATACAATCATACTATGCACATACCTGCCTGGTGTAAATCATCTAAGAACTATATTCAAAATTAGTTTGAAATTGAAAGGTATGAAATGCTAAAAGGGAATATATACTCCTCTTACCAACGTTGCTGTTCGCCAACTTGTGATTGCACGGAATACTTCCACGTAGACTTTTCTGAACCGGGCTTGAGTTTCGATGTTATCCAGCCGAACCATTTCTGGTACATTGATACCCTCTCCTTCGATATCCGGTTCTTGTAATAGTGGCTTTAATTCAGGTACAAAGCCAACCATGACGTGTATGTTGCAAAACTGTGCACCGAGCGAGCATTTCAAATGAGTGTAAAATGCACTGATTTCATCTTCATTTTCAGAGAGGACTTGCTGAAAGATCTGTGATAATGCTTGGGTGACTGCACTGTATGGTGTTTTGTTACGAGCATCAAATTTTGTGGAGGCGACATATCTATGGGAATATGATTGCTTTAATGGAGGTTATCTCAGAATAATTGACATAACAATAGCAACATTTACCCATTTTGTCGAGCCGCTGGTTGGACAGCTGTATATATCGTCGATTTACCTTTTTTGCATACCATTTCATAAGCACTTAATCTTTCATTTCATTGACTGATGACTTTCTTCCAGCTTACCAATGCCACCGGGGCCGTAGAGGCCAACAACAACTGTTCCCGTCTTACTGCTATTGGTAAAAATCCGACTGCCGATACTTGAATTATCCGTTGCTCCGTTTACGGTAGTAGGCCTTTGACCTGCAGTAAAAATTAGTGCCGATTTGGGCCCAGAATCCGCTGCACTGCTGCTTTCAGTTTCTGAAGAAAGCTCGACCAGAGATTGGGGGTCCACACGGAATTCGGTACCATTGCGCAACCTGAATGGCCTGTGCAGTAATGCGCATCGGCCAATGATAGCGGTGACCTCCGCTATGACGCTTTGACGACCGTAAATACTTTTGGGCAATGTAAATACAGAAGCGATGTCCTTTTGGGCCAAAGGAAAAGGTTCTATCCACTATAGCATACCTATAATGAGTTATATGCTACATATCCATGCTACACGGCGCTGATTAGCAACATTACCTGTGTAGAGGGGTGTTTTGCTGCCTTTAAACGCTTGAGACACTCCTTTAAGTCGGAGCTGACTCCACGGGCACTGGTATATCGATCATCAGGTGCCTAAGCTAGCGTGTCAGGGAGACATAAATTAAAGAAATTACGTCATATCATGCAAGCACTAACCTTATTTGTCATTTTTTCGATGATCCTGGAAATGACTTCAGGAACATCTCGTTGTAGTTCGTGTACGGGCGGAAGCTTTCGACTGAGGATACCTTTGAGTGTTTCCAAAGGACTCCCTTCAAATGGTCGTCTTCCGGTTAGCAACACAAAAAACATGACACCAAGCGAGTATATGTCTGTTCGATGATCAGGTGGATAAGTAGTGCGGCCAGTTTGTTCCGGACTCATGTATATCAAGACTCCGCGCAAAACCTTGACCAACTCCTTATTGTTCATCGTTTTCCGCCAACCATCGGCAGACAAGGTCAGATAGCTTTCCAAAGATTTCGAGCCCGACCCAAAGTTGCATAACTTTACGCTGCCTTTATCTGACCCATCCCACTGGAATGCTTCCATACGTATTTCACCGTGGATACATCGATATCGATGGATAAAATCCAATGGTTCCAGGCACTTGATCCCGAATTTCAAAAACCGCTCCAGATCGTAGTACGTTGCATTCGTCGCTGCATAAGATGATGCTGTGGTTGCATGACTCCGCGTATTGTTTTGTCTATTTAGTCCGATCCAAGCACGGATATTGCTTGTGCTATCGTCACCATCTTCTGGCGATTCTGAAGACGTGACACTATGTTGATGCGGCTCGCTGGCGTATATTGAGACGTTTAAGCCACTTGGCAAACGAAGAAATTCTAACGGTCGTACTAAAAGAAGCGTTAACCATAAATTATCTTTTCTGTATAATCGCTGTCTTACCAATGAACGAGTCGCCTCCCGTATATTGATACAGTTTTTTCATTACATAGAACTCGCGCTCGAGGCGTAATGAGTTTGCAGATACGCGTGCAACGACGGGGTTTTTGTTCTTTATCCTGATCGTTGATTAAGCATTTAATTATTCAACGTCGAAAATTACAATTTGCATTCCGAGAGAAAATTCTGAGCGCAACATTTACCGGTAACCATGAAGCACGTCAACGTTTTCGCCATTTGAGAAACTGGAAGTGACATTTGCTTTGAAGTGATATCCAGAGACGTGGAAGTTACTATTGATGTTTCTGGACCCGATCGAATTTGCTTTTGAGCTGGCAGACTCCGAGTTGGACATGTTATGCATACGTTGTTACTGCTTCAAGGAAGGAAAAGAAGGGAAAAGAGCAGGAAGAAGCAACGATACCTTATGACGAGGAGAGTTCAAGGAGGTAAGGTGGAGGATTTGGAGTGAGTGGCTACTTTAGCGTGGCGTCTGGATATGAGAAGAGTGCTGCTTGTTTTGCAGTAAAACAATACATAAGGAGTAAGGGTGACACAAATAACGTCCTACTCGCAGAACATGCCTTATTTTGCAAAATGAAGATCCTTTGTTGGAAATTCTGCTCGTTATTTGTCTCTATAGCTATTACGTTTAGACATTCTAGGTGACAATAAGTCATTTTCTGAACGATTTCGTGCTTTGTCAGTATGCAATGCAACACATTTTTTCATTGATCAGATGAGCTTATTTGCCGTGCATTTTCAAAACTTTACTATGATATGCATTTAATTAACTTACTCTCTTTAGAGCTAATATAGTGGGCCGCCGTTTTCTGAAAAAATCAGGTAGGATTACAGCTCATCAACGCTCATCGAATACTTCTTCTGACGTTAGAACCAATGATAGTGTGAAAGAACCTAATTATTCGCACATAGCTCTCGCAATATAGCGTCAGTTGCTTCCAATTCGATGTTTAAATAGTTTAAGTAACATATTACCTCCTCTTTAGAGATTATCTTATGTAGTCTACAGCAAGCTATGCAGTGCATATGCCTCACGTACAACCGATGACCGACAAGCTGCTGATGGATAATACTAACGGTGTTATAAGCTTTCTGATTATCTCATCATACCTTAATGCATTGACAAATAACAGTTTGAAGAAAAACTCTAATGGAGAAGCTGTTCTTGGAGTTCGTACGCAATGTGGAACCGGCACAAAGGTGAGAGCGAGAGAGTTAGCGGGTCTTCAAAATACATTTCCAGTGTTGCCACAGCTTTTAGAGTAAATCGCCAATGTCACTGTTTCCAACCAAATGATCTGTCTTTACATTTTGAATTAGGAATGTTAAAAAATAGAATTATGGCTGACGAAGTAGTGGCTTTTGTTTAGAGCTAAGGAATGATGTGTCGATTGCCCAACGTCGTTGGCACTTAGCTAACGGTAGACGATGTGATGCTGCTCAGGCTATAGTGCTACCTCTGGTAGGAAATGGAGAACACACATACGGTGTATGTACAAAAGGGAAGGTTTTAAATCACAAAAGCCTGGACATGAATTGAGAACCGATGACATGATGCATCTCTCTTTTGCAAAGATTAAGATGAAGTAGGAAAAAGTTTGTTGGCACTCACATTTCCACCCCTCCCCGAGGTTTGAGCATATGCATGAATAAGATGTTATGTACTTATAAACAGATATTTACTTTTTATATAATAGAATGCACAGCTGTAGCCTAAAGTATACATAATTTGGAGTTATAATAGCTGTCTTTAATCTCTAATTTGTTGCATTACTACCAAGAGTTATGATTGTTTCTTGTAACAAAAATGCCTTAATACTTCAGAAAGTACTTTGTGACTCATGGGCTTTGTGAGGTAGCTACACATGATATTTGTTGTAATTGTCATGTTTAATACCACTTTCCATAAAATTGGAATGGAAAATACTTACTGATCAAAGCCCGCATTCATGCAGATTTCCTTGGCACTGTCCTGAATGTCAGCTGTCAATGTAACGATCGGCATCCTCGAAAGATTCTCTTTTTTCTCAATTCTTCTAATTCTTTTTGTTGCTTCTACACCGTCGCACTGGAGAAGGAAAAATTATTCAGCTAAAAAATTTCCCTAAAAGCATTTAATAAAATGAGGGGAAATGTTTCCAACCTGTGGCATATGGTGATCGAGCACTGCGAGGGTAAAGTATCCAGGAGGATGATTTTGCCATGCCTGAACTGCTTCCAATCCATTATTTGCACAAACAACCTTGAAACCAAGACGTGTCAGCTGTTTGTATAGTAACTTTTGTGCTACAGGATTGTCTAGATTAAGATGCATCATAGTCTAGTAAGTAATCTACAGAGATCAAAAAGAGCACAGGAACAAATAATGGTATAATTATTCTTTGCCTTACCTTCAGCAGCAAGTATCTTTTGAGTGCTATAGACAGCACGCTCTTCGGCGGAGACAAACTCCTGAGAGACTTTTCGTACTTCAGAGCTTGCCCGAGTAGCCAAAGCAGGTCGAGGAGTGTCCGGTGAAGCCATCGTTTTATGTAGCGCGTCCACCAGGATTTTAAGAAAATTAATCCGTCGAAGAGGAATCGTTGCGCGAACAGTGACCTGTTGTTGCATCGAAAGACAGGCGTTTTTCTCTGCTTCGGTTGCTAGAGAGGATGAAGCCGTCGAAGGTGGTTTTGCTGTTGCTAATGACTTATGGTCATTCTTGCTCTCAGTAGCAAGGGAAGAACCTTGGTCCTGCTGCGGGTCTAATACTAGTTGGTTCTTCTCCATAATATCACCTATTGCACCTGAAGTAGGATAATGCATGACGACAATGCATCGCGCACGTTCCAAGAAAGGTTGCATATGGCTTGACCAACTTGCGAAATCGGGGTCATGCGTCAAAAAAAAGCCGATAATAACAATGGTGTATTGACTCCCTTTGTGAGAAACAAGGTCGTCAATAGAGCATAATCCGTCAACAGTTTTACCAGGCAAAAGCGCCTGTATCATCTTTACGGTAGACGTATGCTTGTCGATAACCACAATACTGGCGTTTCCCAACTCGCGTAGGAGTCCGATCACCAGCTCTTGCCGCTTTTTTGTTTGCTCGTGAACGGTTGATGTATCAATTGAGAAGTGGAAGTTCGACCCTTTGGATGGTGTGCTCTTAACATCGATGGTACCAGACATTAACTTGACTAGCTGCATACAGATCGATAATCCAAGTCCAGTTCCACCGTACTTGCGCCTACAGCAAATGTTTTTCTTAATACTCAGTACGCTTTGGTAAATCGCGAGTCAGTGCACATTTTTCCTTACGTGGTGCTACCATCTACTTGAGAGAATGGCACAAATAACGCCTTTCGCTGTTCTTCGCTTATACCAATTCCAGAATCAATGACTTCAAACAAAAGCGGCGTTATGTTATCTCCATTTCCACCCTCGACTGGCGAAATGAGTCGATCCTTCCTTGTTGTGCAACGGATTTGGATCTCGCCATGATGGGTAAATTTAATCGCATTTCCCAAAAGATTGATGATAACTCTATATAGCACATGTTGAGGATTAGTAACGAGTAAAATATCCACTAAAACTCGCTACTACCTATTGTAGTATTAACTTACTGCCTCAAGCGGTTTGCATCAGCCATGACCACTGCTGGAACTTCTGGGGAAACTGTAAATGTGATATTGATTCGTTTCTGTATCGCCATTGCTACGAGCATTTCCACGACGTCTGCTATCGCATTATCGACTATGACAGGCGAGTAATCGAGAGAAACCTTTCCAGCTTGTAGTTTAGAAAAGTTTAAAAGATCATCAATAAGTCGCAAGAGCATCTCGCAAGATTCTTTGGCAGTGTAAACCAAGTCATGCTGTTCTGGATTAAGTCTTCGCATAAACAATAGCAAGGGACCAGATTTGTTAGCACTTTCATGGCAAAGTTTCCTTGTCCATAGTTACTGTAGTAGATACGTACTTTGTTTCGGCTAATAGCGATATCATTCCATAAAAGCCTGAGAATGGCGTCCGAATTTCATGGCTCATATTTGCCAGGAAAATCTCACGTAGCCGTGTTGCCTTATCAGCCGCTTCTTTACTTTTACGAGCTTCTTCAAGTGCCTGCTTCTGCATCTCTATCATTCTGAAAATTATGTATCGGCTCTAATCAGTATAACAACGGTAGTCATAGTACCCATTAAAGCGGTAGTGGCTTTTTCTAGGTATACATTACCTCATGTTTGCCATGGTAAAACGTTGCACGGACTTGAACAGGAACGCGTTGGTAATAGAAATGCCCATCTGCTGACATAATAGTCCAAGGACGGTAACGTGTCGATGTGTAAACACACCAACGGCGCCTTCGATCAGTAAACACCCCACAATAGAACATTTGTGGATAATTGGCATGCATATAACCGATTTTGCCGGATTTCGCTCAAACCATGGTCCAACGGCAAATCTTGGATCGTTCTTAATGTCGCGAATGAATATGCTCTTCCCCGTGTGTATAGTGTGGTTGATAACGCGAGTTGGGACTAGGCCATCCTCATCCTTGAGTGGTTTGGGTGGATCAAAGGTCACTGTTTGTTGCTCCTGACTCCCGTAAGCTCCGATTCCATATTTGTCATCTTTGAGAATAATGGCAACACCGTTTGCCGCCGAAACATCAAGAATAATGCCTATACAAACCATATTAACAAATCAGCTTGATTCATCGAGTTATATTCAGTGTGTATTACCCATCATGGAGGTCAAAAGTCCTTCGAATTTCACTTCAGAGCTTAAAACTTGCGAGCTCTTCAATATAGACGCCATGTCGACCTTAAAACAGCAAAGAAACAGAAAGTTAGTCTTTTTCAAAAAAAATTATAGGTAGTATGTGGTGCTATTTACAATATCCAACGACATCAACGTGGTTTCGGCAGTTATGGGTGGTATGCACTCAGATGTATAAGACTCGTTTATCAAAGCGTTAACGCCTTCTTCACCACGATGAGTTGACGAAGTAGTGCTCCATGTAGGCTCTCGCTGTAAAGGAATAGGATCGGTTTGGGTGGATGCCTGTAATCGTTACGTAGTCTGTTCAGTTCCTGATATTGCTTTGATTTCAGCAAAAAAAAAATGTCCTGCTTACCTCAACACTCTCCCTTCTGCTATCATTAAAGTCATTCAGAAGAGCGTCGAACTTGACGATCAGTTGCCGTGCCTTTCCATATGAGCCATGACACGTGTATAGTTCGATTGCCTGTATATCCAGCAATGACAAAGCCCATTAGTGTACATAAAATGTAAACTACTGACATCCAAACAATTAAAGTGTGCATTGCTACCTTTTTTATCAAGCCGTAGGCAACATTGCGGAACCCAATTCTGTCATAGAATGCGCCGGCATATTCATGGATAACGCAGAGATCCAAATACCATGAGCCCTCTCTTGCGTGGTCGAGGGCCTCTTCGTACAAACGTCCAATCTTCACAACATCAAGCGGTTCTTCGATACTGGCCAGTTCCGCTTCGATGAGTGTCCGATACATGGCAAAATTAATTGGTGCTTGTACAACCCATTCCTGTAATAACGTTTGATTCGCATGGACTCGGTCAAGATACTCCTGTCGGCGAGCTGGATCTTGACGACATTTTTCGATCAAAGCCAACGACATATAATGACACATCATGCGTGTGTGCTTGTGACAAGGATGACCTTCTAATGTTTCTAAGCAACGATAACCCGTCTCGATCGCAGCATCCAAGTGACCGTAAAGCACGAGCGCAACCATTTTAAAGGACTCGTACCAGTTTGATAGCAGGCCCGGGTCAGAACTATGTTTACAGCTCTCCACAAGAAAATGGGAATCACTGAATCCGTCGTCGCCATCAAAAACATCTGGGGTATCAATAAACGTTTGCCCTTGTAATGCTTTGCACAACCGGATAACACACATTATCAGGCTGTTGTGATCGATTGTCGGGGACCACGAGTGTATTTCTTCGAAACTTTGCTCGGCCTCTCGGATAGTTATTGCTAGGTTTTCTCCCGTGAAAAACCGAATTTTCGCAACCCAAACCAAAGCAAATGCGCCGTAAATGCGGTCGCCACATGACTGGGAGTAGTCGATTGCAGACCTAAGATAGCGATACGCCTCCTTTTGATGATACTTCCACTGGAGCGCAAATGCTGGATATAAACAATAGGATCGACCTTTGTCTTGGGTGGTACCGTGTATGTCTGCTAGGTGCAATCCTGTACTTGCGAGTTTCTACATCGTAATTATGCCATTATAGCGTTTCAGAATACACACACACGATTGGCGAAGATGTACAGTGTGTCATTTGTAGATACATACCTCCGCAAAATTGTACTTTTTAAAGAGATGGGAGAAACCCAAAGAAGCAGTTATAAACGCGTTGCCAGTTACAGTCGTTGGTCCTCGCGTTAGAGATATATTGACAATGCGACATGCCCAGTGGAACAGCTCACGCTGTCTGCCACCCCAATATGATGACGCAATTCTATATATGAACAGAAAGTACATTTCAGTTTTATAATAAGAGCATATGTTAGACCGAGTTTATAGTAGCTTACACTTCATCCATAACAACGACAGATCCTTTTATTATCTCATCGTCGCATGGCTCCAAAGCCAGGACACCCTCGACCCCCAGTCTTTCGAAGTTCTGCTCGGCTTGATCATATTCACGTTGAAGTGCTTCTTGGCTCGTATCCATCCGTGCTACCTCGTCGCCAAGCTCATCAAGACATTTATAAAGCGTCTCGCACCCTTTCCCGTGAAGCTGCGCGGCATAACAACTTTGGGCTTGTACACGGTAAGCAGGCATCCGATCGATGGGGGTTTTGGCCTTCTGAAATAGAACTTGCAATAGATCTTCCATTTGCTCGCTTTCACCTACAACCCATGATAATGAAACCGCATTCGTATACAGTCGCAGAGTCGTTTCATAGTTGTCATCATTCCATTCTTCTAGGGAATCGCTTAGGGTGATAGCGCAGCTGTAATAAGCAAACGCCATACTATGCGCACCAGCCGCTTGCCCTTTTTCTCCTGCCATGATCATGACTTTTCGATAACGTTCCTTGTCGTCGATCGATGACAGAATATCTTGACAATTAAGTAAATGATCGGCGACGAGAAACGTGTCGACTACCTCATCTATTAATTCGTTAAAACCCCAACGTGAGTTATCAATCTATACATGTTAAAATTGATGCTTGACATACCTTCTAAAAGATGTTGCGCAATTGTCAAATGCATTTTGCTTCGACTTCCTATATCAGCAAGCTCTGCAGCCGCTTGCGAAATACGATCGTGACTCCATTTAAATTCGTCGCCACCAAGAGACATAATATATCCTTCTTGCAAAACAGCTTGCAGACCACTGATAGGATCATTAATTGAGCCAGCAGAAGAGGTGCACGTGGAGGTTGCAGCCAATTTTCGAGTAGAGTTTTGTCTGTTTGATGATGTCACTATACTGTTGCGGCAAGATTCATCATCGCTGTTGTCAATGCTATCGTCGTCGTCGTCGTCTCCTTCGTGTACTACGGCGCATGAATTTTGAATAAATTGCTCCGTGTCACTGTCGTTGTTGTTTATGTCGCATATTCGTTTGCCATGATCAGAACTTCCGCCATTTTTTGCCATACTATCATGTTCGTACTTCTTTTCTTCAGATAACATCAAAACTTTGACCGTATCCCAGGAAAATGTATCGCCCACGTAAGACGCCCATTTAAGAAAGGACTGCCCTGCGGGTGGAAGTTCACGTAACCGGGCCACCATAAACGAAACATCCAATTGTGTATTAAAGTTCTGCTGATCGAACATTGTGGCTTCTTCAATCTGTAGAAGGTCGTAGCGCCATTGATTCTTTTCCCAATCGAAATAAATCAGTTTTTTTCGCTCGAGTGTTCGTAATAACTGGGATGTGTAGAATGCGTTGCCACGCGTTTTTCGAAAAATGACATCTGCAAGAGGCAGAATGGCTTCTCGATCGACATCACGTGGTCGGTGAAGCGTATCGCAAATAAAGTCGACGAGCGGATCCATCCCTAGGGCTTCGACTTTGATTAAGTGAACATCTGCAAGTTTGCTTGCGAAAAACTCGGATTGCTTGTCTGTAATTTCTTGATCTCTGTACGATGTGAAGATGAGAATCTTGAAGAAAAAAAAAGAGGCGGGAAAAGTGTCAGCGTGCCACAATCTCCACTTGTCAAACAAAGTAGCACGGACCTTGACGCGTGACATGACTAGTGCTTCCATCAACTCCAGTGAAGGCACATCTTGAATATGGAAGATGGTGAAAAGTTATCAGTGTTTGTATTTTTGTCAATACCCAAGATATCAATGTTACCCCATACCTGCTTGATGTAGATCGTCCAGAAACTATGGGTTTTCGATTATCAGCGCTCTTAATTACTTGTTGAAGCCATAAACGGGCGAAGGCTATTTCATATGTATCTCGCATCTCGTACTTACCAAAGTCACCATGCTCCAATGAGTAATTGCACGAAAAACTTCCACGTATATTTTATGAAATCTCGCTCGTGCTTCAATATTGTCCACTTGAGCTGCAGCTCCTCCACCAAGAGTCCCTGCTTTGTTATTCGATTGCAGCAATGTCTTGAACTCTGGTATAAAGTCAACGACAAGGTGTATATTGGAAAATTGTGAGCCGAGCGAAAGCCGTAGGTGTTCGTAAAATGCCTTGATCACTTCTTCGGATTCCGTCAAAATCTGTTGCAGGATTTGTGATAGTGCTTTGAATATAGTGCTGTATGGAACCTTATTTCTTGAATCGAACTTCACCGTTGCAATGTAGCTAATAATAGATTTATAGAAGTGGTGAATATATGTGTTGAAACAATTCTGTTTCTCATCAGGTGTATCATATTCACCCGTTAAGTCGAGCGGTTGGCTGCACAGCGGTAAAAAGCGTCGATTTTCCTATAAAAAACATTTTTTAATAAAGGAAGCTTTATCTGTAAAATAAGAACACATCCTCCGCTACAAACCTATTCCACCAGGGCCGTATACACCTACAAGTGTAGAAGCGGGTTTGCCATTATTGACAAACATTCGACGGGTTACACTTGATGCGTCGTTTCCATCAAATCCTGCGGCACTAACACTATTAGCGACACCACTATTTCCCGTGCTACAATGGCTGCTGCTCTCTAGATCGTACATTTCGTTAAATGTATCTATAATGTTATGCTCTGATATGCTCGTAGTCTCCGTTCCTCCAATAACACTAGTTCTCGTGCGATTTCTCTGAGCACTTGAGTTGTATACGGCGGCGCCTCGTTCAATAAGGTATTGCATTTGGGAAATAATACCCTGACGACCATAAACATGCTTCGGTAAAGTAAACACGGATGCGATATCGTTTTGTGCTAATTTAAAAGAAGGAATTGACTGCTAACTAAATCAGTAGGCTATGATAACGGCAGAAATAATGAATTATGGACATGATGCAACGACAAACAAATAGAATAATAACCTCTGATGATGATTCATCTGCCATTCGAAGACGGTGCAGGCATTCTTTGAGATCAGTGCGAACGCCACGAGCGCTGCTGTATCGATCGTCCGGAGCCTTATACATATGATGAGATTTGTAAATGACTCTTTACTCCTTTTCTACCATCACTGTATCCTATACCTTGCTCGTCATTTTGTCTATGATTCTCGACAAAATTTCAGGAACGTCGATCTGTAGTTCATGCACAAGGGGGATTTTGCGACTCAAAATTCCATTCAGAATATCCAGAGGCCCTCCGTCAAAGGGCTGCTTTCCTGTGAGTAGTACAAAGAAAGCAATGCCTAGCGAGTAAATATCTGTTCGATGATCGGGTGCATAAGTCGTTCGTCCTGTTTGCTCTGGACTCATGTACACCAACAAGCTGTGCAGAGCACCCACAAGCTCTTTATTGTTGGCTGTCTTGCGCCACCCTTCCGACGTCAAATAGCTAATTTTGCGCGATAAAAAGAAGTAGTGAGCCCAAGTGGCGACGATATAGCTTATACTACAGTTGCTATGCAACCATGGCACACACCTTTCAAGCGATTTCGAACCTGAGCCAAAATTCCATAATTTGACAGGACCATCGTCTGAGCCATTCCATTGAAAGCTTTGAAGTCGAATTTGACCATGTACATAGTTATGCCGATGTATAAACTCTAAACTGTCTAGGCACTTTATTGCGAATCGCAAGAAAGTGGACAAGTCGTAAATGGGTGTACTCCCGCCACTGTCGCCGTCCATGGAGGTTTGGTCATACAATTTATGCGGCTTGTTATTACTGCTGCTGTCGCTGCTACTGTCATGTCGACGTATCCAGGAACGTTGGTCTTTTTCTGTAGAATCGACTTGCCCATTACTCGTCGGTTTTGGTGAAAAATAGTCCTCGAAAAACTGTGTCTGGCTGTGCCCTTCGTCGGCATAAACAGCAACTGTCAAGCCGCTAGGTAAACTGACGAACTCCAGCGGTCGGGCTAACAAAAAAAAATCAAAAAGTTAAAGCAGCTTTCTTTTATCGTGATCATGAGCGAAAAAGCTAATTTTACCTAGATAAGAGGACCCGTCAATATAGTGATAGAGTTTCTTCATGACATAATATTCGCGTTCGAGTCGTAAGGTACTGGTTGAAACCTTCGCCACCACCGCGTCCTGGGTCGAGATGCGATACCCGTACACAACATCAACGTTTTCTCCATGCGACAAGTCAAGCGTGGATCCAGCTTTGAAATGGTATCCGTTTAAATGAAGTGTGCCAGGTAGCACACTGGTTGCTCTGGCTGAACCAGTGACAGAACTGGTTGATAATGTATTTGACATTGCTGCCGACGTAGCGTATTCTTACTGTCTGATGCTAGTTCCGCGAAAAGATACAATAAACAGATCACAACGACAGTGGACCCGACGTAGATGGTGTGTGGGATATTGGAATTAAAAAAATCAAACCCAGTTGATAAAGAGAAAGGAAAGTGAGGTCCTTGTAAAAATAAAAGTATATAGGAGAGAAAAGGTGAGAATAAGATAATTTTCTCTATTATGTGCGCGCTTAATAAGGAGGCTGCAGGAGCATTGGACTCTTATTTCCATCCCGAACTATGGAAACGGCTGAGTTTCCCTATTACTATCCACGCGGTCCTACCTTGCTATGTTTATACACATCCTCTGCCTCTTCTGTTTTGTGCACGACCATATACAGTATCATGCACGACTATGTAACGCTCTGGTGTATTCGTCAGGAAAAGTAAGAGCAAAACACTGCAGCCTTGCGGAGCGGATTTCACTTTAATAATGAAGTTAGAGCAAAACGCTCAAAAAATTAACATGCATTTCTTCAGATTTTCAGATATGCAGATCATCCTTCGGTTAAAGCGTCCGATTACTACTAAATTGTGATAGAAAGTATGTTTTCCTTATTGAAAGATATACCCAACAAGTTCACACTGCCCCATAATAGCACAAAAGTTGATGCGTACATGCATGCATGCATGCTACATATGACATGTATGCTTTAGGCTTTTAGGGTAGAAGCATTGTTACTTTGGTACAACGATCATCTTACCTGCTTATTGTATCCAGCTTTAAATGACCATCAATCTTGACGGCAGCTGTGGCAAATATGATGTTATCAATACTAACGCCATCCTAATTCTGGGTGCTAGTTCTGACAGTGACATATAATTGAGTATTCTCGCACAAACAAATCGCTTCATCTCCTCGTCAACCTCCTCTTCCTCCTCTCCGTCTCCTTAAAAATCCACCTGTGGTCTGGTTCTCCTTTCCATTGTACCAGCATTTCATTTTCTCCAATGTTTCACTGTCCTACATAATCACCATATTTACGCAGAACAAAGTTCACTTTCAGCCCGCTACATTGTTGCCAACTCCCTACCACATCCAATGCTCTTCTCCATGTACATGTTCGATTGTCGCCTTAAAAAATTGTCGCATATTCGGTGAGCTGATGGGTTTTTTTATTTCTTTTTAGGACTAGGCAACGAAATAGCATAAGGCTCTTTTCCTTGCTTGTAGAGCTCGCGCCATGAGAGGATGTATCTATTCAGTTTTCTATGAGTAAGGTACGCTATCAAAACCTTATACCAATTGACCCGACACATACTTTCGCTGTTTAGTGGGTATACCAAAGTCGTTTCTCATGGTACGGCTGTCTGCGGTAAACAGGCTTTCCCAGCTCTAATACAAAACAAGACACACAGAGAATAACCAACCTGTGAGTAAAAAAGCTTTCTATCAAGCCAATGTAACTAACGAATGAAGGCTAACCTCAAATTTGCCAGCAAATTCGTCGCAGCCACGTCCGATCGCTTTCAGGAAATCGCCAGCTTCTTTGATGTTGCCTAATCAAACAAAATCATAGCGAGCTTTCTTTTTCAGCACTTGACTTGTCTACTCAAGTCAGTATAGCACTTGTAATATTACCTCGTGGTTGAGGAGCAGTAACAGAGGCAGTGTGCGAAAACCGTGCACCACGGATCGCCAACGATCTAACAACTGTAAACATGACAGGTCAAAGGTCAAAACAACGGTGGGATCCCATGTGTTCAAATGCCGAAGAAAATTTGACTTTTGGATTGTCGGGCCGCACAGGCAACAGGCTATGGTATAGATACGCTGCTTAAACTTAACATATCTTTTCGCTCTACAAACATTCAACGATTCAAGTGACGATGGTCATTTAATTGCTCTAAAGATCATTTCCCTCTAATCCGTGGCACAACATCTGATTATCATTTGTGTAAAATTTTGAGGCTGTCGCTTGTGGTATATTTTTCATAAGTCTGTAAGGGGGAAAAACGCCCTAGGCATAAATGAAACGGGACTCGCCATCAGCATTGTATAACAAACAATGCTTTGTGAGCGTTCCATATAGTGACATTTCACTCGAGCCAACGTATAAAAGAGATTCAACCTTTTTATCCTCTTTTCATACTCCCATAAACTGTATATCTGATAATGTAGTATGCACACATGCTGTGCCGTAGGTACCATGATGCATGCCAAGAATCTCACCACGGAAAGCGACATCGGGGTGCATCATGTACGCAAACAGGACTAGCAGCACCTCTGAAAAGGGTACACAGAGCTCGGGCCGAGTAGGTAAGTACACCATATATGCCAGTGTAACCGCCAAAAAAAAAGGTGATGATAAACAGACCAGTACAATACCGCGTTATTATGATCAACAACTCGATGCGCGTTTCATAGAGACCTGACAGAAAGAAGTAGTGTTAAAGACGCATTTCGAAGGATGGTGTATATGATCCTAGGGTATAAGCGCTATATCAATTAAGGGGTTGGTAGTCTTTACTTTAGGGCGAGTAAAGTAGCAGCAGTGGGTAGTGAATCACATTCGTAGACAAGAAATGGTTGCCTGCTGCTGCAACAATCGCGATTATCACCTTTTTTGATAGAAGCATGCATGCCTGCGTTGATACTGTGGTACTCATCAAACAAGCTTTCGTCCACCCCACACGAATTGCTATAATAAACCATCACTACCACTACCAGTTGCCACTATGATAGTTTCCTTCTTTCTCTCTCTCTCCCCAAGCTTTATTTTTTCCCCAAAAGTAAATAAAAACAGACGGATCAGCTGGGCAGATCCAAAAAGTCTAAACAACCCTCCAAACAAGTCCACTGTTTCTTTTTCTCTTGCTTCTCTTTTCTACTACTTTGTTTCATCATACACATTATGGCGCAAGAAACGAGTCCTCTCCTCCGCTGGATGGCACCTCCTATAGCATGGCTGAGGAAGTTACAGGACATTAGCGTTTCGAATAAGCCCTCAATTACCATAGTCACGGCTGTTTTACTGGGCAACGTCAATGCAGCAAGCAACACCAACGGCAAAAGTAAAAAACGCTTTGTCCAAAGGTCGTTACAGTCTTTGCCAACCGAGGTGGCGCTGGAAGCGTTTGCCCGTCTGGACAGTGCAACGCTCTACCAACTTACTTTGGTCTCCCGCGGATACAGACATCTCCTTGCTCACCATGAAGCCAGCAGATGCTGGAACGCACTGGTGTTTGAGCCGCACATTCCCCTCGACGACGCTCGAATTAATAGTATGATGCGGTTCCTGACCAAGTTCCAGTTGCACATGTATACCCGCTCCGCCCATTTCGACGGCACCACCATCGATGTAACCCGATTAGAAAAGATTCTTCGCCACCTCCCTTACATCACACAGCTGTCTATCACCCACTGTCCCAATCTCGACTGCTATCAAGTATTGCAACTGCTCAAATCATCGGCCAAAAACACAAGTTTCGTAGATAACAACTCGATCATTTCAACCAGCAGTAGTCATACGGGCTTGGCCCCTTTTTTGCAGCATCTCGAACAACTTTATATGCAAGGCCTCTTCCCAAGTGAGCGTGGTCAAAAGTCCTATGCTCACGAAATGTATGCATACGGTATGATAAAAAAGCTGCTGCTACGACAACCGTGTCAGGATCTTAGCGAGAGTCACTATGCATTGTACCAGTTCTGGCTGCTGTTACGATCGCGTATGCTGCTTATAGCTGGTGATGGCGACTTTCGACCGCCGTGGCTGCCCGACGAGCTAGTCCAGTTTATCCAAGTGATCGAAGAGCAGCAAAATTTGCCATCTGAAGAGAATGGCAGCAACAACAACAACAACAGTAACCGACAGCGTCGACCTATTGCGGACGTCGAGCCTTGCCACCTTTGCCATAAGAACGTAGCATCGACAGGATCTGCGGCGTGTAAAATTTGTGGCGTGCCGACACCCAAGTCATGTGCCCAGTGCATGTGCCTTCAATGCGGCAATATCTTGTGTCTGACATGTTATCGGCAGTTTTGCGGGGGCAACTCGAACAGCGCAGCGCGAGGGAACGAAAATACAAGTCAGGCCCTGTTGCCATTATCTGCGACAGCGGCTGCAGCATTAGTGGCAGTGGCAACGACAACAAATGGGCAGCGGCCGCATTGTGGTATGCCGTGGCAAATCGTGCGGTGTCGGCAGTGCCATCTGTCACGAAGGGTTTGTGGATCGTCGGCGTGTCAGAAGCCGTTCATGACGTCGGAAAGAAGGATGATCGACAAGTGGTTTTGTACATCATGCAAAGAGAAGAGAAGAAACGACCGGTGGAAGACCAAGGCAAGACTGTTGCGGAGAAGCGCGAGACAGAGGGACGAATACATTCAATGGAATGACTAGCTGGCTTTAGCATTATGTTGATAACGTCTCGGTCTCTTTGTTTGTACAGTGGCCGCTCGTTATAGTGATATTCGATATAGTGATATTTCGATATAGTGATGGGTTTTTCGGGTCCAACTCAAATTAAGCAGGGAATTATTACTAATTCGCTATTGTGATATGTGATATCAACCATCAGAAATATCATTATATCGAGCGGACCAATAGTATACTTTTATTTATCAGAAAAGGAAAAAAGATCAGTTTGCTTTGCGCTGGTTAATATCTCAGAGTCTAGTCTACGCATCTTTTCTCTAATAAGCCTATATAACTGAGCGTGCAGGTCGTCTTCAACCACCATTGTTTTCAATAAATCGCTCATATACTGCTTCTTCTCTCTTTTACTGTGCAGTGGCTTCAATGCTTCCTTCTCCTCATCTCGTTTTCTCTACTTATTCTTTTCTTCATCAACATCTACCTGTCTGTATCAGAAACAAGCCTGTGACTTTTACATATGCAGTTACATCAGCCGTTTATGAACGTACCTTCATCTCTATCAATAATAGCATCGTTAATGAGGTCGTTGAAGGAAGTTGGTGCATGGATATCCTCTAATTCTTCATGTGGTATCAAATCAATACCATCAACGCCACATGTCTCCTCATGAGTATCCAAAATCCCAGCACCAAGCTCATCAGATAGAAGCCTTTCAGCTTATTCTCCTACACTAAAGTTTTTAAGGAGTTGCATACTATCAATTTTGACAGGATGTGATTCTAGAGCTTCTGTAGAGCTCGCCAAATACCCCGGGTAATCTATGTACCGGATATCTTTGACGGAACTACAATTCGATAAAGTAATAATTCGAAATAGTGATGGGGTTTGGGTCTCACCGGGCATATCACTATAACAAGCGGCCACTGTATAATTCTATTCTATCATACCCAACTTGATTTTCTGCATATAATGTTCCTATATGTGCATCGCATTTACATAACTATACTAGAAGGCATATTGTCACAATCAATCTAATTATATTATTAAATAGAGGGAAGACATCCTATGCAAGCTACAGTAGTCGTTGGTGATAAAATTATCTTAATAATGTCACCAAACAGGGGAGGACGAATAGCCGTTCCTATGCTAGAATACCAACATAATACAGCAGAGTAATTGGTGGGGAGAAGAGGACTATTCTTACTTTACAGAAACCAGTTTAGAGAGAGGGTGCCACTCGTTGACATAACACCAAAGCCAAAAGCTTGGATAAAACAGAAAAGAAAGAACGGGGACATATCGCGGTCCTCCGCGATCCTTCACGACGCGATGATAAGCCTAGGTAATAATTAACAGGTTAATGATAAGAGTGAGCAAGACATGCATGAGCAAGTAAATAACTCATGGTCATGTAGCGCAGCTACTTTTACGAAATGCCTTATGTACTTAATGAGGGTATCCGGGCTATGGAGAGGGCGGATATCATTGGTTATGATAATAACCGCTAATTATCAACTAAACCGCCATTATTTAAAGGTGCAAAGTATAGTAGTAATGATAAAGCTTATATAGGCGTTGTGTACTTCCTCATCGTGCCTATTTATATCAATTCAACTTATGATACTACAAGCATCGTATCATAACGGCAATCTTCCTCAGATGCATCATCGCAGCACTAGGTGGCATGGAATTTTATGGCACCGCTATTTTAGCTGGGTTGGTGACGTGTTATAATTCAAAACAGACAACTCTGGCTAGGGCAAACACCGAATCCGTTACAACACTACTTTCACGCGCGACCATGCCAGGAAAGAATCATACCGAATTGCAACAACGTGTGCCTGTCTACCACGATCCCTGGGCCAGACGTGAGGCATGGCGCAAGCACCCAATCTTCTCCAAGGGCTCCAACTTTAGAACCATGTTCCCAGGTCTCGGCATTGCTACCGTCGCATTTATTGCTTACTGTGGTGTTGAAGAATTCTTCCTCAAGGACAAGAAGCATCATTAAAAGATCAGAATGACCTCGGACAAAACGGCACGTACAACAAAGTAGCGCACATGTACACATGACGACAACGATAACAATACTTCTACAACAACCTCTATGGTCGAAACGAAAAACAATAGAGCATTTACAAACATTCACAACCGATTCTCGTACCCGGCAGCCATAATAAAAAAATTATATCTAAAAAAAGCCTTCACATGAGTTATATTCAAAGTTGCACAAGTGTCTATCGAAATCCGGGATGCAAAAAATGGCTACTTTGGTTGTTGAGATGCTTTTGATAATTTGTGTTGAATGTGATGTATATTTTACTCAATTCGTATTGCTTTTAAACATTTACAAAAGATTATAAGTGGAGTGGGGTGGGTTGGTATTTTACTATTCACAAAAGAAACGGTCTATTTTTTGTTAAAAAAAACGAAAAAAAAATCTACATGCTTTTTTATAGGGAAAAGAATTTGAGAGAGGCAGACGGCGTGTTATTGTATATATGAGTGCGGGATGATGTAGTTGTTGATAAAAAATGTCTGTGTTATGGGTTGTGCGGTGTGTGTACATGGAAGTTTTTAAAGGGAGAATTTACTGCTGCTGGGAGCCCGAATCGTTGTTGGGAGCAGCACCACCTTCGCTCTGGGCAGCACGGTTCTTGTAGACCATCTCGAACAACTTCAAGCTGCTCTGTTGGAGCTCATCGATCTTGGCCTTGAGTTCCTCGGGGGCGATAGCGGCATCACCAGACTGGGCCTTGATGGCCTCGGCACGCAAGTCAGTGATCTGGCTCTTGAGCTTCTCAGCCTCAGCCTTGTCCAACTGCTCCTTGAAGTCATCCATGGCCTTTTCGGTTTCGCTCATGACAGAGTCGGCACGGTTGGCCATCTCGATAGTGTCACGACGAGCACGGTCAGCCTCGGCGTTGGCCTCAGCCTGCTGGATCATGTTTTCGATTTCGTCGCTGCTCAAGCCAGACGAGGCAGCAATGGTCATGCTCTGGTCACGGTTGGTGGCCTTGTCCTTGGCGCTGACGTTGACAATACCATCGGCATCAATGTCGAATTCGACCTGGACCTGGGGAACACCCTTGGGGGCAGGAGGAATACCGGTCAAGTTGAAGTCGCCCAACAGCTTGTTGTCACGGCAGAGCTCACGCTCACCCTGGAAGACGCGGACGTTGACCTGGGTCTGGCCATCGGCAGCAGTAGAGAAGACCTGGGCCTTCTTGGTGGGGATAGTGGTGTTGCGGTTGATCAAACGGGTGAAGACACCGCCCAAGGTTTCAATACCGAGGGACAAGGGGGTGACGTCGAGCAAAAGAATATCGGTGACCGAACCGGCCAAGACACCGCCCTGGATAGCAGCACCCATGGCAACGGCTTCGTCGGGGTTGACAGACTTGCTGGGCTCACGGCCAAAGACGGTCTTGACAGTCTCCATGACCTTGGGCATACGCGACATACCACCGACCAAAATGACATCACCGACCTCTTGCTTGGAGATACCGGCATCCTTCAAGGCCTTCTCGCAAGGGGAGACGGTGCGCTGGACGAGGCCGCCAACAATACCCTCAAACTTGGCACGGGTCAACTTGGAGTTGATGTGCTTGGGGCCAGAGGCATCGGCAGTGATGTAGGGAAGGTTGATGTCGGTCTGGACGGTCGAGGACAATTCAATCTTGGCCTTCTCGCAGGCTTCACGGATACGCTGGATGGCCATGCGGTCATTGCTCAAATCCAAACCAGACTCCTTCTTGAAGTCCTCCAAGACATAGCGGACCAAGTGCGAGTCGAAATCTTCACCACCAAGGGCAGTGTCACCGTTGGTCGACTTGACTTCAAAGACACCGCTCTGGATCTCCAAGATAGATATATCAAAGGTACCACCACCCAAATCGTAGACGGCAATGGTCTTGTCACCGGACTTGTCCAAACCATAGGCAAGGGCAGCAGCGGTGGGCTCGTTGATCACACGCTGGACATCCAAACCGGCAATCTTACCAGCGTCCTTGGTGGCCTGACGCTGAGCATCGTTGAAGTAGGCGGGGACAGTGACGACGGCATTCTTGACGTTTTTGCCCAAGAAACCTTCGGCGGTTTCCTTCATCTTGCCCAAGACAAAGGCACCGATCTGCGAGGGAGAGTACTTCTTACCCTGAGCCTCAACCCAGGCATCGCCGTTGTTGTGGGGAACGATCTTGTAAGAGACAGCCTTGACATCAGCCTGGACAGCGGAATCGGTGAAATCACGACCGATCAAACGCTTGGTGGCGTAAACAGTGTTCTGGGGGTTGACGACAGCCTAAATAAACAACATGGATGTCAGCTTTTTCCCTCTTTCACCTTCCCTCGATTCCTATTCTTCCTTCTTTCTTGCTTCCCAACCATCTCCAAAGCCTGCTCCTTCCCGAGACACTTTACCTGACGCTTGGCAGCCTGACCAACCAACAATTCACCATCCTTGGTGAATGCAACGACAGAGGGAGTAGTACGGGCACCTTCAGCGTTCTCAATAACACGGGGGTTCTTGCCTTCCATTACGGAGACGCAAGAGTTGGTGGTACCTAAATCGATACCAATGACGGGGCCGCTGACACCACCCGAGCTGTACGAGCGGGCCATGCTGGAGAGGACACCAGCCTAATAAAAAAAACAATACAAACAAGGTTGGTAAGCACTGATATCTCGTTCTACCTATGTGTACATGTGGGTGCGTATGTATATGTGTGCTGGCTATACACTTACGTTACGGCGAGCCAAGGTGGGGACAACGTGCGAACGAGAGGCTTTGGCCAAGTGGTACATTATGTGGAGGGTAAGAATAAGGGAAAAGAGGTAAAAGAAGGTACGAAAAAAAGAAAGCCGGGGAAGGTGTATGAATGAAGTGCCGGGTGGCTGGGCGGAACGAAGAAGAAGCTAAGAGAAGGGGAGGAGATCGAAAACATTTTTTTTGACTCAGCGGGAAGCGAAGGGCCTGTCAAATCCACACCCGAGTTGAGCCGTAATGAGATGAATTTACTCACTGTAGGACTGTAGAGTATAAGTGGAATACCAAAATATTATCCCACGCTCTCACGGATGTCGTCAGCTCACACACAGCATGTCGCTCTTTGCACAGACAATGGCCCTTTCCTATGCTCATTGTTTGGTGCGACATCTAGCGACATTTTCGCTGTCTGTGTGATTCGCAACGGGAGAATAATTAGGCGATCTCTTATGACGACAGATCTTAAAGCAACTGAGTTTTCATGGAAACCAACCAGCATTGTTTCAAGCATTTGTGTGGAACCTCGCATTGATTCGTCCTAGCAAAGGCTGCCAAATGTGTCGGCTATACAATCCCTCTTCTAATACATGCCACTCATTGTTTGAAAACTTATACAGGCTCTGGTTTATGAGGTTGGATTGCGTGGTGGAGGGCAAAGTAGAAGCCTCTGGACCCATTAGACGACCATGAGATGATGTATGAAACAAGCACGCATTATTCATTATTCTATTTAGTTTGTCTGGGTTCGAATGAATGCGCTAATCAGTTTCCAAGAAGTGAGAGTACTGTTTGCTGCGCTTCACCAAGTCCATAACGCGCAACTAATGATCTGCCCAGAGTGTCGCGCCAAACAAGTTACGATCCTTAATGATGAAGCAATTTGTACGAAATGTGGTGCGGTTTTAAGTGAATCCTTTGTCGAGGAAAATGCAAATCTTGCCGATCGTAGCGAGCAAGAACAGCCACCAGTTACAGCAGGTGTTATACTCACGCGCGCAGTAAGAACTCTTTTCACATTGCTCGATCTTTATTATTCGGGGGTTTACACAAGATAGTTGTTACTAATGATTGGCTTTACAATGTAGGAAAAACGATTTTTTGAATCCATTGATCGTTTTGCAGCTGCTCTTGGCTTGACTGACTGGATCCACTATATTCGACAAGTCTATTATGTCCACAACTCAGCATTAACCACTTTCCGTACCCGTTATTCAGACGAATCTGCCATTTGTTTGATATATATCGCCACACGATCAGGTCGAACCGGACATACGCTAGCCGAATACGCTTCGAAAGTTGGTGTTACGGATGTCAAGGAACTAAACAAGGCCTTCAAGCGATATAGCAAGGCTGTAAAAACGCTTCCAGGGCAACGAGTAGCAGCAGCAGCATCATCATCGTCGTTGTCACCATCACCACCGTCTGTGCCCCAACAAGCAGACGAAAGCATGGAACGGGTATCTACAGTTGTTGCTAAATTATATCATCCTATATCAACAATGTTCGGTTTACAAGATGAGAATGCGGTAGCATTGTCAGATTGGACAAAGCGAGTCTACGACATTGCTAAGCGAGCGGGTTTGGAAACAGGTCGGCCGACAGGTCCATTAATCACTGCTTGTGTCGTAGTAGCAGCACGTACCCTTTCCTCCAGGCTAGTGGACGTCGATTGGGTGTTACTGAGTCAAAATATTTCGTATGGATGTGCCACTATCAGACACAGGTCCAAAGAACTCATGGACATTCTTGTTCGTCGCGCCAAATCTATCCCCTGGCTTAAAAACTCGGTAATCACGAAATTTAATGTTCACCACTATTTGTGCGAGATTATCCAGATGGATTCAAGTATCAATGTCAACGACCGCATTATCAGTGTCCAGCAATCACAGCTACAACCATCTTTGGAAAGCTATCCACCATCATATCGGCGGAACTATGAGCGGATCCAACATAGAGCCTCGCAAATTGCTGCTGCATCACAATACTTGAATCGACCAACAATAGCGGATAGCGATCTACTTTCAATGAATGTTGAAGTTCGTATGATATATTTCTTGCTGGCCAAAGGCATGTCTGCCTCCGATATTGAGGTGTTGGACAGCCAACACATTTATGATCACGTGCGCCGTTTATACATACGAGATACTCTTCCTGCGTTATCCCAGGAAGATTTAAATAGATCAGAAGTGTCCGAGAAGGACATGGACGATATTGAAGCCGCTCAGTACTTGCAGTCGGATCCGTCTTCTACTAAATACGACTACCCCGACCACTAAAAATTCAATATACCTTCCCCGTCCCCTTCGTTATTCCCCACTGCTTATATAATTATGTTCTCCATTGTCTTCCAATTAATTGTAAATATTACAAGTAACACACCTTAATACCTAAATGCATTCTATATATACCACTTATGGCACAAAATAACAAATGTGATCTATTGCTAAGTCACCTCCACATACCATCTATCATGATATCCTCAACTTGTTAAATATATGCTTGACTACCACTGCCATTTTATATTAAAATGGGCACATTATAATCACTGCCATCTGCTTTTTTACGGCTTAGCAATCCTTATCGAAGAAACAGATGTAAAAATCAAGAGTATGTTGAAATTCCAATTTATCAATATTAGCGCCAGTGAGTGGTGACGGTCTTAAAAGAGAGGAGACGTATTCTCCCACTTTGCTGCTGTATGCAGCACTGTCGTGAGTTACTCTCATACATTATCATAATAACGTTTATAGTTTCTCATTGTTTTCCTCTCTGAACTTGCGTTTATTCTTGTATTTTTTCTTCAGAGGTAGGAAAGCGCTCAATTAATACACACTCTACGAATCATCACCTGGATTGGGACTGCTGAGATTTAATGGATTACGAGGAACGACGTAGGGTTTCGTTTGCCCTTTGAACCACGACTGTTCCGATCACCGTCAGAGATGCCAAAATATTATTGTGGTGAGTGATCTCTTGCAAGATCTAACACGTAATTTGATTGACCACTAACTAATAGATTGATCGCTGTGTGTGTGGATCTGTATTAGAATATTGCGATATCTTTTTGACGCATGACAGCTGTAAGTAAATTTGAAAGCGTGTGATCATCCTTTGCAAAATATAAAATTTAAAGATATTAACCATTCTGTAATAGCATCGGTACGCAAGGCTCATAATTCGGGAAAAAATCACATTGCCAACGTCAGAAATTACTATGCAGGTGCGTAATCGTCGCTTGTTATTGCTTCTAATCGAATTGTGGGATATAGAAAATCGCGAAAAAAATATTGAGCTGCTGACACGTCTTGTTTCTGTTGTATAGAAATCGGACAAGACAAGGCACAAGCTATTATTGATGATATAACAAAGGCGTATGAGAATTCGGCAGCTGGTAATTAAGAGGAATGAAGGGAAATAACGAGTGGATTAGATCGTGTGTATGATGATATATATGAAGTGTGTATGATGATATATATGGATCCAGGTCACTAACTATTGAAAAAATAGTGCTTCCACCACAGTACTCGGGATATCCACAAGCTCCCCCTATGGGTGCTTCGTGTAAGTATATAATCATAATGTAGTCCTCTTTCGCTGAAGTATTCATGAAGCTACTCATACGGTTTGTTGTAATTTAGTTGGAGGTCCCCCACCACACTTTATGGGAGGTCGTCCGCCAATGCCACCACATATGATGGGTCGTCCACCACCACCTGGATTCCCGCCATTTGGCCCACCACCACCAGGCATGCAAGGCCCACCCGGTAAGTCATTTTGAAGAACGGAATGAAAAGCCAACAGCACTAAATCTCTTGTTATTTAATGGTACTGGATTAAAAATTAAAGGTCAACGTCCACCGTACGGGCGACCGCCGCCACCTGGGTATTTTAATGGTCCACGACCGCCACCACCTCCGGGATCAACTCCACCTTTAGGTGGCCCGCCTCCACAGGGTGCTGCGGGTACTTCACCTCAAGGACCACCTCAAGGCTTTTCGCAGGGACCACCTCCATTTGGTTCTCCACAAGGTCCTCCTCATCAGCAGGGTCCTCCTCAAGGCATGCCACCCATGCCGCCACAAGGATCGCCGCCACAAGGTTCTCCACAATTTCCACCTCACCAGCAACATCAGCAGCAGCAGCAGCAAGCAGAAAACGCATCTCCTACATCTTCGTCACCTTAAAGCACACACACACACACACAATAAATATCGGAGTTTTGCATAAACAGAAGGGATCACGCAGACATGAGTTAATCCTCTTTTTTTACTCGCGTTTTTCTTTGTTTCTTCTTTCTCGTTTCTTTTCTTTTTCTCACCAAATGGGTGTTCTATTCTCTAGAACGAAGGCAAGCTATAGAGTACTATAACATAAAGTGTAAAAGGGGGAAATGTACGATCAAGTGTTCGGTATATATAACAGGCTTTATAACGGATCAACTATATTTGCATATGTTTATCAAATATAGAGACATGCGTCTGACGATTACGAAAAGATCTTGTCCGAACTCGATGACAAGATTCAAAAGGCCGAATTCAAGCTTTCGGAAGAGAAGTTAAGAGAACGGCGATGGGCTGTCATGTGGGTCATTTACAGTACAATTATATGGGTGGTCTATTCTCTCTATTGCTTTGTTGCACTACGGAATGCTTCGCAGCGTAATTTCGAAGACGTCGTTTTACTGACAGCCCCCGTAATTGCTTGTCCAGTCGGGTAATAACTCCTTAAATGGGCAGTAGGCTGGAAGAAGGAGAGAAAGAAAGTAGACTTATGTTGTTGTTGTTTTTTACTTATCATAGCATATACTATATACGACAACTCTTACGACGCATATTTGCATGGTTACAAAATCGCGTCGACACTCAATTGCAGACGTTACGCGCTGAACAAAAGTTGAAATTGGATGAACTAAAAAACAAAACCGCCTATTATTCGACACAGTCCTTGATCGATCGATACGATGAAGGTCAACGACGCGAACGATCTCAGCAGCATCCAACACCTACAGCAACGAAACAACATATAGCATCTCAACAGAAACAGCAGCATCAACAACAACTATTGACGACCAAACCACCCACACTTGACGTAAGAGCACCTGGCAATGTACCACCACCACCACCTCCTCCTCCTCCTAGTGCTGCTGCTACCGCTGCACCCGTTACTCCACGACGACAACCGCAATGGTATGACCGCGTTTTGGATGCCATGGTGGGAGACACTGGACCCGTTACCAAGTATGCATTGATATGTAATTACTGTTTTGCGCATAATGGATTGGTGCTGCCGGGTGAAATAGACTTTATCCGTAAGTGAAAGAGAGATTTTGGCTCCCAGGTATATATGCATATGAGCGTGGGTGTACACCTTCTTATACGAAATGTATCGCGTAAAATATAGAATATATCTGTCCCAACTGTAGAAAGTTCAATTCTTCGAGAAAATCTCGACAGTTGCATCCGGATGGACCTGTAGTACCGCCATCACCAGCACCGTCACTGACACCTGGTCCATTAGCCAGCAAGGATGCGAATAATGAAGGTGGGGAGGAAGACTGGGCCGAGCGACATAAGCAAGGCAAGGATGAGCAAGAGGAGTATGAAAGTGATGAAGAGACGATCGCTTCGCGTGTAAGACGGCGTCATAAACACGAACATAAAGAAGAGCATGAGTAAAAAGAATGCTACAGTATAATATATCTGTTCTTATTGAGCCCCGATCTAAGTATATCTTCACAAATGTACTAAATTGTAGATTTGTTTTTCTGGCTTATTATTGCCTCGGTTGGGTGTTTTTAATGTTTGTCCACGTTCGCTATTGCTACGTTTGGGTTATTAAGCGATGAATACTGTATGCGGAAGAAGGAATAGGGAGCAGCGGACCTCATACTAAACAACACCGAGTTCACAACGACTACATAGTAGCGGTCTGTTTAATGGCTCGCATTGCTACAATAACCACAAGTATTGTGAGAACGTAGCACATGGATATGGCCATCTATATAGTATGTGCTTAAGAGGTCTGAGATGGTATAAACACAAATTGCATGAGTTCCGATTTTTATCGGACAAATATACTTCCGCTTCTAAGGATTAACACACACAATCCACGTATCCAAGTTCAACGATGTTAAAGCTTCTTTAGCTGGAAAAAGAATCTTATGTATAGCAAATGCATGCAGTGAATGTTTGTTATGGGTACACGATGTGCGCCCACTGCTTAAGTAGTGTGTCGCACGTAGGATGGCGACAAATTTGTTGATGCCGGTCATTGTAAACAAATGCACCGACTCTGGTGACACGCATTAAAGTCCTCATAAGGTGAGTTCTTTTTCCAACGAATTAAAATCCCCCCCCCTACTCATATATCCTCTTCCCCCTCTTTTCTTTTCGTTTACGACTGTATCTCGCTCTTTTCTTTTGACACAGACATACACTACACTTACGTACACAGAAAAAATGGACCACGAACACGACAATCATGGCGACATGGGTGACATGCCTGACATGCCTAGCATGTGCAGTATGGATGTAGGTTGTCCATTGGTGTAGAGAGAAGAAGAAGGGAAAGCATAAATGCTAATGCCAGCTTAGATGCTTTTCAATTGGCGAGTCAAAGATGTGTGTGTAGTGTTTGAATGGTGGCACATTCATTCCGCACTAGGGCTCTTTTTGAGTTGCGCAGTCGTTTTCGCTATTGCCGCAGGCTACGAATTTTTACGAACAAAGACGACTGAGCTGGATCAAACACGGTATGTACCAAAGGACAATGATGAATTGGACGAAGAAGCCGAGACCTTGCTTCAACGCACGACTAGCACGTCTACTCAAAGGTTAGACAGACCGGCTAGGCAGTATCTCAACGAGTTGAAGGGTGGATTGCGGGGAAAAGAGAGACAGGAAGATCAAAAATGATGTTCTTGAATTACATGAAAATTAAGCAATTGAGGTGCTGTTAGGATAAGCAAAAAACAAGAAATGTTACGGTCGACAATCTATGCTATACTGGTTGCAATCAGCTTTTGGCTCATGCTGGTGTTTATGACGTACAACGGGTATCTCATGATCGCAGTTGTCCTGGGAGCTGGGTTCGGCCACTACCATACCCAAGGTCGTCTTGCTGCAAGCCGGTCTCTCCAATGTCATTAAGCTACTTGAACACTACTGTTTTTATGCTGCTGCTGGCTAGTGACGATGGTGTTGGCTATTACAAATAATAGGATAATAAACAAACCCAAAAAAAAAGGAAATCACATACAGTAATCGAAAAGAAGATGACGGTGAATGGTTCGGTGGGGTTGAAGGCATTGGACCTATTCTGAATTACTGTGCACTCTTTCTATTTTCTGGAAACAATCCCACCCGTGGTTCGCATATCATTACTGGCGACCTCTCTCTTCCTTTCCCTAATTTGATACTGCAATCAGCTACCACTACACGCTACACATTCCCGTGCTGCTCCCCCGCCCTATTAAAGATAGATCTTAAACCACAAGAAGGCTACGCGTGCATGGATATTTATGATATTCTTGCATATACATGCGCCTCTTTCTTAACGATTCCGAAGATACGCGGCTTTGGGACGCGATCACTGTTTGCCCGCCTGAGTGGATGGCTACTTATTACACGTGTTGGTGTTTACGTTGAAAACGTAAACTGATTTAAAAATATATTCAAGACAAACCTTGCAAAGCACACATTGAGATGATGGTTGGGCCAACAACGGCAATTATCCTTTTTCACTTTCGTATGTGCATTGTTTAAACCTAGAAAGAGGAACAGCGCTTCTGCATATTAATTTGTATTTCGGTTTTGAACTTGTTCTCTCTTTCTCTCTGTTCTTCATCATTTTCCTCTTTTCTCGTCATCATTATGAAATTCTTTTCACCGTCAATACTAAAGAGGCACTTTAGCTCGGTTCAATCTGACGCCACCGTACTACCAACAACAGCAGCAGCAGCAGCACAGTCACCTCTACCTTCATCTCCACCTCGTCCACCTCCACCTCTTCATCACTCATCGTCTTATTTACAGCATGCACTGGCCTCAGCAGCAACAGTCACCGTTACTTCAACGTGTAATGCTTCGTCAACCGCCGATGCAACGCAACAACGCAATCGTGTTATGGTATCCTCAACAGCACACTCACCTCCCATCTTAGAGCGATTGAGCACACGGATCACAGCGATCATTAGAAGCCGTATGGCGTTTCGACCGCCAGTACCAACCGATCCACGTCTGTTTTCAAAATCTCGCAAACGATGGATCCTTGCCTGTCTAGCATTGGGCTCATCGCTCAATGGCTTTTGCTCGACTATTTATGTATGTATATGTGACGTTGACATTATCTTCCTGTACCTTTACATCAGCAACAAGCCTACACGCATATTCATCATCGTTATCACATCATTACATCCCTTTCGATTAGTTTCCGGGTATACCAGATATCACTTCCGAGTTTGGTGCATCAGACATTGAAGTGACATTGACAACTTCATTCTTTATGCTTTTCGGCGGTATTGGCGTAAGTCCAGACGTTATACGTCAGCTAGTAGCTCTTGCTTATGTTCTTTATATAGAAACATGACTAATGTTGAATCCGATAATACACAATATCACTTATTACTAGCCGATCATGTGGGCATCCATGTCAGATCATTACCATATTCGCAGGTATACAACCTTAACTTTCTAATTTAAAAATAAATCGAGGGAAAGAAAAAGATAATTATAAAGCATGTTTTTGACAACAACAACAAAACATTGGAAGGTGGCTGAGAAAGTGTTTTAATGTGCCTTGCATTTTGTCATCATGTATTAGGTTTTTATATCTCAATTCGCTCCTGCTATTTTCAGTGGCATCGGTCGGTTGTGCATTGTCAGTGAATGTTTACATGCTAATTATATTACGGTGCATCCAATCGATCGGTACCTCAGGTAAATACGCATTTTACAAACATTTGCATGATATAAACAAATCGAAAAAAAAATCATTGATTAAAGAACAGCTATTACTGTGTGTGCTCTATAATTAACACATCATGTATTGGTCCTATATTTACTGTTATCAACAAACCAACCACAACAATACGATGGACAAACAACAGTGACCATCTCTGTTGGCGCAGGCACTGTTTCAGATTGTTGGATGATCACTGAACGAGGAACTGCTTTCAGTATTCTATTTATCGGCCAATTCTTTGGTCCACTTATTGGTAACGTAGTACATAGCAGCATTATATTCATAGAATATCGGTGACTAGATTATAACATCATGTCTGATAAATTAGGTCCCGTCCTTGGTGGATGGTTAACTACTTTGCTTGGTTGGCGATCTACATTTTGGTTTTGTACCGGCTATGGTCTCTTTTTATTTTTCTTCTTGTTTACCTTTTTACCGGAAACGTACCGAATCGAAGGAAGATTTCCCGATAGGAAGCCATCGTCAATAGTGAACGAGAGGGATTCGTCATTAGCTGTGGTAGACGACTCGGATGCTACGATTGGACGACGAGAAGACGAGGAAGCAGCAGTAGAAGTTAGCTCCATTGCAACAGCCGACACTGGCTCGGTGAGCGAAGCTCGGGTAGCTCCTGACAGTGGGCAGCAAGAACAAAAATCATCACAGCAGCTACAGCAACGAATGAATCCATTACTCAGCATCTTACTGCTAAGACACATGTTTGTTTTACTGATTGCCTTGGAAATTGGTATTATTTTTGGAACCATGTTTACTATCGAAACCGTGATTCCGGAACTCTACGAAACAACATATGGCTTCGAGTCATGGCAAACAGGGCTGAGTTACCTAGGCGCAGGACTGGGCAATCTTGTGGGCTCAATCGTATCTGGGCGGTTGTCTGATTATTTATTGAAACGAGCGCGTCAACGACGTGGAGGCACAGCCATGGCCGAGGATCGACTGACTATGAATGCCTGGTAAGTGTAATTTTCTTACCAAGTACACAGATAAAAGTACCGCGGTTATACTTTGAGGTCACATGTTAGATGTTCTTGTCCAGACCAATGAAAAGCAGAGAAAAGTGAATATGTAAACGAATACTAACGATCTGAGTCTAGGCCGGGTGGATACATCTTGGTGCCACTAGGTGTTCTGATCTTTGGTTGGAGCGTGCACGCACAGCTGACTCCCTGGGCATCCATTATTGGGTTTAGCGTAGTTTGCTTCGGCATGACCCAGGGTAATTTTTTTATACAATGCAACAACAACAACACAGATAGAATATTGCGCAATGTCACGTATACTCATAAAACTCTATTATGTATAGCATATACTGCCGGTTCGGCATATCTTGTTGACTCGATCCCTGGTCGTGGAGCGTCTGTTACAGCTGCCTCTAACCTCATGCGTATGAGCATGGCTTGTGTTCTCAGTCTCATTGCTCAGCCTACAGTCAATTCGATTGGGGCTGGTTATTTGTCGGTTGTCCTGGCCGGGGTCAATGTGCTTGGTATTTCGCTTTTCTTATTAGTCAAATTCAAGGGACAATCTATGCGCAAACGTGCAGGCTATGGCGATAACCATGAATAACAACCCTTTCTTTACATCACATATATTAATTAACACTATTTTATTTCTCTATACTTGTTTGTGTAAGTATAATCATTGTATTTTGTTCTTTTCTTTTCTCAAACCCCACACACAAACTTTCCATCTTCACTCACTCATAGCGATGTCTTTAACATCCCTTCTCATACATGCACACACACACATATACATTTTGTTGTACTTGAAAGTAGCGAGTATATTGTTTGTTGCATGCGAAATACGATTACAAACATTTTGTTCTCGATTTGGTCTGCTAAGTAGGGGAGACGGGGAAAAGCAAAATGGAAAAAACTGAAGAACAGAGCTTTTTATGGGAAGAGCTCGACACACCATTAAGCGAAAAAGTCTTGTTCCTTCGTTCAAGCGTCCTTGTCAGCCCCTTTTTGTGTCGATTGGCTTTAGTACTTCTTTAGTTCTTGCAGCCACAGCTAGCGCAAGTGCAGCTGGTTCCACAGTTGCTATGATTATTATTTATATAAACAATGAAGCGTTAATGTTAAAAACAAGAAGGAATCGCTTGCAAAAAAAGACGCTTCACTTGGTCTTCATAAAGTTCATCACAGTTACAGAAACTTTTACTTACCCGCAGCATTTACCATCACCTTGTTGCATGTTGAATAATTTGTTGAGAGAGTAGAAGAGAAAGAAAAGGGTCAAATTGCCGTACCCACTCCCCTCGTCCCTCCGCTTTTATATAATGACCGTCATCATCTTGTTACACAAGCATTATCGCCCTATGTTTTTCGAGTCAGCACAAATCTCTCATGACCCATATTACCGTTTCCAGTACTCGCATCTGCTTCCGCTATCCGAACCTTGAACTTTATTTAGTCTTGACGAGCGAGGGACAGCCCTTTGAACCCTCCTAAGATATCAGCTTATGTACGTACACTTGTTGTTGGGGAAGTCATATTACCTCTCTTTTTCACTACTAACTACTTATTGGTGGCATATCTCATCTTGTTTTCCGTCACCTGGCTGGATTTAGTTTATTTCGCACCATCATAGTATGTCGACTGACCGACCCATGAAAAAAAAAGAAAGTTATACAGCATCTTCATTAGATCAATGATGAGCAAGATGCATAACTATCGCTGTAACACACAACATACTAGGTGGCTGCGAGCGATGTAGTACATAATGTCATCACCTGAATAGATGGTCATGATCTATTTGTAAATATCGTCTTTCTCTTTCTTTGGGTCTTATTGGCTTAAAAATAACGCAATTCTCTCTGTTATCCTTCTCCAAGCGACTTGGCTGCTTCCTCTATGCTAGTACTAGCAAAGCGGCCTTGATGGTCTTGAATGTATTACAGAATGTTTACTCATATTGTACGGGCAACATGATCCTCTGGTGGTGATTATACGTGCTCTCACCAAGTATCAATGGCCGTCAAGACAAAGTATCGAATGCTCTGTCCGTATATGTCATTAGTTCTGAAACGAAAGTGGAAAAATGATGTGCGACTGTAAGCACGAAAACTACTTTTGAGCGGATGAGCTTCGCGAAATAGACTACAAAGTATTGTTCGAATTTTCAACGTATAACAATTTGTGTCTTCTCAGTCTCCACTTTCCGCCATCCATAGACACAGAGATGGAATTACAACAATATCATAAAACATTCAGCTTCCATACAAAATAACGCCTTTTATCCACTATATATATAGGGATTCACCACGGTAAAAAAATCCTCGCAATCCTCGCAATCCGCGCAATCCTCGCGAGCTTTTGAACTCAGTGTAGTACCCCAAATACCTATTTAGTATTCTGGTGTAGCCATCAGTGGTCAACGAGCAGACACAATAAAATCATACCCATTACTATAATTATAGGTAAAAAAAGAAATGTATTCATTGGGGATATGCAACTACAGTCATGTATCTTGGCGAAGGACGCATTTAACGACTACTAGGTGCATATCCTGAGCTTTTACGCTTTCTAGTAGTACGTGGCTGTTGCTGCTGAGTCGACAAGGATGATGAAGGAGGCGGGGCGGGAATGGAGGAAGGAGAGGCGGTCGAGGTAGAGGAAATATCAGCAGTGGTAATGGCAGTGGTAGGAGCGGTAGTTGTAGTAGTGGCAGTATCATAGTAGTGATGGGGAGGGCGAAAGGAGTGGAAGACGAGGACGCGATAGCAACGTGACTAAATAAGCAGACAGTACGTTAAAAACTAATATAAAAATCATAGCATCAAAACGAAGATAATTACCTCTCTTGAGTCGCTTGATCGTTGCTAATGGGTGCCTCAAGATCGCTAAATAAAGAAGAAAAATATTTTTTAGACAATATTAAAGAAATTCATGAGCTTACAATGACATTTGCGATCTTGTGGACATCGATTGGCTGGGGGAGAGAGCGGGACCATCTTCAGCGGTTAATAGCATTGAGCTACAAATTCCTTTAAGTTAAAAAATGAAACCACTTGGAAAATTTCTTTAATGTTACTACTAATGATTAGTATTTGCTTCTCGTAGGCAACGGAGAAACGAAGTGAGATATGCTACTATTCGATATAAAAAGCTATCAATATATGTCTTTTATAGATATGTTATGATGGTTTTTGATTCCCGTTCTTGGCCGTTGCTTCCTCACGGCGGTCATCATTCCCCAAGTGCATCTGGAAAAAGTAGCGAGTAACCCAGTTGCTCTCGCAGTTGTCCAGAGGCACTTGGTACACCCTGGTCATCCGGTCCTTGTACTGCGCCATCTTGTGCAGTACCTTGGCCTTATAAAAAAAGGTCGTCTTCAAGTCTAACGAGAGTTTCTCGCCCCTCGTCTTCCTCCAATCCTCAATGATACCAGCGGCCTCTTGCGCGGCCTCATTGTAGAGCGTCAAGTAAAAGTCTTCGCCGCGAAGACACACGCGCGCAACGAAATAGTCTTTTACGTGCTGAGCGGAAACTGTCCTATCTTACCTGCATCATTGAGAGGGGCAGTGATGACGCCTCCCTCTGGAATGCGTGGTTCGCCTTCCGGTAAATGGAAGGATGCTGCGACTTCCACATCACTTAAACGTTGTTGCTGCGGCTGTTGCTGCGGAACTGATCCATTGATACCAAGATGTTACTCGATAACCGTCAATCGTCGCTCGATTCGCTCCGAGTTTTCAAGAATGCGGAGAAGAAGACCGGTTTGAATAGATTTGCTGGAATTCATTGTAGGTGAGAACGGTGAGAGTGATGCCGTGAAAGTGTTGTAAAGTGTAAATAAGTGAAAGCAACGCGCGTCGTCATATCTGCAGTAAAATTAAATTCTACTCTGCTGCACATATTTGGAAAGTGTGTCGTTACACATGTGCCAAAATTTGCGCGGATTGCGAGGATTGCGAGGATTGCGAGGATTTTTTCGGTGGTGTGATTAGCGTTGTAATCATACTATTTGAAGATGCCATGAACAATGTAGGCAATGCAACGGCTCGTGGATATAACTTTTTATTCTAGTAGCGTAGCATTCTTTTATCGCATCCTCTCCGCATCATCGATAATATTATGTTTAAATCAAAATATCGAGAAAGTGTTGATGCAACTTGCACGACCGTTACCGTCAATGTCGAGGAGTGCACATCTGTTAAAGACAAAAAAATCCCTCTATGTACTAATCATAATACCGCTGCTAACAGTACCACTATCGCAACTACTTTAGTCGATGATGACGATAACAGCAAAAAGGAAATACGTCGGCTGAAAATCGAACTTCACATCATACCGCTTACTTTGCTATATTTTACTGTACTGTATAAACCCGGGTTTTTGGATCGCGCCAATATTGTTGTCATATGACTTATGAACTGATGAGGGCTAATGCAGAACACGATCATGTTTTTGCATGCATGATTGTTTTTATATCTGCACAACCAGAAAAATATTTACACGCAGTTATTAATTACAGCTACAAACGTTTTGCTACTGCAACATCAGGATATTAGCTAATGCCAAGGTGGCAGGCCTGACGGACGACATCGAAATCACCGATAATGAATATAACGGTGCTGTATCTGTATTCTACGGTGGATATGTAAGTAATCAACTCTATAGCAATTCTAATGTGTATCAAAGCAACAGAAAAGATTATAGAAACATTACTACACACGACGTTTGCTGTGTTTGTAAATATAGGATTTATTACAAGTCGCTTCAAATATGATGGTCGACAAAGTTGGTCCGAAGTGGTGTCCAATAACGATGATCGTATGGGGTGTTATCTTGGGGAGTATGGCGGCAGTGAAATAACCCGCAGCTGATCGTAGTACGCTTCCGGCTTGATTGTGCACAGGTAGAGTATGGTATTTTTATAAAGGCCAATATCACATACAGAAAGGAGATTTGCTTGTTGTGTGGCCGACTTGTTTGTCGGAATACAACCTTGAGAAAGGTCTTATAACCCATTCACTGTTTCCTGTTTTGGTTGGACCGGGCTAGTTGCATGTGTTACTTGCTGCTTATCTGTTTGGGACTCTAAGCGTGAGGTCTCCACACAGATGTCTATTTCTCTCAGTAGCGCTAGCATAGCAGGTGTAAGTCATATCACTCATCGGTAATACTAGCAGTAGCAGCAGCAAAAACGATAAAGCGAACTCTGCTTGGTTTACTTTCCTTTGATATAAAGAGTCTCAATTACTTTACATACATTTTTTGGCCATTGGTGGTTTGCTGGAAAGTATGCTATAGTATAGCGACACGCTTAGATTTTAATTGCGTCATGTGGCTAATGAATGCGATTTGATTTCTCTTTCTTTCATTCTTGCAAAAGTAGGCGTATAGAATCATGAATGGTATGGAAAACTACAAAGGGCTCGCTGGCCAACAGCGGAATTCATCATTGAAGCTATTCCGACGGTAGTTCTTGCAATCGTAAGCTAAATGTAATTTATGATCCAGATACGTCAACAAGCTGCGTGTATGACATACACTTGGCATTTAACGCCACTCACAATTATTTTTTATTCATTATTTGCTTTCTTTGACAGTTCTGAAACGAGCACGAGCAAAAATTGCTTATCTCCCACAACAAGATTAGCACCGAGAGCACTGATGCATTGTTTGAAGAAGAGGAACTCGACCATCCCAATCAGCGAACAACACACTTTGTCACTCTCCATCTCCTGTGTTCTAGACTGGAAAATTTGTTGTTTTGCAATTTTCTACAGTATCTTACCGTACTGACATCGGTGTTCAGCATTGGATTATTTCTATCAAGCATTGCCGGAGGGTCTGGCTTTGGCCCTCTCGTAACACGAATGAATGACTGTGCCACCAAATGTCACTTGTAAGTAATAGTGTCAGCATGATAGTTGCGAATGCTCTTGACTACTTCTCTCTGTGTTAAAGAATTAACAATATCATACTCTTTTGATATACAGGTGCTATTGCGGGGGGTCATCGGGGCTATCAGAGTAAACTATAATGTAGAATGCAGGATGCACGTCGCTGGATCCTGTATTTTTTCAATCCTTGGGTTCGCGCTTCTCATCGGACTGAGAGGTCAAGGTCTAGCTGGAAGCTGGATGATACGTATTACATAGTTACTCTAGCAGCCACTGATGTATCTACAGCCAACCCCGCTGCTGCATCCTGGTTCTCTATCGATATTATCACGACCAATAAAGAAGAGAAGACGTTTTTGGGAGAAAAGGTATCAGAATTTAACAAAATATTTATATTATTAATGTAGACTTTTAACATGTATCATACAAATTTTTTTCTAGCATTCGGATTCTAGATACATTGCAAAAAATGCCCAATGGGGAGCTATTGTTTACATAGACAAGGCTGCAGTACATAACACCATTGATAATAAAATCTGATTTAGGATAAAAAATAAAAATTAGTTTTTTGCCGGGTTAAAGTAATCTACGAACAACATACTCGACGTACGATATCAGAAACACTGGCTCCTGGGAAGCTTATTGGTACACTTGTGTTTTATTGTGAGTATACTCGTTAGGGATTTTTGGGGGTTGTACATCATAACAGCGTTTGGTTCGTGTGCTCGAGACAGAGACGGCTGTAGACATGGTTTCGGAGGGCATCCCAATATCAAAAGATTGATATTATGTGGGGTATAGATACGAAAAAAAAAGTGCAATTGCTGTTCCTTACATTAATGATAGGAAAGGACTCAAGTCGATTACAAATCAGACAAAAAACGACTATTCTTAAGGTTGTTGTCCCTGCAATAGTGCATCTTACAAGAAATGGAACGCAAGAATATCTTTACCGGGAATCTATGCCCCATTGAGAAGATAGAAAATCTCGTTTACTTAATGCTGCCAACAAAAGGCTCGCCGTCTAAGACTGCGCGCCAATGGATGTCCCAAATGCTTTGGATGAATAAGCCGATGAAGTAGGCTCTTGTGTTGTGTTAAATCGCAAGTTCACCCATATGTAATTTCGCGTCGGGCAGCTGGGACGGATAGACCAGTTGAGCGGCAGTCTTCCGTGAAGGTCCCTTTACAAAGAAGTGTCGCAAGGATTCAGTCGTCTAGGCAAGTAGGACATACAATAGCTCCTTAATTTTAGCAACGGTGGAAGCCATTATTTTATGCATGGAATGGCAGCGCATATTGTACAAGTAGTGGCAATTACTGTCGACAACAGCCTTTTCCTGCTTTCCGCAAGGCTCTAACCTCTACTAAGCAGAATGATGTTGATCTTGTTCACAATTATCTTACAACAGTTGTTATGACATGGCAGATTGTTTTCCAATCGAAGCTCGCATGAAGAACGACGCTTCCATTTAAGCCGCACTTACTGACGATCAGTGTATGTGATATAGGTTGTACTTTGCTGACTTTAACTTTATTCCAAGTCACATTGTGTCATTTTAGATTCACGGCCGACCCCACAATCTAGGCTTACCCAAAAAATTTATCTTACTGATCTTTTTTCCCTTTTTCCTTGTCAGTTTTTGACCACCTAACCGTACGGTTGATTAAGCGAGTATCCTTGGCCGGCACCCTCTCCATTGCCAACCCCCCCTCTCTTTTTCATTCTTTCATTCTATTCGTACATTCTGCTCGTTTTGTCTCCCCCTTCCTATTTCCATTCCGCTCTTCTTACGGTGTGTTCTCTCACAAAGCACGAAACAAGTAAATAACTATGGAACACAGCCAACAAAACCAGACGTTAACGACTGCAGCCAGTCAGTTCTCGACGTCACCGTCGGTCGTACTGCAACCACAACAAGAAAAACAACCAAAGTCCAACCTTCGTCGTCAACTGGATGATTTATTATTTGGATCTGTATGTTTCTTATTACTTATTCTCTCTCTCGAGACAAGTTGCAGTAGATGGATGACAGGGTGGTGGAAGAAGTACACCCTGGCAAACTACAGCGCATGAGAACCTAATCTATCTTTTTCTTATCTTAAAAAAATAGATTTCAGGCATGGTTGGCAAGGTTGTCGAATACCCATTTGATACGGTTAAAGTTAGACTGCAAACACAGCCATTAGATCGTCCCTACTACACTGGACCGTGGCATTGTTTAACGTCGACGGTCAAGCAGGATGGAATGCGAGGATTATTTACGGTGAGTCACTTTTTAAGTGGATGATTCATATCCAATGTTCACAAGTGAAAGGAAGGCGTCCTTACTGACGAAAGATTGCTTTTGACCAATGAAAACAGGGCATGGCCTCGCCAATGGTTGGATCGATGATTGAAAATGCTGCTCTCTTTGTTGGCTACCGACAAGTACAACGATTGATCCGTAACTACTCTGCCACAGCCGAGGAACGGGAAGCGATGGCCAAGATGAATGAACAAGACCTACCACCGCTCAGCCTACCACAGTTGGTACTTGCCGGTGCATCATCCGGCGCGCTGGCATCCTTCGTCCTCACACCCGTCGAACTCGTCAAATGCAAGCTCCAATTCCAACTAGCCGAGGCAAGCAACAGTACATTAGCAGCAACATCTCGGTCGTCAACGATCCGATACAGTGGTCCGTTGCATGTGATCACCTATACCTTGAAGAACCAGGGCCTGAGCGGGTTCTATCGCGGCTACCTGGCTACGCTGATACGTGAAGCAGGCGGCGGTGCCTTTTGGTTTGGGGTGTACGAGTATGTGTGCGAACTCATGCTGCGCCGTCGCAACTCGACCAACAAGAAGGATCTCAGTGCACCTGAGCTCATGCTGGCTGGCGGCCTCGGTGGTGCGGGCTACAACTTTTCATTTTACCCAGTGGATGTGATCAAGTCGCACATGCAGACGGACCAGGAAGTGCTGGCGGGCCAGAACACACGTCCACGGTCGTTCATGCAAACGGCGCGGGAAGTGTACGCAGGAGGCGGTGTCAAGGGGTTCTACCGAGGATGTGGCATCACTGTCGCACGGAGCATACCAACCAGTGCCATCATCTTTTTGACGTATGAGACGTTGTCGGAATACTTTGGTTAAAAGCAGCATATATGCCACATACACTACTACTCACTACACTTTTGCTTTATTATATATATATTTTACACCAACTATCTAGAAAGAACACCAAAGCATTCCCCTTCCATTCTTCACACTACTCGTTCCGTTCTCTTCTTATCCGCATTGTTGTCATTTCCTTCGCATCTTATCTTCCTTTTGTATTGTAAATTTGTTACTTAATCAGCATCACATATAGTCGCTTCGTTTACGTCATGTCAATGAATCGCAGGGTTCCCCTCTCTCTCTCTCTCCGCTCGCTGGGTTACACCAGCCCGATCCAAAAAGCCTGTCTTTTCAATTGTTATTGTTGAGTGTATGGTGTGATCTTGCGTATCAGCAAGCCGTATAGCATCATCAACAACTGCACTACTATAATCGCGTGTTTTTTTCTATATTTCCCACAATGCACACTGGAAGATAGAGAGCATAGAGATCGGGCTGAAAGAAGTAAAGGGTACCGTGTTTTTCTTATCTAATCAGCATCACCCATCATATTTCAGTGTGTCGGTGTGGATGGTGTCCTCACGCCGCACGCCGATGGAATTTTGGGGGGCCCTCTTAGTGCGTATATAATTTTTTCATCAACCGCGATCATCTCTCTCACTCTTCTGTGTTTAAGCATTTCATCGGCTTTGTTTCCTTATTTTTCCCGCAAAATTCAGTTTACGCGCTTCTTTTTCCGCTTCTTCTTTTCTCTCTCTTCATCTTTTTGCTGTGTCAAAAACAACGACACCACCACCACCACCACCACAGCCAGACCAGCGGATCATCTTCCTCCTCCTACAGTAGATAGCATCCTCATCATGCCACACGGCCTCTCGCATATCGTGCTCCATGCATGCACGCCCGACGATTTTGACCACACATTGAACTTTTATACCAGCCTCGGCTTTGAACAGATCTTGGACCAGCGGTACACAGACGGCGCAGACGAACGACGCGTCTGGCTCAAGTTGAGCGCAGTGGAGCACACGCTGACGACAGACATCACCTTGAAGCTGACCTTGACCGCGTCAGCCATGCGACGTGACCAGCCACCTGCTGATTTGGACTGGTCCTTGGAAGAAACTGGCATTGTCCTGTCGACTGCCGACATCCAGGTAAAGGGGACCGTACCTCTGTGCGTGTGTGTGTGTGTGTGTATAGGCAAGAGAGAGAGCAAGTGTTTCAAGGAGGCAGAGGAAGGAGAGAAAGAGAGAAAACAGAGTTCTCAAACGTCAAGGGTTGGCACACTACGTAGCAAGTCAAAGTCAAACTCGAAACAATTGGCGCTCCCTACCAAGAAAAGGACATCCATCACAACCACAAGATTTATGCACTCGACCCCTTGGAAAACCTCATTGTCTTTACCGACAAGCCTGCCTTCCCGAGTCTGCTCACCCAAGATCAGGCCAGCCAAGGCGTCCCTCCGCCCGTGGATGCTGCCGCACAGCCCGCCACGCGCACCCGCAAGATCGGTGTCCTGACATCCGGTGGTGATGCGCCCGGTATGAACGCTGCTGTCCGTGCTGTTGTGCGCTACGGTATCTCCAAGGGATGTGACGTCTATGCCATCTACGAAGGCTACCAAGGTATAATCTGCTCTGAAACTACTTGTTGTTGTTGTTGTATCCGGACCCACGTGAATTTCAGCATACTGATACTGATTATGAATTTATCCAGGCTTGGTGGATGGCGGAAAGTGCATTCGTAGGATGGATTGGAAGAGCGTGCGTGGATGGTTGGCTATCGTAAGTTTTTTTTCTTCTTTTCCTCTTGGCATATAGAACACAAGTGGATCGTGTGATCGTTACACTTTGCTAACTGTTCAATCCGGCAACTAGGGTGGTACGACCATTGGCACAGCTCGTTGCATGCCATTCAAGACGCGTGAGGGCCGTTTACAGGCTGCCGAGAACTTGGTCAAGAAGGGCATTGATTCCTTGATTGTGTGCGGTGGAGACGGCTCATTGACAGGTGCAGACGTGTTTCGTTCGGAATGGGGTGGCCTTGTCGATGAATTAAAGCAGAGTGGCAGAATCACGGCAGAAGAAGCTGAGACGTACCAGCACCTGACGATTGTCGGACTTGGTAAGTGCCGCAAATCCGTGCCAGTGTTTTTATCATGCGTTTTGTGTGGACATGGTGATGAGACACTTTCACACGTACTGACTAACACGAACGACTTGGCTGAACTGGGAATAGTGGGCAGTATCGATAACGACATGTCCAGCACAGACATCACCATTGGCGCGGTGACTTCGCTACACCGCATCTGTGAAAGCGTCGATTCGATCAACACCACGGCCTTGTCGCACTCGCGCGCATTTGTCATTGAGGTCATGGGCAGACACTGCGGCTGGCTGGCCCTGATGGCCGGTATTGCTACTGGCGCAGACTTTGTGTTTATTCCGGAACGACCTCCCGCAGGCGATGACTGGGAAACGTCCATGTGCGAAGTGACACAACGCCACCGTGAACTCGGCAAGCGCAAGACGGTCATCATTGTGGCCGAGGGTGCCATTGACCGCTCGCTGAACCCAATCAAGGCCAAGCACATCAAGAACATTTTGACAGACAGACTTGGCCTGGACACGCGTGTCACGACCCTGGGCCATACCCAACGCGGTGGTTCTCCTGCCGCCTTCGACCGTATCCTTGCCACGATCCAATCCGTGGATGCCGTGGAAGCCGTCCTGCGCTCCACACCCGACACACCCTCGCCCTTGATCGGCATGAGCAGCAACAAGGTCACCACCGGTCCGTTGATGAAGGCCGTCGAGCTCACACACGAAGTCGCCAAGGCCATCAGCGAAAAGAACTTTGCGCGTGCCATGGAGCTCCGCGATCCACAATTTGCCGAAGAATACGAAGCATACAATGCAAGCACCATTCTGGACGACAAGTCGCGCTTGTTGCCCGAACACCAGCGTTTGCGTATCGCCATCTTGCACGTGGGTGCTCCGGCCGGTGGCATGAACGCTGCCACCCGCACAGCCGTCCGCTATGCCTTGAACCGCGGCCATCGCCCCTTTGCCGTGTACAACGGCTTCCCCGGCCTTGTCCGTGGCTCGCTTGAAGAAGTGTCGTGGATCGGCGTGGATGGCTGGACGTCGCACGGCGGCTCAGAGTTAGGCACCAACCGTGCTGTGCCCGGCAAGGACGTGGACATGGGCATGGTCGCATACCAGATGCAGCAGCACAACATCCAGGCCCTGCTCTTGATTGGTGGTTTCGAAGCCTTCTCGTCCATGATGAAGCTTGAAGAGGCCCGTGAAAAGTACCCATCGCTGTGTATTCCCGTGTGTCACATCCCCGCCACCGTCTCCAACAATGTCCCAGGTACCGACTATTCGCTTGGTTCAGACACGTCCCTGAACGCCATTGTCGAGTCCTGCGACTCAATTGCCCAGTCGGCACGCTCGTCGCGTCGCCGTGTGTTTGTGGTGGAAGTCCAGGGTGGCAAGTCGGGTTATCTGGCGGTAGAGGCTGGCCTGGCCACGGGTGCCAACACGATCTATATCCCCGAAGAAGGCATCTCCCTCTCCCGCTTGCAATCCGATGTCAAGCACCTGATGGCATTGTACATGGATGACGATGCCGACAAGTCTGAAGGACGTATCATCTTGCGAACAGAAGGTGTCAGCGACACCTACACCAATGATGTCATTAGCAATATCCTAAAGGACGAAGGCCATCAGTTATTTGATTCCCGAACAGCGGTCTTGGGCCATATCCAGCAGGGCGGCACACCTTCGCCCATGGATCGTATCCGTGCCACCCGTCTGGCCATGCGTGCGATCCAGTTCATGGAGCTCCACTCGTCTGAAGCGCTCAACACTGCGTACGAAGGCAGCGCCAAGACGCCGCCGGTCGAATTGACAAAGACCAAGGACTCGATCGCGGTCATTGGTATCTCTGGTGTGGATGTGGTGCACAGCTCAGTGCAGGACCTGTTGCCAAAGACAGATCTCAAGAACCGTAAGCCGCGTGGTGCTTGGTGGTACGAGCATCGTCCACTGGTTGATTTGCTGTCGGGTCGTGGTTTGTTCACCGCTCAAGCTCAAGCCCAAGCCCAACAATCAAATTAGAATATCTTCTGTCTTTCTCTCTTTTTCCTCATCGCATCTTTTTGTTTCATTCAAACACTCTATCCCCCATCCTTTTCCATCACCACATTACAACGATTCTTCTCTTTAGTGCAAAATATACACAAATATGCATAGCATGTCTTTCATTTCTGTTAGAATGACGGTTTCTTTTTTTAAGTACAAGGGTTTCAAGGGCCTAAATGTCTCCTGCAGGGACACAAGAGAGTGAATTTCTTTCTTAAAGGACGAGAAAAAGAAAGGTGCAAGAAAGAAAAAAAAAAGGCCTCGAGTATAAGTATGGTATCTACATTGGTTTTGTTGTTACGTTTTCTTTTTGTTCAGTAAGGTTGTGTGCTGCATCCGGTGAAGACAAGTGATGGGAGTGGGAGAGTGGGATGTACACTGTGGGCTAGGCGATATCTTCGGTCAATCCCTTCAGTCGTTTTCGATATCCGTTTGCTGCGTCTGCGCAATCATCACAGTACCATGCTCCCTTGGGAGGTGCGACGAGGCCTACACAAGCGTAATGGAACCATTCCTTCTCACACTAGCAGATGGGATTCAAGTCAGCATTAGTCTGATGATGCTGTACATAGTGCATGTTTGAAGCGAATGGAGATAGCACTTACATTTTCTCCATCACACGCAACCATATCACCGAACGATACTTGGTTGCAGATGCAGTATCGAGGTTCATTGGGATCAATTTCCAGTTCTGCCAAGGATCCGTGATGACTTATTGATGGCGTCGGCCTTGAAGAATGATGTGTTCTATCCACAATCAGCATAATCAAATCAATAAACCCATCTGCCCGCCACAGAACGATTCTGTCCATCATTTCCCTTTATTTAAGAGAGAGAGGAACACATACCGTTTCCTAACAGATGAAGGTCCCAATGAAGATCGTTTTCTTGGACCACCACCACCACTTTCGGCACCATTCGTCCTCCAACTACTGCCATCATCCCATGCACTGTTAGACGGGTGTTGTTGCCTTCGTCTTCCATTCGTGGTTGCTCCTGAATTTACTGTTGCTGTCGACGTTGCATTCATTGTAGCAGCAGCAGCACCACCACCACCACTATTTGTAATCCAATCGCCTCCATCAAGGCCACTTTTTGCCATTTGTGAATCAATACGTTCAATGTGTTTTGAAACGAGATCGTACATGCGCAATGCTAACTCAATCTTTTGATCTTGCTTTTGTACTGCGCTTTTATATTCCTTATCGAGTTGTAATCGAGATGCTGCAAAGTTGACAGGTGGGTTGGCGTTGTTTGTACGTAAGACTTTGGCGTAGGATCGTCGATGTTTTGTATATGTTTCACGAATCCCTATGTATGCGTAATGTTGCCTTTCAGTTATCCCATTATCATCACCATCATCATCACCATTCACGCAAGAAAAAAATAATAATGTTGGGTTTTTTTTACGTTGAAAGTCTTCATCCATATTGCGCAGCTCTTGCATATTTTGATCGATCTCTCCGGGTAAATTTTGAAGACCTTGAAAAAGCATATATTAGATTACACAGAAAAGAAAAACAATTAAAAATAAATTGTTTGGAGAAGGCCTTTGCTGTTATCCCGATAGATGCTGTTTGCAAGAGAGAGTAAAGGAGATCCTTACTTTCTACGTAATCTTCGAAAATATCGGCTATGGATGCACTCATGATAAATATCAGATAGCGTGCTATAAATTGCTCTTGAAGATGTGGGGGGAATGAGCGAGAATTGAAAAAGAGGAATTAAAAGGTGAGGGTATATGTATATACACTGAGGATGGTGAATTGGTGAGGAGGAGGTGGGAGCGAGGAAGAGAAAGAGAGCGCGCGCTCTTTTTTTGATGGGAGAAAGAAAGAGAAAGAAAATGCTGAGTTTCCCGCTTTTTTTAAGGCACTTTAAGATTTTGTCAAGTCACCCAAGGACAGTCCAACAACCAACTCGCATATCGTGGAACAACCGGATTAAAGAAGGTTTAGCTAGTCATACGTCACATAGAGTGGCACACTGCCAGTGTGTATGGCATGTTATCTGTAGTCTATGATTTAGATCTGTGTACTGATTTCACATATACCCAGCGCACGCGAAGAATGTGGCCGTGGGGTCATCAACTATGCTAGAATTATGCACTACATGATTTGACGACGATCCAACAAGGAAAAGAGAGCCCTTATCGAGCTCAAAGCATGTACTTATCACAGTACAACGAGTGGCATGATGGCACATATGATGTGGTTGCGTGACAATAGAGATCAGCGTCTAGCATATGTATTGCAGCCGCCCTTTTTTTATTTGCGGAGAGAACACGATCACTGGCCTTTCTTTCTTTCTTCTGCAACGCAAGCAAGAAAACAAAGGGAAAGCAGCGTGCAGTCTGCTTCTTTCTTCTTATATGCGCTGGAAGCCAAAAGAACCAAAAAAACGAGGCCTGCTGCTATTTATTGTCGTTCGTTCGCAAACATGTGTTTTTTTTATAGCAAGAAGCCCAGCTATTAGCCCAGGCACGGGATTCGATTGGCCAGTAGGAGTGAGAAGGATGGAAGGAAGGGGGGGCGGACGGCGGGGCGGTTGCCCCAGATACTAAAGTGGTTGGCTGGGCGCGGCACTCTCTCTTCTTTTCTTTTCCTCTTTCTTCACCTAATTCTTACAACACATCATGGAAAAATTCAAGGAGGTAAGGATTGCAACCCCCTACTTTTTTTTATGGTTTCTGCAAATAATTTCAATTTATTGACAAAACTTCTTCTTCTAGAAACTTGCCACTCTTCGCAGCGAAGCCGATGAGGCCAACCAGCGTGCTGATGAACTCGAGGCCCAGGTCAAGCAGCTCGAATCGGAACACACTGCCAAGGACCACGAACTGTTGTCTTTGCAAATCCGAGTCAAGAATCTCGAAGAGTCATTGGAAAAGACCGAAGGTCAACTCAGGGATATGTCATCCAAGTAATGCATCTTTTTTTTTTCTTGATAAACTAACAATGGGTGGTTGGGTGGAACCAACGACTGCAACATAAGAAAGGGATTGGAACGCACGATGGACTTGCCATGTGTTTGTGTGCATGTACTAAACTTGAGTATAATTACTTTGCAGGTTCAATGAAGCTGATCTCAAGGCCGAAGATGCCGAGCGTCGCGTAAGCTCTTTGGAGAACGAACTTGCTGAAAAGGAACAGTTGCATGAAGAGCTTGAGGAAAAGTACAAGACTGCCAAGGCAGAGTTGGATGAATTGGCACGTCAGTTCGATGAGTTGTAAAGAAAAAAGAGGAAAAGCTGTTAAGCGAGAAGTGTGTGTGCTATTTTACTTTTCTCTATTAAACCTCTCTCACTCTTTTCTTTCTTTTTTTTTCTTACTTCTACTACTACTCTCTCTCTCTCTCTCTCTCCTCACAATTCCCTTTCCTCGCCAATCTCAAGCCAAAATCTTCCCAACAGTATAATAAAGTAATGCTGCGTGTCCCCCTCCCGGAAACACCGTCAGAACAAAAAGTAAATGGGTTGAAAATTGTATGTCGGTATGGAACTCCAGTACGAGCAGTTGTCAGGAAGGAATATATGGGATCCAGGACAAAGAAGGGATAAAGAGCTGTTTAAGGTTTTTATTTTACATATCATGGAATGTATCACATTGAGTATAACCCGCAAGCCCGCTGTTATCGACCGTGCTTCATACACCATACGATACCCACCACATATCTTTCGTTGTGCTTATAATACCATGTACCGCAAGTACCAAAGCTTGTGCCCTTAGTGATATGTGCTCGGATCGGTTATTTTTGTAGAATCATGGGCGCCAAGAAGGCATGCTTCCTCTTTCTTCTTCCTACCGTCCCCTCGCCCTCTCAACAAACGCAGAACCAACCATGACATGCAGAATTCGACTTGTCACATTCGACGCATACTTGACATTGTTCAAACCAACCGGCTCTGTATCCTTACAATATGTAAAATATGCTCTATTTATTCTTTCTTTCTTTCCTCTGAATCTCGGTCTTTCGCTCACACACACACACACACACGCAACATATTAGGCTGAAGAAGCTGTGAAACATGGCGTTCAAGTGACAAAAGCGGCCATAAGTCAAAATTTCGGTGTGGAATTCAACAATCAGCTCCAACGCTACCCACTTTATGGACACCAAGTGGGCAAGACAACACGCACCTGGTGGGAAGAGGTATGTCTCAGTGAGTAGGGTAATGTCAAAGAAAATGACATTTGAGCTGACATTCTTTATGCAAATTAGCTGATCTATGCAACGTATATTGGGGCAGGTGTCAGTAAACAAGGTACAATCAAGAGGGAGAAGAAAAGGTCTAATCAATAAATGGATTGAAATAACAAAAACAAACAAACAAATGCATAGTTTTGGATCCGGTCTATGACAAAGTGTTCGATGCTCTGTTTATTCGATTTGCGACAGCCGAAGGCTATACTGTATTTCCAGAAGTACGCGAAACGTTGATTCAGTTACGACAAAAAGGATACAAAATGGGTGTGTTGAGTAATTCTGATGAGACAGTAGGTAACGTAACGATCCCATTCTCTAATGTATATACACTACGATCCGCTTTTTCTCATAAAGTGGACAACCTGTTTTTAGTATCCGTTCTAGAAGGATTAGGGCTGGCGCAATACTTTGATTTCATCTTACCAAGCTGTATGGTCGGCTACGACAAGCCTGATAAACGGATGTATGAAAAGGCGCTTCAAGAAGCTGGTGTACGGCCCGAAGAAGCGTTGCATGTTGGTGACGATCTTGAGACGTAAATAAGATCTATTGGCCCATGATAATTATCTTTAATAGCTAACATTATCCGTCACATTTCTTCTATTGTCGATAGGGATTACAATGGTATATATACGTGTAGCAGAAAAAAGGTTACAACAAAGGGAGAACGTTTTGCTAATATTGCCTGTTTAATGTCACAATAGGAGCGTTAGATGCGGGATGGCATGCTACTCTGTTGGATAGATGTATGTGGCATATGTTATATCTAATTAGACTGTATAGTTACGAAGCAACATAACCCATACATCTTTTAACATTAGCATCCGATAAAGAACACGTTGTGTCGTCAAAGCTGGTATCGCCACCAACGCCAACACCAAGACGAAGTTCATCAGATACCACCAGTCAAATCCCTGAGTTTATCACGAGTTTACATGAGCTGTGTCAGTTCCTGATCGGAGAGGCGGATGACCATTATCACCAGCAAGCTGTCAACACTGCATCAACAACATCAACACGAGAACATACTACTACAGTTACTGTTACTACTACAGACACCACCACGGTCGTTGTACCTGCATGAAAACATAATAACATACTATAGATCATTACGGTATTTTCGCATCAATACCAATTATTCCAACTTATAAACGCATTGTCCCATTACAGAGTCTTGACATGTAAGATGTGAGAGGGATAAAATATACATTGTTGATTGGAGGGGTTCTTGATTGATTTTACAGAGTAATATTTAGGTTTTAGATATAGAAGGGCGTATAAAAGATGACGGGGCTCAAGTTGCATGTATTGTACTACATCATTTAAAGCGATTTATAATAAGCGGGGAAAAGAGAGAGAGGTTTCTGTACATTGTAGCTCAAAAAACAAGCGGGAGAATTATACGACATTATCGACACCAGTGCCACCAAGCATCTTGGAGCTAGCATGAGGCTGTTGCTTCAGACCCGCAATAGCTATTTAAGAGAAATGAATTCATTACATGCTCTCAAGACCCTTATGACACTTTCCATAAACCAAAGGATGCTTTACCATAAGAAATAAAGGTCAACAGCAGAGTGACTGCTGGTGCAATTAATGCAGTTTCGTTGATGAGGGTGGAAAGGAACATGACGATGGCCATACTACAAAGATCTTCCCGTCAACTTTTGTCACACAGATAGAAAAAAAAAACTACAACCTAAGACACTTACATCAGGTACATGGCTCCTCTCAAGTACGAGTTTTCAAACTTGGCAACAAAGTTATCACTGCACACAAAAACCTCGTTAGCTTCTAATGACGTTGTATTTCTCCAACAACCCACCCTCCCAATAATCCGAAATACTTACAACTTGGGGCTGGTAGGGCAGAACTGAAAAGAAAAAGTATTTTTTACACTGTTAGTTCCAGCAACAAACTACTCTTGTTTCTTGTAAACCCCTTTCCTTCTCAATCACAGCTATACTCCACCTTTGTACATAATGGGATCTCAACAAAGACCAGAACGAATGCAAACACCCTATTGTGTGATGAGTTTCGTATTGCAAAATAAAAAGTTGCGCGTTTCCTGTTTCCACACTATGCACATCTATATTCTATACTCTACCATCCAATAATAGCAAAGATAGGATTGCTGGCCAGTGAGAAAACGCCGAGCACAACCAGCACTAAATATTCCGTTAGATATTACAAGAATATATAAAAAAGAGAGAGGTCATGTCTTTGCCGTGCATACTTACAAATCAAAGAGATGAGACCCAACCTAATTTAGACATTGTAGGGAAAAGAAATAGAGGGTGCGGTACAGTGAGCATTTTGCTTTTATAGTACTATTGTTACGTGTCGTTCCTTTTTTTACATGTATTTTTACCATTGCGCGTAAAGCGAAAAGTTTCTTGAAGCAAATTCGTCAAAGAAACCCATGTCCGATTACAGTTTAGAGTATCTGTGCAAATGTATTGCAGATTGTACAAAGAAGAAGAATGAAAAGAGAGGGAGAGAGAGAGAGAGAGAGAAAGAAAGAAGAAAGCAAGAGCCAAGGTTCTCGGCAACACAAAGGGTCCCCCGTTTTGCTCTGTGCGTGTGACAAGACGAAAAAGCTGAACGGACTTGAAAAGTTATTGCGAACGAAACGATGCATAATATATACACACATACACTAGTTTGGTTTGTTATAATTACAGCAGAGAGAAGTTGATCGCAAGAAAGATGTATAATGTACGCGGTGTGAGGGGGGAGGGGAGGAGAGGAGGAGGTGCTTCTGCAAAATATATTGAAAGGAGTCTTTTTGTTCTAGCTTTGTCGTTTGCCCTGGATGGAAAGAAAAACACTTGAGTTGCCAAGAAATTTGACACATGGAATCTCCCCCCCCCCCCGGGGTTGTTTCATCATCCTACCTTGGCAGCTGTGCGCCGTGCACGCCGACGGCTAGTCGTGTACGGAGCAGGTGACGCGGGTTGCTCAGCAACAGCAGCAGCAGCAGGACGGGGTGGCGGCGACACAACTCTGACCTTCTTTTTGGGTTTTGACTTTGATCTCTTGAACGCACTGGGTGCAGGAGATGCAGGCTCCTCTTCCTCTTGGTCGAGCTGTTGCCACCGTCGTTTTACAGATGCAGGTGGCCCCACCGTCAGGTATCGTTCATAGGCATATTTCGTCATGTTGGCCTTGATCCCGTGCCGGCCCTTGGGTTGAGCCTCGCCTCGCTAAAAAAGAAGGCCCCCCCCCCAGCCCGGTTCAGCCTTTTTTTGTTTTGTAGCGATGCTTTTTAGAAAAAAGAAAGGTAGTTTACCTGGATCTTCTCCACCTGCTCGACCCAATAACTTGCACCATCATGGTTCCCACTCCATGTCCTTGACGCAATATAGTGCCGGATGGTGCCAGTGTACCGTTTAAGCGTTGGCATCACACGAAGCGTCACTTTTAAATCATGATCGGGTACCACATCATCCCTAGTCTCCCCCGGCCGCAACCTTTTGTTGCCATTTCTCTTGTAATAGTCCCCTTGCATCATCACGTCGGCTGCACCAGCACCGAGTGCCAAAAAGAACGGGTCGCGTGGATCAATGTCAGGTTCCACAAATGTCATTTCGTATTTGCCAGAATGAACAATCACTATAAAAGTCTGGTTGAGCGCTTTTGTGTAATCCCATAAGCCTTTGAATACTACAAACGGGAACAGCTACTTTACTTGGCACAATGTCAGAATCGTCTGTATAAATGTCCGTGCCCCATACAGCTTTTCGTTTGACTTGCGGGTTCTCATATGTCAGGTATCTTGCAGGTATCACCACCTCCACTAGTCCGTTCAATTGTGATTCGTTGATCGGAAGCAACATTCCGGGCGAATAAAGATAAGAGCCTTAAATAAATTCCCCCATCAGTCAGTCAATCAATTCCATCCAAAACCTTCTCCCATAAGAAGGAAAAAGCCTACCAAGTCGTCTCTCCGTCAGTCCTTGTAGCTTTTCCCATGTTTTATCACTTCTTACTGTCCGTTGCAGTCTTTTGATTTCTTCCTTTGCCTTTTCCTCTTTAGAACCACTGGGTTTGCCCTTGAGCTTTAACGGCGATGCATCGTACGCATGTCCTTGTCCGGTTACTGTATCTTGTACCGGGCTCTTGTTGCTGTTATTCTGTACACCAAGTAGTATCGCTTGATCCAGCATTTGCGTCAGCTGTAATGCGCTCGAACGTCGTCTTTCTGTAGTGGATGATTGTTGGTGGTGGTGTGCTTGCGGACTATGATGATGTTGTTGCTGCTGCTGCTGCTGGTTCCCATTTGTAGCAGTAGTAGCTTGCAGAAGAGTGCTGATATTTGCTGCCAGATTACCGATGGCTGTCACTGCCGCCGCTGTTGCTGTTGGAGGCGTACTATTGCTATTGCTACTCTTCTGATTTCCTCCTGCTCCTGCTACAGAGGAACCACCAGTTGTCGGAGCTGGTGTTGTAGTAGATGGTATTGCTAAAGAAGACGACGACAATGATGATGATGATGATGATGGGACAGGTGTTCTTTGTGCAACAGTGGCTGCAACAGCTGCTAGAGCATTTCCTATCTTTTGCGATTTTGCATCGGTTGTTGCCGACGATGAGGACAACGACGTCGGTGATGACGATGCTTTGTTGGTGTTACCACCACCGCCTGCTGAACCGGAAAGAGGTACCGATGTTAATGCACGTACCAACTGTTCATTGGTCAATGCCTTGTCATCTTTGAGCATCGATGATTTATCGTAGTTTGGCGGTGGTGGCAGTGACGACAACGATGATGACGATGCTGGCGGTGATATGGGATGTTGTTGGCTAGTTGTTGCTGTTGTTGCTGGTCGTGGTGAAGGGGAGAACGATACACCTCGATAAAACGTCGAGTCTCGACCACTACCAGCCAATACGGCCGACACCGACATGCGCATGCCAGGTGTATCATAAGGCGCACTATAAAGGGTTTTTGAAGTCGAGAATGCTGGTATGGTCGAACGAGTTGTTCCGAGCCCTACAAATTTGTTACATAAACACTCAACGTTTCTCTCTTTTTTAAAACACGCTGCTAACGTGTGTATGTATGGTCTGTTTACCTGGTGAAGAAGCATTAGGAACTGTGCCATTGCCATTAGTCACTGAAGGAGGACCAGACGTGTCCTTGACAGGCGAGGTCGTGGCAGCTCGACTGGGTTGATCGGGTGAAGTGGCCTTTGCCGACCCCGCAGTGGTCCCTGCATTCCCAAGGGTGGTGGTAGTGAATCCATTGGCGGAATCACTAGCGGGACTGGTTCCTGGTGGTCTGTCGCTCATCTCTTGTAGTCACAGCGTGTGCAAATGGGACTGAAATGGGGGATGAGTTAACGGAGAAGGTAAGAGAACGAGGAAAAAATATAGAGGACAAACGGTGTGGTGACCAAAAAAAAAAAAGAGAGAGAGAGGTAGAGCGAGGGGGAGAACCTACCTTTTCAGGTAAAAAAGCTGGGCGGAAAGTCACGGCTTGACTCAAGCGAGATCTCATGCAAGCCGACGTAGGCCCCAATACGGGGTTTATACAGAATTTGCCTTGTCCCCGAAGTTGGGGTTTGCTTTTACTGTCAACGGGACCATGTCTTTAATAAGTAATAGTAGTACGTATATAGATACACACCCTCATCGACATATCTCCAGACGGGTATATGTTTGTATGAATCGTATGATAGCAAATTGTATATATTCCCCAAGTAAAGCAGCAGTGGCCGCACAACAGCTCGAGAATTCATTTTCTTGTCGCTGCCATCAGCACTTTTGCACCTATCACACTTTAAAGTGGCTATATCAGCCACTATTGGGTAGAGCATTACTTGCAGAAAAAAAAAAGATGGTATTGCTCAAATGTGCTTTGCATGACGTCTAAAGTTAATGCTACGCTTTTCTTCCTTGAGGCACAAATTGATGCAGCACATGTCGTGTGGTCGGAGTGAGAGTGTGTTAGTTACTGGTGTGGCTTGACTATGCAACTGTGACACGTTTTCATCTTCAATTTTGGGTTTCGGGCTATCCATTCCCCCCATTCTCGAGACTTTTTTTTTTATAACTTGGCCATCGCTTATCCAGCCCAACGTTTTCTTTTTTAGCACAGCCCTTTTTTGCGATCTAAGCCTGTCACGTCAATACCCTTACTCTCCTCTCCACGCTCACCCCCCTCTCTCTCTATCCTCTCATACATTTAACATACAAACATGCAATCAGACGAAGTAATTTGGCAGGTTATTAACCAGCACTTTTGTTCATATAAAGTCAAGTAAGTCTTTCCAGCACTCTATTTCCTAGCCCACACAACGACGACACATACGAAACGATCACGACAAAAATACCCGGACGAAATCGAGAGCGACTGTCGACCGATGCAATAGATCAATATAACTGATCTCGAGTTCACTTTTTATAGAACACCTCGACAGAACTTTTGTCGTAATGAATATAACGTCACTGGTCTGTGCAATCGTCAATCGTGTCCACTTGCAAACAGTCGATATGCTACGATCCGAGAACACAATGGTATGTACTTTGTGCGTTAGCGTAGAAATAGACAATTTGCTTCTTTGGGAATGCTTACATTTACTCTGCGATCAATCAAAAAGGTATCCTGTATCTTTATATGAAAACTCCTGAACGAGCCCATTCGCCAGCGAAAATGTGGGAAAAAGTAAAATTATCAAAGAACTATGCACAAGCACTTGCACAGGTACAAAAATAAGGGATCTGCTTATAAAAATTCGTCAATATCCCCGAGATTACGATATTTATATATATATTTCACTTTGTAAACTACTAGATTGACAAAGAACTGTTATACTGGCCAAATTTCTTGCAACACAAATGCAAGCAGCGTCTTACGAAGATAACGCAATATTTGATCCGAATGAGAAAGCTGAAACTCAAGGAAGACGAACGGCCACAGTTGATTGGTATCAAAAAGAAACTCGAGCGTCGTGAAGCAAACCGTGAACGCAAGGCAGAAGCAGCAGCGAGACTCGAAAAATCGATTGAGAAGGAATTGATTGAACGCTTAAAGAACAAGGCCTATGGTGATGCACCATTGAACGTCAAAGATGATGTCTGGCAAAAGATCCTGGATCAGGATCTCGAGGGCGCCGTGGATGAAGAGAGTGAAGAAGAGGATGAGAACGAGCTGGAGGAGGAGGATGAAGAGGAGGCCGAGCACGAGTTTGTCTCTGATTTGGAGGACGAATCCGACATTGAAGACGTCGAGAATGGCTTTGAGTGGGAGGTCGAAGAAGAAGATGAAGACGAAGAGGAGCAAGAGGAAGAAACTGTAAGTATTTCTGTGGGCAATGACATGGTCTGGTTGTGCAATGTTAGAGGGCGTTTGGTGTATTTGGAGCATGTTTACTGATAAGGTGTTTATATAGGAAAAGCAGCCCAAGAGGAAACGAGCACGCGTTGAGGTGGAGTATGAAGAGGAACATGATAATGCATTGCAAGTTTGATCATTGTACCTTTGTTTGTGTTGTAATCTTTCCGTTTGTTCTTTTCCACGCCACTCTTTTCTTTCTATCTTCCTGTCATATTTTACATATAAAAGCAAATACCACTCAAAGTCATTTACATCCACAACAAACAGCCGCTTGTTCATTTTTTTTTATTGTTTTTCCTGCGTTGATGTCGCAGTCTTGGCCTTTTTCCGCGTGCGTTCCTTTTTCTTCAATGAATCCATGTATGCTCGGATCACAGTGCTATAGGCGTTTTGAAACTTCTCTAGCTCGTTTGGTGGTACCTAGTAAAGGGACAAAGTAATCATATCAGCAACTTGGCATGATACGCGCGCTCACAACACGTCAGATTGCTTACAATAGTGCTAATTTTGCTGCTTTTGTAAGTTGCGCGTACAAGACAGGGGAACTCAATATCGTCGTCTTTCATACTATTCTTGTCCAGGATAGTTTCGCCACCTTTGGGTATTTCTTTCTTTACTCGTGAGGCCTTCAATAGTCGTCGTTCAGTCACTACAAATGGAGAGAATGGTTTGTAAGTTTTTTTTTGCTACAAATTAAAAAAAGCTTGGGTTTTATTGCTTGGCTCTTTACTTCTCTTCATAGTAACAGAGACGGTGCCATTGACTCGCGATTGTTCGTAAAATCGACCGAGCTCGACAGTGAACTTTTATATTTAAATAATACAAGATGGAAAGAGCAGATAATGTGGATGAATAAATGTACGTAATGGACAATGTTTATCGAGTGTACTGTTTTAATTACTTACAGCGATCGGATCAAGGTCTTTCATTATGTATTATATGGAGTTTTTGATAGAGGTGTATGTCTCAGGAGAGCGAATGAAAAGTTGAGGGACTGGGTTTATAAAGGGCAAAGAAGATTTATGAACTGCGCTACAAAGGAAAAAGCACCTTTCTTCCTCGTTGCTCCGCACCCCACCCACACTTTTCCACATTATGCCTTCTTCTCGATCGCCATCACCTTCGCCTCCACCTCGTTATAGACGTGATCGGTCACGTTCTCCTTCTTACTCAAGACGTCGTCGATCACCTTCAACTCCACCAAGGCGACGTCACTACCGCGATCGCAGCGACAGCCGTGATCGTTCTACTAGAAGACGACGATCACCACCACGATATGATCGTTATAACGAACAGCAACAACACCAAGACGCCATTGAGGGCGTTCCTCAGTTACCCGATGAAACATACACTGAATAGTAAGCTTTTTCCCCACTCATTTTAGAAACACATATAAATGAAAACTTTGAAACTCATTCATGTCCATTTAGTCGCATGCGAGCAAGAGACAGCAGTACGAGAACAATTTGGGCCGCTTCGCCCGAACGACGACGATCTGTATCACCAGAAGAAAAACCCAAACGCAAGCGCCGATCGGCATCTGTGGGCGACGACGATTCGGACGATAGCGAAGAAGAACGTCGAAGACGACGACGAAAGAGTAAAAAGTCCAAAAAGAAGAAATCGTCGTCATCGAAAAAGAAGAGAAGACGGTCAGTTACTCCTTCCGAATCCAATTCGTCGGGAGGGGAAGAAGAGGAGGAAAAACATCGTCGTCGTCATAGTCGAAGCCAACAGCGTTCGGATAGTGAAGAGAATGATAAAGCAAAAAGACGTCAAGATGGAGAAGACAGCAAAGACGAAGAAAAGGCACAGGATGAGATTGAGGTGGATCAGTCTCAGTTGGATGCTGTACAAGACTTGTGGGTTGAAAAGCAAGGTAACGTCTTTTTAGATATGAGCATTTAGGGTTGTGGGCCTCTTATAAGAGGGGACGTGAGCGCTTAGTGGAATCTCTGAGTTACTGATGGTATATATATTGTCTTCCTGTAGTGGAGATACCTGATGATGCAACCGCAGTTGGACCCGTCATGTTGCCCAAGGATGAAGATATGCCTGATGAAAGAGCGTAAGTACCAAAGATTGGTCGTACTACAATTGTTTAATGTATAAAAACTGGTGGGAAATTATCAGTAACTAATTTCATGTCTTTTAGTTATGGTGGTGCACTGTTGCCTGGTGAAGGTTCGGCTATGGCAGCGTATGTCCAACAAGGCAAACGTATTCCTCGTCGTGGTGAAATTGGTCTATCGGGCGATCGCATTGCCGATTTCGAAACTGCTGGTTTTGTGATGAGTGGTAGCAGGTAAGGAAAAAAGGAACTATATGAAAAATTCACAGCTAGACATAGTGTCTCTTATTCTCGTGGATACCAACTCTCTCCCGTTTCTTTATATTAGACATCAACGCATGAACGCAGTTCGTCTTCGTAAAGAAAACCAGGTCATTTCGGCCGAAGAAAAGCGTCTGTTGTTGCAACATGCTCAGGAAACAAAGATGAAGCGTGAAAATGAAATCATATCCGGATTCAGAGAATTGTTAAGCGACAAGTTTGGCGAAGAAAGACAATAATCAACATTCATGATAATAATAAAAATCTACTACAGTTATCACTTGATTGATTGATATATGGTACCATAGGTTATAAAGACACATACTGTCAAGCCAAATAATGACTCCTTTCATTATGTTTCCGGGAAGATGTTGGGTGCTGGGCCAGAGCAGAAGGCGTCCATAGCGTTATTGAGTGTACAACAATCCTTATACTCGTTTTGACGGGCTGGATCGACTTTGATACAGAAATCTAAGAAGGTAAAGTAGAAGCCCATTTCGTTGCTGTCACAGCAAGTCCTTGTTGCTCGTCCGTTGTACCCGGCGAAATCGGCACCTTTACCACCTTTGCAGAAGCAGTTGGCTGAGAATTTGGTTGGGTCTGGCAATGCTGATGCGTTGCTTTCTTCGATGTAACTAAGAGTGGTCAACAACAGTGATAGTAATAGTGGAGTGGTTATAATGGTAATGGATCGTCGTAGTCGTTGTGGCAGGATCATTATCAATGTATGTGTGAAAGTGTTCGAGGTAACGGCGATAACAGAAAAAAGCTTGGCTAAGGAAAGAAAACTAAAAACAGACATATGAAGGCTGAAGTAAAGTCTGTAAAGTAGGGAGGTCATTGATATAAATGGTCGCACTTCCCCCTTGCCTTTAACCCTTGCAAGGGATCATAACGGTACATTCTTCGCTACAGAAGGCAAAGATAAACCATTTTACCAAAACTATTGTCAGCGTTTGCAATGTTACTACATATTATTTTCATATACACTATATCAGCAACTATACATTCCAACTGTTATGTCATTAAAGCTAATCTCGCTACCCCTTTCAAAATGTGGATTATGTATATAATTCGTGGGGAAAGAATAAAGGGGGTGGGGGCTGTACCTAGCACTGCTATGATACTGTCTACTCCTTCAACATTTGTTCCCACTTTTCACTGTTTTTCTGGACATAGTATACAAAAGATGATGCTATTAATAGTAGCCCGCCACAGATCGAAAACAGCACACCATGTCCGAGCACCTCTTGCAAATCAATAACTACCAACAGTGAGACTACGATAAGAGCGCATTTTATAAGTTGAAAGCAGGCTATATTAAAAGAGACAATACTGTATCAATAAATCTTTTCTTCTTTGTGTATTCCCTTGAACGCACAATTCAGTACCTTGAACAGATGCACCATGTCCTGGAAAACATTGTATAACGTAAACTGTTAAATAACAGACCCATATCATCATGCCGAATTGTGCTATGTATAGTACGTCGTGAGTCAGCAAACGCGCCGATCTATCGTCTATGTACAGAGAATTATTCACTTTAAAGACTTACCGAACATTTGCATAAACATTCCCAGCACAAAGTGGGTGTTTTCTTGAATGCACCATCCATATGCAGCGTATCCACCTGCCATTAGGCATACGGATGGTGTTAATACCAATTTGCTGAGCCGCATTTCGGGATAAACACGTTCGTTTTTTTCTGTTGCATTTTGGATCCGTCGTTGATATACACGGTCAGACAATGTTCCAGCCGCGTAAGCACCGGTACAGTATCCAAAGGCACCCAGCATGTAGCATAAGCCGACATAGGTAGAGCTGAAGTGATATTGAGTGTGATAGGCCCATGCAAATGAAGCATTGGCGGCGTAGTTGACAAAGTACCTGGCGTAAAAATGGGTGTGAGCTATGTGTATACACTCATTACAATGGCGTCAGTCTATTCAAGGTACTCAACATCCGTTAAGCTGCCATCACTTACATAATGCCCATATAAAGAGAAGCCAAGAGAATGTTTGGATATCTCAGTAGCTTCAACGATGCAAATGGATTGATGACTAGATACTTCTGTTTGTTGTCGCTTTTAGTCGTAGTAGTAGCTTTTGTGCAAGCTGGCTGGTTGGGAGTTTTGGTCTCTGGTAGACCATATACTAAACTGACAAGTAAGACTGCATAACAGATGGCGAGAAACCAGAACACGCTCCTCCATCCAAGATATTGTGTTAATGCTCCTGTGATAATGGGCCTACACGTTAACAGCCAGTAGGGTTATTCAAAAATTTCCAGAAAAAAAATGTGGATCTTGTATGCTATGCAGATATGATGTATGTGAAACATGCAACAGGCACCGTAGTGCATGTTTCTAATTAAACTTACGAAATTGCTGCTACGCTAATTGGCAATGCGTTGTTCCAAGAAAGTGCTCTTCCACGTTGACTATCATTGAAAACGTCTGTAATAACACCTGCTCCCAAAGAGACACACTAACGATCGTCGCGAAGCAGAAAATATTAAATGCACAAATTATAACTAAAAATAATACATATATCACAACCTCGTTTCTACGGCAAAATCTCCAGTTCTAAGGATGACTTACCGCTCCACCACCGATAGCAGCGACGGCACGAGAAGCGAGCAACATGCCGATATTGATAGAAAGTGCAGACCCGGCGTTGCCCAATATCATGATTAAAGTAGATACCATATACATTGGACGTCGGCCTTGTTGATCATTGTTGTCCATTGGAGAACAAAAAAAAATGAGCATATGCCAAAAGGTGTTTCTCATTCACACTGTGTCAAAGTACTCAAAATAGAAAAAAAATCCTTACCATAAATATTACTAAGTGTTACCCATACTGAAGGCTATAGTAACAAAAAGGATGTAATTAAAATAAGTTTCTTTTCCACAAGCACCTTCATTGCATATCGAATAAAGGCAACACTTACAAGGAGACCCGTTAAGAAGGTATACACAGCAGCTAAATACATTTAATGAACGTGGTCAATGCTTCTACTTTCTTCGCGTGGTGACATAAACAATTGCTTGGAATATTACTTGTGGCGTTGGTAATGGTTTCTGTTGTGTCAAAAGAAGATCGTATTGCTGGAAATACGGGATACTAAGGAGCATGTAATAGTTACTTTAGTATAAAGATGTCGTTATAACCACTACATCTGCTGTTGACGAATTATTAGTGTAGTTACCATTCCACCGATGGTTACATGCTGCCTAATCGAGCAAGAAGGAGAAAACACGAACAGGAACGCGTTTGGATTACAAAGGTTGAGCAAAATCAATCATGGGGATCAGTCATTCATGTGTAAATTTAGTATTGATTTGTTCTATATTTACATCATCTGCATAGCTGTTACAATTAAGAAAATGACCAATTTTCTGGCTCCCGAGTACTGGTTATGAGCAGAATGCTGTTTGCTGTCATTTTTCTTTTCTCCTTTTTAAAATAAAAACAAATCAAGAAGATAATGAGAATCGTTATCATCTTATTATCTCATACTACAATATAATGGCAAGAACGCTATACTTTACCGATGCCGACAACAGCTTCATCGTCTTCGTTGCTCCTCATATCAACAACACTTCCACCTTGTACAGTTTCATCAGATGAATCTTGTATAATATCGGTATCTTGCCGGAAACTTGCCGTCATGATAGAAAAGTCAATAGTTTACTAATAACCGGAGAAGAGAAGGTAGAGAAACAGATATATGACGCATCTGTTTTAAAAGAAAAATGCTTTAAGCAGAACCAATCGGGGCCATTAGTTGATAGGTCTTATTAGTGCATGTCAGCTATGCATGGCGCATTTATAGCTCTTCTTATTACAGTTCTCTGTATATACGTATTCAGGTATGTAGATCACAACAAACTTATCAGTGTCCTACTGTCGGTTTGTTATCACTTCTGCTAGAAAAAAACGCCAATGTATAAAGCCGATCAGCAGTAAGATGCTGCTTCTTTATTTAAGATATCGTGGTTTTTATACAGTGTTTTCCCGCTTATAATTCTACCTCAAAGGGAAGACTGAGAAGTGCTGAAACAGCTTAAAGTTGACACAGACCAAGAGAAACATCCAATGCAACCTTTTAATGGATTGAAGGGGTACACGGGGAATGTTGAAATGACTAAAGGTTTACTTTAGTTGGAAACGGGTGGCGAGTGCATTAACTTGTATCAGAAAATGCAATGGTTATCAGTGATGCACTATGTTTCAATTATCCTCACCAAAGAAAAAATGTATAAATAGTAAACTTGTATGTAACGTATCTATTACCGTTATGTTCATCTGCAACATCATGTACGCTTCATCACTTGTCTACTTTAGTGGTAGGAAATTAGGTATTAAAGAACCGACAACAAACTTTCCGAGAGCTGTTCTGATATAATATTGGAACGCTCATCTCGTATGAAACAAAGGGGATGGGACGCGGTTCTCCTATTTCATATGTATAACTACCAGAAGAAACCGTTTGGAAGGAACTGTAATGTACAGATGGAACTTTCTGTCTTAAAATATGATTACATTTATTTGATCGATTACATATGTATGCACGTAAAGAAAAAGAAGGAAATCGAAAGAACTTCTATATTTATAGTGGGTGCTCTTTTTGTATCCGTTGCCACCTTTCAGTATTGGTTTGAATGTAAATTACAAATAGCGATGCCGCAAGCAATATTCCTCCACAAATAGAGTAAAGAATGCCATGTCCTAGCAAATCTTGTAATTTTATGACGGACAAAATAGCAACTACGATGAACGAGTTTTTGACGATCTGGAAACAGGCTATAGATTGTTGTGAAAAGATATTAACTGATACATACAAGTCTTGCTAATAATACAGGTGTAGTTGTGACAAAGCAGTATTGCTATACCTTGTACAGATGCTCCACGATCTGGAAAACACTGAATGGCGTAAACTGTCAAAAAGCATACCCAGATCATCATTCCAAGTTGCGCTAACAGGGTAAAAAGTTCAAATGAGAGTATATTAGTGAGCTTGTGCATAGCTTCTGCAGTTACTGTATGTAGACATGGTATGTAGAAACTTCCGGACAACATGTGCCAAAAGTTGCTTCATACACTTACCGAACATCTGCATAAGCATACCGAATATAAAATGCGCGTTTGCTTGTATGCACCATCCATATGCAGCATATCCTCCAACCATCAGAACAGCGGCCGGCGCCAATGATGCTCTACTGAGTCGCATTTCCGGGTACACGCGCTCGTTCTTGTCTTTTGCTTTCTGTACGCGTTGACGATACATACGATCTGATAATGATCCAGCTGTGTAGGCACCAACGCAATATCCGAAAGCACCCAACATATAGCATAAGCCGACCTGGACTGGATTGAATCCATATTGATTGCTATAGGCCCACGTAAACGACGTATTCACGGCATAGTTTACAAAGAACCTATTGTTATTTGTAAAACACAGAGAATGAACATGTGAATAGGAATATTATCTTTCAAAGGATCAGTCCGTCATAAGTGGACCTCGCAAGCTGCAAACATGGATATTTGCGAGCAGTATAAGTGACAATAATAGATATCTTACATGAGACCCATATAAATAGATGTAAGTAGAAGGTTAGGATAGCGCAAAAGCTGCAATGATGATGCAGGATTGACGACGGCAAGTTGCTTCAGTTTGCTCCTTTGACTGTCTCCTTTCAAGTTCTTTTTGGTTTCTGGTAATAAAAATATCACGCAAATGAATAGAACCCCATAACAAATGGTATAGAACCAGAAAACGCTTCTCCATCCGAAATATTGAGCCAATAAACCAGAAATCATGGGGCTAAAATATAACAGGTGACAAAGAGTTACTAGGGCCATTTTGAACGATGTCAAATATTGCTTTAGCAGACGATACATACGATACAGCAGTCATCGTGATTGGTAAAGCATTGTTCCAAGAAAGTGCTCTTCCACGTTCATTGTCGTCAAATACTTCCGTTACCACTCCAGCTCCCATGGCAACGCACTATGTATTGTATTGATAGTCGACCATAAGATTTAAAGTTTACGATAAATTCTCTTTTTATCCTTACTGAGCATATCCTGTGGTATTAGACTTACTGCACTTGCACCAATGGCCGTGATTCCACGGAATGCGATCAGCATTCCAATATTGACTGACAGCGCACTGCCAAGGTTGCCTAGCGCTGTAATCATGTTTGAGACTGCATAAATTGGACGTCGGCCTTAGACGTACACAGCAGCATGATACATAGTGCATAGATACAGAAAATGTTGAGCTTTTCGTTGTCATCATTAGTCTAAGCTTCATGATGATATCCTTTTGTTGCATAAAAAATTGAGAAAAGTACCATATATATTACTGTACGACGCCCATAGTGAAGGCTATGAAACACGGTTTGTTAGCAGTCAGTCTATGTAATTTCTGCATGTCTTCTTTTATACAAATCAGTAAGTTCTACTTACGAGAACGCCAGTTATTAAGGCGAATGACGCGGCTAAATATCACATTGAGTCCCATGAGCCATGAATAGCACACAATTTAATCGCAAAAAAAGCATAGAAAATAATTTACCCGTTGCATTGGTAACAGTCTCGGTTGTATGTAGATCTGTTCTTATCGCCGGAAATACGGGATACTATTGGATCAAACCAGATCCAGATCAGCAACATAAACAACGGCTTTGGTTCTCTTTATTGCTCTTCCTTTTCCCTTCACAGATTTCTGTTGCGAAATGATACTTGCAAGCCCATTTATAGAAAGCTGATTCCTATAAAACATTCAATTTTTGAGCCGTTGTGAAGCGACGGTTGATTGTGATATCTCCAACATACATCTTTTTTGTTTTCCCATGCATGAAAAAAAACACATACATCATTTGCACGACTGTGACAATTGAAAATATGATACACTTTCTAATTTTTGAAAATTCTTGTTGAGGTTTGGAGCCGCTTTGACATTCTTCAGCTTAGTCCAGGAACATTATATGTTAGCATTAACCAACAAGCTTCCATCACAATTTGAGCTACTGTAGAGTAGAAAAAGAACATTACAACCTCGGACTAAATACCTGTTCCTACTACGATAACCGTACTCGCATCTTTCTCGGCTATAGATGATCCCGAAGCCTCAATAACATTGACAGCATCGCTATTGTTGTTGTATTGAGCGTTATTTGACATGGTTTAAAAAGGAGATTTACTTAATGATAAAAGAAAGATGAGAAAAAAGATCACAGCAAGTGGTCAAGGAAGGACACTTAAAAAGCATCGGGGTTTGGTCCTGAACCTTGTAATAACATGTATCACGAATCGTCACGTAGCTGCAACGACAAGGAAGACGCTTAATTTTTCTTGTAATTAAATCATTGGTGCTGCCCGTCACTATGTTTGAGCGATGTTTTGGCTAATCGCTACGATAAAGACACAACACGAGAAACGAAAAAGAAGTGCAGTGTGATAGACCTCTAGACCATGAGCGCATTGTAGACGTTGAACAAGAGAAAATAGAGCAACAAGCGACAAAGCAACAATTAAAGCCGCCATTGTAGTCATGCAGCGTATAGTTACTTAAACAAACAAGTATGCACATGCGAAAGGGATACTTTGTGCCTGATGCCAACAAATGCAGGCCGATTTGATTTGTGAGAAATGTCGGATCGATGATTCTTCCGAATCTCCCCATTCCAGCTATTCTAAGTAGCACTGGTCAAAAATACACTATCAAAGTTGTGACAGTTTCGCTTCCATCCCTATCCCTGCAACTATAGCCACCTAGACTATTTCTTTTCCCTTTATTTCATTACAAATCAAAACGATGCAACGAAGAAGCTGACTGCAATGGGTGGAGGAATGAAGCGAATGTGGTGTGCCGCTCGGTAATCATTTCGACGCTTATTAATCAAAAAGTCATGACACACAAGTGGCGAGGTATTATTGTGAACCTGAGCGTTTTTTCTCGTTTCTCTTTTTCCCAGATATACCCACTACAACAGAAAAAATAACAACAACCACATATACACTTTGACCATTGCATTCTTCTTGCTATTTTTTCCCTCTTCTCCCTCTTCCTCTCCTTCCTCTCTCTTTCAAAGTCTCATGACCCTTCTTGACAGCGATCCGATCGAAGAAGCAGTACCAAAAAGTATCACGGACGCACTCGACCGACGAAATTACCAATCAGCCATTGCTGAAGCTTCGTCTGCGATTGCGAGTTTATTCGAACGACAATATATTGCGCTTCTCGATAAACGTTCGTATGCACATGCTATGCGCTGCAACTTCAAGGCCGCACTTGACGACGCCCATGAAATGATCAAATATGCACCCACTTGCGCTAAAGGATATCTACGGGCTGGACGACTGTATACAATGGAAGGCAAACAAACGGCAGCAATCAGAATATGTCAACGTGGGATCGAAGCAGTGTCCAAATCCGACCCGCTGTATCTATTAATGAAGGATAGCAAAGTCCTCGCTGAATACCAAAATGCCAAGCGGATCGACTTTATTGCACGATTACCACTCGAAACAGCATTCACAGTGTTTATGCAACTCGATCGCGGCGAAAAGGGAATTGCACTTGGTGTGTCCAAAATGTGGCGCGAACGGCTACTCTTGTGCTCTCATGCATGGAGTAAACTAACAAGCACAGGGTGCAAACCTGACTTAATGATCGCCAATACAATTGATCGTATTGGGCCGCATGTACAAACATTGCTGCTTGCATGCAAGACGAATACTCTCAGGAATTTGTACCTGAACCATATGAAGGACGGCACATTTGTTAACCTCAGAACTCTCATCTTGACGAGTAAGTGGATGCATAAAACAAAACCTGCTGTATTAGTAATTATTTTATCTGCCATTGTGTACTTAGCAGTAGCTTATTAATTAATTGTTGGCGATTATTTGGGAACGTTTATCAATAGGATTAATGACTACAGTTTTGCATCGCGACCAGATAGCCGTTGCGCTTTGGCAAGTGAGACATACGCTGACTAAGCTAGCCGTGGACTTCAGCGGAAACCAAACAACAGTGACCTTTGGCAGCATATTGTTTGCCTGCCCTCAGCTGATCGACCTATCATACATCACCAGCGAAAATCTTCAGCTTCACCTCGGCGACCTGACAACCATAAAGAAACCTTGCGCTATCCGACAGCTACACGTCAAATCCAAGCTTAGCCGAAGTGAGGATATCCGACCCATACTGCAACGCTGCCCACACTTACGGTATCTTGCTATTGAAGGGTGCCCTCATGCTGTTCTGGATTCGGTTTTTGAACAATGTCCTGCTTTGGAAGTCGTCGGCTACCACGCTGCAACAAGTACACGATTACCATCACTGACTTGTGACGAATGTGCACGGAAATCAACCGGCTTACGAATTCTTCATATTTCAGCATGCGTCGATCCAAATCACATAGTTCCCATTATCCATAAATACGGCAGATCCCTCGAAAATTTACTCCTATATCTCTCCAAACCGACATTAAATGACGCCAACAATAATACCCTTGCTGCTGCTGGTGGTACCATTCCACATCACCATCATCACCAACAACAACAACAAATAACGATGCATCAGCTTCGCAACTTTGCCTGCAGCTTTGAATCACATACCCAAGACGTTATTGTCGATAACCTTATCCGCTCAAGCCCTGGACTCCGCACGGTCTCTTTGATGTGTGTTGAAAACTTAAACACCATGGTTGATGCATTGTGCAACCTGACTCGGTTAGAAGCGCTTTCGATTGGTGGCGGATTTCCGCCTTTGTCCGAGAGCAGCGCATTGAAATCTTTCTTTAAACAGCATGCCAAACTCGGTCCGCATTCACCACTAAGAATGATTCGATTCATGGGTTGCAACGCGCTAAGGGACGACGTGTTCAATGCCATCCTGGCGACGCAGACATTGGAGGTTGTCAAGATTGATTATTGTCAAAAAATTAGTTCCGACGGATTGCGCATGTTTGTCTCGAGACTAGGGTCGCTCGAGACGTTGACGCTGGGTCTGATGGATAAGGTGACGGATACCGTGGTGGAAAATATTGCGCCATCGATTCGTGATGTGTGTTTACAAGGTCTGCCGAACGTTACCGATTGTGGTGTAATGAGGTTTATCGATAAGTCGTATGCACTTGAGAAAATGTGTATACAAAACTGTCCATTAGTCACGCAACGTGTTGTTGAATATGCAAAACCAAGAATAAAAGTGGCAGTTGCATCTTGACCCAAGAGAAATCGTTGTTTTGCGTTTTGCTTTCAAATGAAAGTGTCTCTTGGCAGTGGACTGAGAAAGTCGGACAGAGGAGCGCGGTGGTACGCGTCACTTTTATTTCCGCGTTCCTCTATTCAGTGCCATTTCCTGGAACTAATATCTTTCAAGGGAACCCAAAGAATTTTCCTTTACTACAAGTATAGTGTTAATGACAAAGTGCAGTATTACGCTGCACACCACACTCTGGAGTATAAGATGTGCGGAACAGTGCATAGTATTGTCTTGTCTTGTTAAAAGAGGGGCCTCTCTTTCTCCACTTTCGACTCATTTAGTCACACCCGCACACATATCATACACATACAGTAATAGGAGGAGGCAGAAAAAATGGAGCAGGTTTCATACGTATGGACAAACTACATAGCGCCTCGCCTACACGATATAATCAGCAACGGTGAAAATAGGACGATGACTATCAGCTCGGCTGCAGCTCTTTTACTTTTATATCTCGCTGCCGATAAGTTATTAAAACCACCGAAACAACTACGGCATATCCCATACGCCAGTCCAATCAAATCACTCTTCGCCGTGATTCGCGATGCATCTGCTGACGAGGTTAGAAGAGCAATAGCTTACCCGCTGACAACTAAAACTGAGAACGGGCTATATTCGGTAAGGCATTTTTTTGTGGGACCAATTTCGTGTTTATTCATGCTAATGTGCAACTTTTAAAAGCGCTTCGATCCCACAGGCTGGACCGTTATTATTAATGATCCAGTTATTGCCAAGCAGTACCTTTTTAGATCCAGTAAGGTTCATACGAAAAAAATAATAACTGCACCTCTAAACATTTTGGCTAATTCTCCTGGCAATGCAACGCATATATTTCATAAGCTACATTTATACAGAGTCCTCTGAGCGACCAGTTTGCTGGCACGCTTATTAGCCGTTTCATTTTGGGCCCTAATATCCTTTTCCTCTCTGGGCAGCATTGGAGAGATCAGCGCAAGGTACGCTACGCAGAAGATCATCAGAAGTTTAAATGATACTCTTTTAAGTTTGCAAACCTTCTGGTGGACGGATTTTATTTTATCAGATTGCCAACCCTACATTTCACCGGTCCATGCCGTTAGCGCTATTTGGACGATTAACTGAAAAAATGTTCAATGTCATTGACGCTACAGAAGGCGCTATAGACGTTTATGACTTGATGGAACGCTGGACTCTTGACGCAATAGGAAATGCAGGTTTAGGTACGTAGCTTACAATATTTACCATCCGAAATTCTACCGTAGTCATTTTTTTTGCTAATCAATACGAGCGGGGACATGATGTTTGATATTGTTAAAAGGCTTCGATTTTGATGCAATCAGCAGCACACACAACATATGGATTCGCAGATACAACCATGTAGTCAAAGCATCGCAAAATCCCTTCCACGGCCTTTTTCCCGTGCTAGAGCAACGGTTTCTGAACTGGATTCCGTCGCGTAAACGTGCACATGATGTTATGAGCGTGCTTACAGAAATGATTCAATCGATCATTGACCAAAAACGCAAGCTGATTGATGAACAGAAGGCACGCGGTATAGCAGTGCTAGAAGATCCTGAAAGGGACCTTTTGACAATGATGATTGAGGGAGGGCAACAAGAAGGCCAAGGTTTGACCGACGAAGAGTTGCTGATATGTGAATTCAACGTATTTCTAAACAAAATGTACATAATGGCTATAATATACTTATCATGAGCCATGCGAAACCTTCCATCTTCTTTCTCTACAGAGTAACGTATTCGTTTTCTTTTTCGCTGGACATGATACTACCGCTTCGGCTCTCTCGTCTGCCATCTGTTTTCTTGCCATGCATCCTCCTCTTTTAAGATAATGAGCAGACTAATGCGAATTTCTGACGTTTTTTTACCACTGTATATACATACTTACAGGAAATGCAACAAAAAGCAAGAAATGAAGCTATTAAGGTTCTTGGAAACGAGTACAGAAATGTTGTACCAACAGTGGAGCAAAGCCAGAAAATGAGATATATCGAACAAGTTATAAAAGAGGTATAACCTTGTCACATTATGAAACCATTTTCAGAAATGGCATTCAATTATCAATTAACTGACGCTTTTTTATAGACCTTACGCATGTATGCACCGGTCGATTTCCTGGTTCCTCGTCGTGCAGTAAAGGATACCGAGCTTGGAGGTGTCTTTATTCCCAAAGGGACTCAGATAACATTTTCAACCTACCAGTTGCACCGAAATCCAAAAGTGTGGGGCGAGAATCCAGACTTATTTGATCCAGAACGTTTCGCGCCTAAAAAGGAAGCAGACTATAAACAGAACTTTAACTGGCTACCATTCAGCACTGGATCACGGCAATGCATTGGAATGAACTTAAAATTGGCCGAGCAACGACTGCTATTACCTATGTTGCGTAAGCATACTGTACATTTCTTTCATGATAAAATGTTTATCGAACGCCACTAAAAAAAAGGCACATACTGTAACCGCTGATACTTTTTCTAGTTCGCAAATACGAATGGCATCTCCCAAAGGATACAATCCACACGCCGGAAAATATTTTTACAAAGGAGTCATGAGCCTAAAAGACCTCAATGTTATTTTTTAAGAGACGGTACTAATATGTAGTATCCTACAGTTTATATGCCGTCGTCAGAGCTTTACGTGCTTACTACCTTTCATAACTGTATTTTAACATCACCATACGTACCTGAGCTAGCCAACAAAATGTGTGCTTATGCAGTTTAATAAATACATAACGACTATTGAAATTGAAAAGCGTTGTCAATATCATGCAGCAAATATGTATAGTTTCTTCAAACACTAAAGTTCACTAAATGGCTGGAGCACATTCCCGAAAAAGTATGAACATCCAGCAAAGCCGGTTGCCCAATAAGTACAGACTGTGTAACAGCCGCTTTATATTGGAGCTTCATCGTGCTTATAGAATAGCAGAGAGTGGTACTGCTTCCAAATATGCTTTTGGTATAATCCAAGCCCCGGAATTGTTGTGGAGACAGTGACAGCCCGAGAACAAAGGCTCGATTTAGACAAGCCTCGTTTAAAAATAATACACGCACACAGTGCTCGGTGGCTGGTATCGTTTTCAGTAAATATAAACCAAAGAAAACAAGCCAACATTTACTTAACTTGATACGATAAGCAATACAAACATCGACTTTTCCATCGCTGGAGTGAAGATGACCAATACCTAGAAGGAAGAATGGGGGGCGCAGGGCGATTAACACAAATATAACATGCTATTCGCTTTTCAAAAGGTATATAAAGAAGCTCAAAAAGAACATTTCATTGTCAATCAACCAATCCTCTCCCCGAGTTACTTCTCCAAATTAAACTCTATCTATTTACTACTTTAAAGATGGTTAATGCTGTCGCTCTCTTAAAAGGCGCTGCCTCCGCTGCTACTGGTCTCGTCTGGTTCACACGTCATGGTGACTATACAAGCATTTATGCCAATGTTACTGGTGTACCACCTGGTCAACATGGTTTCCATGTTCACCAGTTTGGTGACTTGAGTCAAGGTGTGTAAAGAAATTAAAGTCATTTTCGTTTTCTTGTCTGATAAAACTTATTGTTCATGAACGCATCATTCGCCATTTTATGTGATAGGCTGTGAATCATTAGGCGGTCACTTTAACCCTTTCAACAACAACCATGGTAGTCCAGAAGACAAGATCAAGCACGTCGGTGACTTTGGGAATGTTGCTGCAGACAAACATGGCAACATACATTTTCAAGTGACAGTAAACACGCTTGAGTTTGAAGGGCCTAACTCAATATTTGGGTAATATTACATCGATAATCATTTATTTACGCGAAATCCACAGTGTTGCTAAACTCTTCCCTTTTTGTTTCGATATTAGCCGAGGTATCATTCTTCATGCTGATCAAGATGACCTTGGACGCGGTGGAGATGAAGGTTCCCGGTTGGTCGGAAATTCAGGTGCTCGCTTGGCTTGCGGGATTATTGGAAGTGAGTTTTACAACAGAAGTCAAAAGCTCGATATTACCAGTGTCTAAGCATATCACTGACTTACAGCGTAATCTTTTGTATAGTTGCTGCCGAAGATGACAATTTGGATTAACACTTATTCAATACATCATGCATGTGTATCTTAGATTTTTAACAAACTAATTACAGTATGTACCTACAGTATACATATTTGTTGCCAGAATTTTCGTAGACATAATGTAGCACAACAATACAGTATGCAACAATAAAGAATCATTGGAATTAATGTGCTTTTCTTTATACTTACACCTGCGAACTTCTTATCCTTACTGTACATAATACACGTTGAGGATGCATGAGAAGCCTCTTGATATGTACTATCATAGGTCAATGATACCTGAAATGACAGAATATATCGTGCAAGAGAATTCCAACGAAGTGTTGTAGCTATTGTGATACAAAGATCAACGGTCAAGTATTTGTAGTTGGTAATAAAACGCTGTATAGGTGTGTACTTTCTTTATTTGAAGACAAAAATGTTATTTGAGCATAAAGATCAAATATCTACATACGGCTGACACCATAGATGTTTCCACCCTCAACCTTATTGCTGTAACAAGCACTTAAGCAATAACCAATAATGGTACGAGTCTCTCTCGGATCAATAATACCATCATCCAAAAGTCGAGCAGAGGTATAGTAGACATCCGACTCAGCATCGACCGAAGCTTGGAACAACTGCTTGCGCTGTTCTGCAAGTTCTTCATCAATCTTGATGCCAGCACTATGTGCAGATGATATACAAATGTTAGCCAAGGGTAAATGATACTGAGGAAACTATCCACTTACCGCTTAGCGCCCTGTCGCATGACGATATCCAAAACGCCTGCAAGCTGCTCTGAGCCCATTACGGAGCACTTGGAATTGGGCCAAGAGAACAAGAATCTTAATTGTCCAAGCATTATGTTGTACGTTAATAAAATTTGCGCTCTCTTTCTATTTTTTTATCTCCTTCGCGTCTATATCCTTTTAAAATTGTCCAATTACCTAGGTTCATAAGCACGACCACTCATGGCATAGTTACCAGCACCGTAACTGGCACCCATGACAATGGTAATTGCAGGCACTTCGGAGTTACTGACAGCATTAATGAAGCGAGATCCAGCCTTGATGATACCTTCCTCTTCATACTGTTTGCCAACCATAAAGCCAGTAATATTCTGAAGGTAGATCAATGGGGTATTCCTATTCAGTATTTATTGTATATTTGTTAGTTTCTAATCCTGGCAAAAAAATAATTGAAGAGCAAAAAAAAGAAGGGTTGGTTTGTACTTGATGTTGCACAGCTGGATAAACTGTGTCGCCTTGTTGGCTTCTTGAGTGAAAATGACATTGTTGTTTGCGATGATGCCTACCGGGATTCCTTGGATAAAACCCCATCCACAAACTAGATTTCCGCCATAATTCGGCTTGAAAACAGTGAGACGTGAACCGTCAACTAAGCGAATAATGACTTCTGTGGCGTCGAAGGGTAGGCGGATATTGGCTGAGACAATGCCCAAGAGCTCCTCTGTAAGATAGAAAAGATGGTTAATAGATGTATTGCTGATCTCATTTTGAGCTTTAATAATATAGAAAAGGCTTTGCACCTGGATTGTAGTAAGGCTCTTCATATTGGCCCTTCAGATGACGGAGAGGCAATTGACCCTTCGACTCCCAGTTTAAGTTGGCCATCCATTCTCGTGCTTTGCGGATAGCATCATACTCGTCGTTTGCCAGCTGGTCACTTACACCAGAAACACGCGAGTGCATATCGGCACCACCTAGCGATTCTGCATCTGTCACTTCACCAGTCGCCATCTGGACCAAGGGAGGACCACCAAGGAATACCTGGGCTTGTTTCTGTGATTACATCCAACATGTAACGTTTAAGTTATCGGCTCGTTAAGCAAAATTCAAAGCTACGTTCGTTTTCATCGTACCTTTACAAATATCGTATAATCGGACATGCCAGGCTGGTAAGCACCTCCTGCGGTCGAGCTACCAAAAACTACACAGCATGATGGGATCTGTGCCTTGGATCTATTGAGCAGGTTAGCATATCAGTGGAAAATTTATTGAAGAACCTAGCAAAAACTGCTACTCACTGTAATGCCTGATTACGGAATCCAGCACCACCTCTATGGAACACACGGAATTGTTGTTGCAAGTTGGCACCGGCCTAAATTTTGTTGTTTGCATGAATTGCGTAGTTCATTCACTTCTTTCTGCTCTTGTATAGTCGAAACATACCGATTGCGTCAGTGTAATAGTAGGCAGTCTATTTTGCATGGCAATCTGATGGATACGGCCTGATTTTAAAACAGATGCTTCGTTCATGGCACCGCCAAATAATGTAGGCACCGTGGCCGATACAACACACAATACGCCGCTAGTAAAGGGATTGTGTCAGATTGTGATTTCCTAAGCTTTCATTTAATCATTCGTTCGTGTTACCTCACAAGGCCGATACCAGCGACAATGGATCCACCTTGATTTTTGTAAAAAACCGATTAGCGAAAAATGCCTGAGCTTATCTATGCCTCCCTTGTTCCTTCTTTTCTTTCGTCATTACCGGTTGTCATATCTTCTTGGTTATAGCCTGCCAATGCACACAACTCAAGGAAAGGAGAGTCTTCATCCAAAAGTAATTGGATACGCTCACGAGCTAAAATAAAAAAAAATGTTTGAGTGGGGTTTTGCATATGCGCGATTAAAAAGTCCGCGGCATTATGTGTGCAGTACCAGGCAACTGGCCACGCTTGCGATGAAGTGCAATGTGCTTTGATTTGCCTTCATTCGTGGCTTCTTCAAGACGTTCATAGAGTTCGCTGATCAGGCCTTGCCATTCTTCCATGTTATTTTTGTACTCGGGGCTGCTAGTGACAACGGCTGTTTGTTGCCGAGCAACAAGGTTATCCACTGCAGTCATTGTCGACATTGTGAGTTTGTAGATTAGTGGACAAAAAAAAAGAGAAAAAAAAGTGGGGTAAAGGAAAGAGAAGAAGTAAAGAGAAAATGTGGAGAAGGGTATTACACTATGTTATAACTAGAATTGTCTTTTCTCACATGGATCCGTTAGACGGCTTTGGAAATAAAAAAGTCAAATTCTCACAGGACAAACCATTAGTCAAAATTTCACGAGCGCCTCTCTTTTTGGTTGGGGACAAAGGGGAACTACACGACTCAAGTTGGCAGCGAGCTATCGAATTATGCCACCTGTCACAGCTGAGGTATCCGATGCCACCTTTCACAACCCAGTTCCTGTTTAGTTACTGAAGCACCTGTCGGCTCTGCAATCGCAGATTGTTTATTCTTCCTCCAGGAGTCAAACATAAGAAATAAAAAATTTTGTAAATGACAAGGGTTTACTTGAAAGCTTTTTAAGAAAAACCCCCCTCAGTTGTTCTATGTGAATGTCTTATTCCCTTCCATGAACAATAGTCGGCAAGATCGTGCCAATGGCAACAACAACGACGACAACAGAAATCATGGTAACACCGTTAATAGCACCCTGTTCGCCTTACGACGACGGTTATCAGCGCTACCGGATCGTCGAGAGAGTGCACCAGAAGTGTTCGTGACAACAACAAGCGGAACCACGCGACATCCTGCAAGTCCAGAATCCACAGACGTCGAAGGCAGTCCTCCTTCGTCGCCGAACAAGCTCGATGATATTGACGGTGTCGACCAAGAAAAAAGTAAGAAGATGTATACTTCGAGCAGCTGCAGTATCAACAGCAATTGTCCTAGCACTGGTATGACCAAACATCGTAAAACTCTTAAACCAGGGGAAGCAGACCATCGGAGGCCATCCGAAGCTGCAACTCTTGTCGATGAGGCATTGGGTCGTCGAGAAGCTAGAGGACGTCATATACAGTTCGCCGACCATATCACTGAGTCCATGACATTGATCCATGGCATCCTTAATGGTCGACGAAGATCATCAGTATGGCCAAGAGAACCATCCCAGACGGAAGATGCGTACGGCAGAGAAGAAAGACGTGGAAGCGCTCTAGGAAGCATATTCAGCGAGCGTATAGATCAGGAGCATTGTGCTAGCGGTGGCAGCGTGCTTGGAAGTTTGCTTAGGTTAGAAGCGCAACTTCAGTCGGCCCAAACTCGTCTAGAACCACGAGCCCGTAAAGATTCGCATCATCACAGAGAAGATCGAAGAAGGGTAATCGCCTATTATACACAATTTTGTACATCATGTTGCTGAAAGATTTATTTTGATATGTAACCACTTACTTTATAGTCTTCAACGCAAACACGATACTCCAGCCCACCATCACCCGGTCCAGAGCGGGTAAGAAAGCACCGCGCTAATGTTGCGCTTCCGTTGAAGAGCTACCTTTAAATTAATGAATGCATGTTATTGACTAGCGAGGGACAACCACAGCACCACCCAGCATCAAAAGCGAACATTCATTTTATCGACATGATAATGCATCAGCTCCTATTTTCAACCATCCATCACCAGCGGCATCCGATACATCGCTGGAAGCTTTGAGAAAGCGCCCTCGTGCTTGGCTCACCAATGTAACCTCAAGTAGCCATCTCGTTCCGAGTTTGCAGACCCGGAAACGCGAAATATCGTCAAGGAAAAGGGAGCAAGATAGCCTATTTACCACATCATCGCAATTTGAGCCTATCTCCGTTGAAGACCGCGTACGGATTGCCTTTGAAATTGCCAACATTCTGCAGCGTCAACAATTTTTGCGTAAACTCACGAAAGCCTTGATGCTTTATGGTAGCTACAGGAATCATATTAATATCTCGCTTTAAAGATTATGTTACTAACGCAAGGGTAACAGGTTGTCCTGCACACAGACTCGAGTATATTCTTAAGCACGTATCAGATACATTGAAGGTCGATGCAGAATTTGTCTATCTGCCCAATATTATGCTTATGACATTTTTTGACCCCGAGACACACACGACGGAAACACATTTCATACGTCAGTCGTTGGTTTTCGATATGCACAAGCTGGGCGAGATCTATCGGCTGGAAAAACTTGTAGGCCATGGCGAAGTGACTGTCGACGAAGCTCTTGAATTTATCGATCGGGTCGCCGATGAACCGCAGTTCTATCCGTCGTGGCTCAATCCCTTTATATATGCGATTATCAGCGTTTGTGGTAGCGTTATGTTTTTCGGTGGTCGTTGGAAGGAAGCTGGGTTGTCAGCTGGCCTGGCAAGTAAGTTTCCCTAAGAAGAACACGAGTAGAGTTTTCGAACATGTAGGCTTATACGAATGTGCAAGTGTTTTTCGCTCTGTATGAATTATTCAGCGAAAGGTTTTGGGGTTTCCGACCTATTTGGGAAGTTACAGTGTGTATCGTCATTGGATTTGTCTCTCGAGGTAAGAAAGCAAAAACGTTTCTTTCGTGTGTAATACTATCATATCATTGATAATAACAATTATCACTGACAATAATGACAGCGTCCACAAAGTTCGGCTTTTGTTTTATACCCACCGCATTCTCATCTTTCATCGTCATTTTACCCGGTTATTACATGGCTATTGCAGTAATTGAGCTGATTTCAAGGCAGATGGTCAGCGGTATCGTCCGTACCGGCTACGCAATAATTTTTTCGTTTTTACTTGGCTACGGTGTTTCCATGGGTTCTGCCTTGTACAGAGCCATCGATCCAAACACACCAACAGATACTGCTCCCGACTGTCAATTGGCTGCCAATGCAAACACGTGCATAGTTTCTGAATCGCAATATTATCACTTTCTAACAGTCCCCGTCTTTTCCATGGCATACTGCCTACTTTTACGTGCCCGCTTACCCCGATGGCCGACAGTCATATTTGTATCGGTCTGTGGATTTGCTGTTAACTGGCTACTTTCGTGTATCGCGAGCGCGCCATCTCAAGTGATCCAGGTCGTACCGGCTTTTGCAGTAGGCTTGATTGGGAATATTTTAACCAAGATTACTTCCAAAATGTCGTTTGATGCAGTTTTGGTTGCAGTACGTAAATTTTTGTAAGCTTACAGAATTCATACTGGGTTACTTTACCAACTGCGTTTATTTTTGCTAGGTCTTCTACCTTGTCCCTGGAAGTTTAGGTAATGAGCTTTTGTTTCTTTGTCTCTTTAGCTTGATATCTGACATTGTATGATGCTTGTAGGCCTCAAAGCAGCGATCGGAATCTTCTCAGGACAAGAGAGTGCTTATGGATCACAAGGGGCATCATTCGCACTAAGCATGATTGAAACATGTATTGGTATAGCAGTAGGATTGGGAATTGCGAATCTTATTGTTTATCCAAAGGGAGCTCAAAGAACTCCTCTTCTTAATATGTAATCGGATCAATAAATTGTCGCGCTTATTTGTGTTTAAAGCTTAAAGCAACAAGCTACAAGTACATATACTTCATGGAAATAAATGATGTATTAAATGTGTGATACGTATTTACATGATGATGTTTGATGAACTCTTTCGGAATGCTATGAAAATCATTAGGGATGCTTTACTACTTTTATATCTGTTGCAAGTAGTCTTGATTGACGAGACCGCCATAGTAAACTGTTAATGCCTTCAGATTCCCTCGTAGATAGTTTTGCTCAATCTCGCACACCCCGTTTGGTCCAGCCAATCGGGCCAATTGTTGTGGATCTGTGTTACGGGGAACAAAGTAAGCAACATGTGGTGATATCTTCGATGAGATCGAATAAATTTCGGCACTAAAGTAATGGAAAAGAAACATATTTTTTAGGTTAGAAAAAGATCGATCTGTCTTTATTTGCTTTTTTCTTACTTACCCATTGCCAGGAATCATGGTTGTAATGTCAAACACACTCGATTGTTGATATGACGGACCGCCCCAAGGTGGCGATAAAAAGACAGTATCGGCCTAGTAATAATGTATGAGTTTACAACCCCACTATCATAACAGGCAAAGAGTAAAACTTCAATCGTACCTTCAATTCGGGTGCTAGTTTAAAGAAATCACCTTGAATAAACTCGATCCGGTCCTCGACCCCGTATATCCGTGCGTTCTGTCTTGCACAGTGCAACTTTATTGGATCAATATCGATCGCAATTACTATACATAGCGCAAACGTCAGTACGTAGTTCCTTTTTGACCAACCATATCTAAATTCCTAGTCTTTTATATTGCAAACATACCTCGCTTGCAGGTGAAAGCAAATTGAATTGCATTTCCACCACATCCAGTAAATGCGTCAACAATGGTATCACAGCGGCATCGTTCAGCAATGTGTTGTGCTATTCTTTCTGGTGTAACCGAGAACCAACCCTCTATAATGAAGGTTTTCAACACTCTCACTGTAGACCGTACTTCGCATCATCTCCCCTGAAATATAATGCTCAATAATTTACCTCGATCCATTAAAATGCCTTGGTCATATCTTGAGAAATATGCATAACGTTGGTTATAATATCTAATATGACGAAAGTGACATTAGAATCCATCCTTCTTTTTGGAATTGTAAAAAACTCAAACAAAACTTACTTGACCAGATCATCCGGTAAATTGTCCACCGTGTATCGAACGACAGCATCATTGAAAGATTCCGATTGATCTACTGGAGCCTGCGCTGCATTGTTCTTTTTTCTACGTGCTCGTTTGTTTTTCCGTGGCGATGGATTATCATATCCTGCATAAGCATCGAGCCCAGGTGTTTTGCGTTTCGTTGTCATGGCATTCTTTTTACTGTTGACAATTTCATCATTTGCTGTCGTAGTAATGTTTTCGCTAGCCTGTTGTTTGTGTTCAATGTTGTCTGTAGTTGTGAATTCTGTTTGAATAATTTCAAGCTTCTCACTATCGCTACCGTCGGCCTTGTCTTTGGAAGTGCTCAACTCGTTGTTTCCTTTGGTAATTTCTGTGGTTGTAGTAGGATCTTGTTGCGAGCTATCAACAGCAGCCTCTGAGTTTTGAATGTCAAGGTCAATGGCTGCTTCTTTCAATGTTTTACTGATTGGCACTGACGACACTATAGAACCGCACACGATTGTTGTCGCAGGTGCAGTGCTAGGTATTTCGTCAAGGTTATTAATAGCTGATGTATCGTCAATTACGGATCTGTCTACGGTCATCGATTGCGTTATCCGAGTAGTGGCTACATCCTTGTCGATTGTTACTTCTCCTTTTAGTTTTTCGTTGGACAATGGTGTATCAAGAAATTCTGTTCTTTCTGTCAGCGATGACGGCGTATCGGCATTACTGTCAGAGAAACTTTTGAAATCTTCTGTATCCGTTGACTCGCTTGACATGGAAGCAACAGATCGATTAAAAGTAGAAGTTTGTTTGATATCAAAGTTTTGAGGTATTTTTTGTAGGTCCGTCCCACACTGCCTTGACAACATTGGATTAAAAAGCGTTTCTTGTTATAGTAGACATATGCGATCAAGGAGTTTAATCAAGTAGATTTATAATTTACAATTTTCTAAGGTCTGTAAACAAGTACAAGCGATACATACTGCAAGAAGCAGTTGCTTTTTTCTTTTACTAAATACACTCGCAATTTTTTTTACAACTACTGGTCGACATACACATCATTGGAGACCAACAAAAGATTATTGATAGACAGGTTTTGAATGGATTTACAGCATATACTCATATAGCCATTCCCTTGTGCCTCGCTATAACATGTTTCTACGACCGGATCGAGCATGATGATATCCGGATCATCCACTAACCGTCGTCGTTTTGGGCTACTGCTTCTATCACTATTACTCCTGTTGCTGCTGCCCTCGGTGCTACTACCATTACTGTTGTTTCTGTGGTGCATGTGATATCGAGGGAAACCGCTTGTATGCTTGATCCGTTTGTAGAGGTCATGAACACGCGTTTCGCTGAGTTGGATAAACTTATTTCTCCAAAATGCGTTTCGTGATGCAGGCATACCCACAATGTTGTCGTCAAAAATTTGCTCAGCCGTTAATAAGGGATCGTCGTTTTCAACGTTGTATTCGTGATGGCGTACTGAATTCAAACCATTGAACCGATATCTAGTGGTTGTAAGAAACCACTTTGTAAAGAAATTGAGCCCGTCCACAGTAAAGTACTCGTCAGGAGCACCCTGCTGAGTAGATCGATCGGCCGCGAGCGATCGCACGGTAGCGACTTTGATATGATCTAGATCGAATAGCAGTTCACGATTCCATTCAAGCGGTACTCCGTGGACAGTCTTGGGATTAAAGATCTGTAAGGTCTTGAGCCGATGATACGGCATATGAATCTTGAAACGGCTTATCCCGTGGCCAAGCTCGTCGTAATACAGACATGTGTACAAGCCAAGATGTTGTATCGCCGGACACTTGTATGCAAAAAAACTGATGCAGCTTTCAGATAAGCTTGAGTCGACAAGTCTGAGGATCTCCAAGGGAAATCGGTTTTTCCCTCCTCCTCCTCCGTCCTCTTTTGTGGTATAATCCAAGTTGCAGTAGGCACGTCGATGCGTTCGGACCACAAATTGGGATAAAGTCAGTTGCTTCAGGTTGGGACAACGTGCCAGCAGGTCGTCCACCATGACGGTCACCTTGGATAATGGTTCATCGAGCTCCAAACTACCCAACTTTTCGGTGCGCATGACCTTCAAGCTGGTCAGGTTGCGGAGCATACTAAGCGCAGGTAAGCAGGCCGATGCAGTGAGTGTAATCGGTATGCAGAGATTGAGCTTTTCGATGTTGCGAAGTCGACAAAACAAGTCAGCTAGACTGGAGGGGTCCATGTTGCCGATGGTGTAACCTTCGCTGATAAAATTGACACATTTAAGAGGTGCTATCGTCGTCGCATTGTAATTGTTGCTGTTGTAGTTTGATAATGATGATGCAGCCATGTTTTTGTTGAAAATAAGTGGTAAATGATTTATTTGTGCAGGCAGATTGACAAGCTTGATTGATTCGAGTTTAGTACAGCCTTCTGTAAACATGGCGTAGCCGTGAAGAACGTCTTCGTCTAACGACTGCTGCATGCGAGAAGGGATACTTTGGTATTCCAGGCACATCTGTCGGAGGTTGGGATATCGTGAACCAAAATAGTAGAACCAGGCATGAAATGTTTCCGGCGATGCTTCTCGTCGCGAACAGCGGATAGAGAGTTTTTCTAGGGAAGATGCAGGCTGCTGTACGTCGGCGCTGTTGTTATTGTTTTTGTTGTTACTGATGATATCATTATTATTATTATTACTTGTGAAATGCTGATGCTGAATGTTGACGCTGTTGCTTATTGTAAAATTGGTGGTAATGTGGAGTTCGGATAGGTTTGGGCAACTGGTGTGTATAGTATCCAGATGCTCCGCCAACAATTGCGGCAGCACACCAATGAGGGTCAATTGTCGCAGGTTTTCACCTCCAACCAGATAGTATTTAAGGTCGTGTGCTGAGCAACGAATATGTCTAGCAACGGCCGCTTGACGCCGGGGCTCCAGCGACAGATGCTTGATACTAGCCATTACATTTAAGAACGGGAACGGTGTACTAAAAAACCGACGACCCGCACCAGAAAGCTTCATGCTATCGACTCGTTCGTTATGTGCAGCAGTGTACGCCCAGCGAAATGTCAGCGCTCGAATGTTAGGACAGAGATTGTTGAGTATGACAATGTCCTTGAGACATGCCGCGCCGTCGTCGATTTTTAAATTGCGTACGACGTGACCCAAGGGATCAAGCGCTTCTTCTTTTGCAGAACGACAACACGCACGTAGCATTTGGGTAACTGACGATCGATTGGTGAGATCAACCGTGCGTCGATAATAACGACGAAACACTTGTTTCCATTCTTTGGACACAAGAATGCAGGCAAAGAAGTCGGCCAAAGTCAAATGAAAGATAATTTGGTCCAGGAGCTCAACTGGGAGTCTACTTATGTTTGTGGTTGTCATTGAGTTGTTGAGGTAAAAAAAAGCTGAATGAGCTTTCTGAGGAAAAAGAAAAAAAGAAGGAAAAGAGGCAGAAGCTCCTTCTATATCAAGTCCATGTGTGTATTATTTATATAATTACCTGCAGGAGTGGCAGTAGTAGTAATAGTAGTAGTGGTAATACTCTGCTGTCGCATTGAGCGAAACCGAAGGGTTCCCCCCCAATTTGGGGGTGTTTCTGGTTTTGTCGCCACCTTTTTCCGAACCATGCCGGGCGTCTGGAGACCAGCTCAGCGCGGCGCATGGCGCGTATAGCGGAGAGTAAGAGGGCGCCGCTGCCGTGTTGTTGATTTTACATCTATGAATTGATAGCCTATAACAGCAGCATATAGCGAAGTATATGAAGAGAGAATACATATCGCTGTCAAATACCAACGATATGTTGCCTCAAGGAAGACACCACGGGCACACTTTTAGCACGCCAAAAGGAGGAAGGAGAAGCACATGACAACAGGACATCGTCGTCGGCCCTTATTAAATCAAACCGCTAGCTTGCACTCTACTCCTTGAGCCTTCTGGCTGTTTCCCTTGTGGCTTTTCCTATCCTACCCTTAACCTTCGGAAGAAATTGTTATCGCTGTTGTTATAGTGCGTACAAGTACTGGTCTGGTAATGGTTTGTCCAGTGGTATCAAAAGCTGATAGTCAGTAATAAATTCCCATGCAAACTTTAGACGGAGGGTAAATGCGACAATAGGTTTTCGGTGATGGCACTTCCAACATCCGATGCCATATATCTTACCGCTTAATGATATATTAATTTTCCAAGTGCCAAATGGCTTCGCTATAAAGTACTTACAGTACTTTGGTGTTTGCTGTGCTTTCTGTATACTATCACGATGCATGTGTGATCCTCAAAATCAATTTGTATTGTCAACATTGTGATAGTACTGCTATTACCATCCCAGTCAATGGATATTAGCTTTAAAAAAAGCTAACTACAACATCCCTTATCTTTCACCATAATCATTGTTTAGTTCTTGTTCTAAGAGCTATATGATAAGAAGTATTGTGAGCTTCTTAATGTCATAAAGAGGCAGTCCCATTTGCACAACTATTCGTAAATAGACATATAGAAAAAGTACCGTGAACGTTAGCAGCTACTTTTCTTTGCTACCGTAGTAAACATGCTTGTTGTCAGGATATAGAAGAAAATGACACACATTTAAATAGAGATTGAGTATCATTACATAACATTTATACATCTTCTATGTATACTAATTGAGATCAGGGGCTGCGTCTCTTATACACTCCTGCATGATAATGATGCTTGCTAAATCAAAGAACAATACATTCAATAGCTTTTTTTTACAGACAGTAAGTCCATGCCCGAATTAAGTGCTAATGATCTTCAGGGGCTACTGTTGTGATACAGCTAAGCTGTTTAATGTGATATGTGATCGTCATTGTTATATTATATTGACATAAGTACACCTTAGTTTCTTCGGTGAAGTAGTAATGAATATGTAGTTACTTTATTATTGATGCTGTGAGATGGTTTTTCTTATGCTTCAGGAGCTACACGATTGCCTGCTTTTTAAACAATGATGTAACGGCAAATCATTCTTCCTCTAATGGACTGATACGGCAGCAGGCTCCTGCTGTCGCTCCGCTGACTCCAATACTTGTTTTATTGTTAGGGATGGTCCTCTACCGGGAGGTAGCTGAATGATTTCGGGAAGTTTTTTTTCGTCTAGAGTCTTGGTCTCTTCATATATAACTGTATTGCTGACTTGTTGTTTCTCCTTCTTAGGTAACAAGGGTTTTGGAACTACATCTTTCTTTGATTCATCAACAAGCAGTTGCTCCAAGAACTGGTACACTTGCGGCTTCTTCTGCTTCCAGGTACTCTCATCCTTCTTCATGCTGATGAGATAGTTTGCTTTATCCAATGGTTGGACGTATCTGATAAAATCATAGCACCCATGTTAAGAAAATGATGCAAGGAAATTTAGTATTTTTTTTTGGCAGCAGTAATAGTAGCAGAGTAGTGCTACTGTAAGTGATGTACGTGCAAAAGGTAATAGCAATACCTGATAAAGTCTCTAATACGAGCCTTTCCTGGAAAATCAACACCACTGAACGCTTCTCGAGACAGTTTACCGATTCGCCACATCACCATGTACCGCTGGTAGAAGAACGATATGGCACGTCTGGCACCATCCAACTTGTCTGCTTTCTCATGTTCCGCTGTCGGAACTTCAACGCGCCGCAGTTCGTTCTTTAGTCTAGCCCACTCGTTAGCTCGTTCCTGAAGAGCCTTTTCGTCGTTGCGGGGGATGCCATCGTACCAAGTATACATTGCAGTGAGATAGCCCTTCATTTCTTCCGAAGCAAATTCCGAGACAAGTTGCATGACCATTTTAGCAATCTCCATTCGACTCTCCTCGGACAAGGTCTTTTCCACTGGTGGTAAATCAGTTCCAACGTTTTCAAAGGGGAAGCTATGCTTGCGGATCAACCCAATGTAGCCAAACACCGTGATCGAGCTGCCACCACTCGAGCAAAGAAGCTTGCGAACATATTGCAGTTCATTTGGCTCCATGTCCCCATACAGCAAAGTGTAAGCTTCGCTGAATCTTTCCCAGGGAGTCACGATATCTTTGCCGATGTATTTGATCCAGAAATTGAAACCTTCCTTGGGCATATCCTGCTCGAACCTGTTCACGGTCACTATACCAGCACCGGCTGCGAGGTTGCGCGTTGTGATAAGGTCATTCATCAATTTGCGGATGCCCTCATTCTCCCCTTTGAAATAGGCTCGGTATTCCTGCGCAGTGTACGTTCTCTTGACAAACCATTGGATCTTTTGTAAAATTGTTTTGTTTTGCTGAGCGTTTTGGGTGAGATACTGGTTGATTTTCTTTTCTGCCAGGTAGAGCGTGCGGACAATCTCTTTGAGGATGGCCTGTTGTCCTTGGTGTCGTGTTCGATCGCTCATACCACCAGTGATGTACTTGTGAAGGTACGAGTTAAAGTCGGGATCTTCGGTCAAAATAGGATTGAGGATATCGTAGACGTGTCTGCATTCTCGTTCAAAACCGACAGCCTCGGGTATCACTTGCTTATAATCATCGGCCGTCTTCTCAAGAAAGTCGACCACGGTTTTTATAAAGGTAATCGTATCGTTGGTTACCCATTTGGATGCCATAGTAATAATGTGTTAATTTGAAGGGAAGGAAGTGGGATATTGGAGAGATTCAAAGGGTATAGTTGCAAAGGGGGATATTTAGCCAGGATAAGGTAGCTTGTACACAGCTGATGATAGAAAGGAAAAAGGAACGGAGAAGAAGGCACTGAACAACACAAAAAAAGCAGTTTAATATATTCTTTATTTTGCGTAACCCTGTGGGCTTAGTATATGTGGCGCCTTTGTCTACTTCCATTAAAAGCAAGTACTCCTTTTTGGATCTACAGAGCATCGCGCTTCGTTTCCATTCATGTAAAAGAAGGTCCTGCCCAAAAGGCTGTGCTCCTTATTTGAATCTGCTAGCAATGATTGTAGACTCGATATATTATCATGCTATACCCTTCAAGTGTACCACTAATAAGCACTTTTGCTGTCAGTATATCATACGTTATTTACTTTTTTGTCTTTCGAAAAACAGAGGTTTAAAGGGTACCAGGATGGTGCCTGGGATCGAAGCTGAGTGCATCTTCATGTGTAACGAAGGAAATGTATCATTTAAGTATCCACTCACCCATCGCATGCACCTCAAACCTTTTCTCTCACAACGACGATTGGCTAAATTATTATATGCATACGTATTAGAGACGTTCTACAAATGAAACGCTACTGTGGCCACCAATATAAAGAGCTTGTTGAATATTTAGATACTGTGGTGTCTACTCGACTCCGTCACATATCAAGCAATGCTGCTTCTTTTCGCTATCTGCTACAGTCAACCCCCGTTAACGTCAACCTTCAAGGTATGATACCAGCAAAAGTGTTGACCATATCGAGGGTTGACGACCACCGGGGGTAGAGAATAGGCAAAATCTTTAACTGCTAAATTTGAAAGGATACCAGCGAATCTGTTGACGCTATCGGGGTTGACGTTAACGGGGGTTGACTGTAAAGGAAGCTGAATTATTCATGGCTTAATACATTATTGCTCATAACGATTATACATGCTAGGTAGGTTTCCAAACTCTAGCTCCCTACTCTGCTGTCAAGCAACAGGTTTTTTCGCCATAGTGAGTGTATTGTTATTATGACCGTTTGTCTTTTCGTCAGCAGACACATCGGTTATTAAGAAGTATAAAAGTTTATAGACATTCAGCTTGCGATGGTACCACTGTCCGGGCTCTGACTTGATGATAGTTTGCAAAGTTTACACGCTAAACGAGACGCAAAAAGTTTTGAATACAGGACCGATTAGGAAAGTGCACGTCCTTCAAACTCTTCCTTGAAATCTGTTCGTTACACCAAATCATCATATAACGATGGTATAAAAAAATATGGATCGACTGGCCAATTCAACACGGTCGGCTTGCTTATGAACGTTAGATTTTTGCTCATCCTCGATTCTTAAACAAAGTAGCCCATTCGTTTGCACGTGCATTAATACTGTCCTGGTCTTTCCGGTTAACGGTGGCATACCATTTGGATATGGATGAAGACAAGGCACAAGAGTTGAATGAGGGGATAATTGGTACACGAGACGATGCGAGACAAGTACCATCGCCTCATACCTGCTATTGAAAAAGATCTCACCATGCTGAGAGATGAATGTGGTGTAGAAAGTAATTGCTTTCTTTGCACCAAGCAATACGGACGGCGTCATCGAGCCTTATAGGGATGGCTATGGCTCTGGTAAATACAACTTGTTATAGATGTGTGAAGAAAACTTAAATTTAATTGAAACATTTGCTTGGCGGAGGCCATTTTTATAAGCTGATGCAACATGGCCAAGTCGAAGCTGTTGCAGCAGTATGTAAGAGCAAGTAATATCTATATTTTTTTTATATAAACGCCTTAACAGATTACTAAAGAGTATAAATAGCCACAAGGATGACATTGTTATCTATAGAGTGATGAGTTGACAGTAAATTTCGCATTAGCAGTCGCTAGATCAATTTATCTCAATTAGAGGGATTTTCTATTCTAACATTTTCTCTCTTGCTTCCCCGTGTATTTCGTTTGTCTACATACTTTATATTATAAACCGTCTATCAGTAGTATTGGTGCGTATTATATCTGCTGTCTCGGACCCAATTCTTCCACTGACACAATAAAACAGACGGTTATTTTAGGACAATTTAAAGCTACACACATCAAGAGGTGCACTTGACGAACCTTCTCAAAAATCACAGAGTATCCATAAAATTTGAACTCGACCAACAAACGCTGACGCTAGACGAAAAAATTGGTTCTCGACAAACTCTAAGCATGCACATCCACAAAAGATATAACAGACTTACTTGTTGACATTGTTGAAACGGTAAAACAGACCTTCGGACAGCGTTGTTTGCTTGGGACAATCATTCAAATGTAAGTATTTTTGGCCGCAATTGCTTCATCGAACGAAACAAACTAATGCACGGCTGCTACGTTATACTTGGGCGAAATTTATGGACATCCAAGGTTTTGAACTCTTCCGAACATGGAGAAGACTAGTACAGGATAAAGGTGTTGTCAATGGTTTGGGACGCTGCATTTTTGTACGAAAAGGAGTACACGGATAAGAGGTAAGTCTTTTCACTGTATCCAAAGCTAAACAGTCAGTAGCTAATTTACGATAATAGATCAGAGTACAAGCCATTGCACCAGATAGACAGAGTCGATTTCATCTACCGTACTGGCGAATATAATCTATTGTTTGGAGAATATAAGGCCGACGAAGACTTTTCCAAAACGTCTTATAAGCGAAACGTTGAAATGCGAAAAACTTCGATATAGTGTCCTTAGTTCGTGGAGTAGCAGGGTTATTAGTATACAACAAGTTGTTATCTGTCACCCGTTTTAATATAGCGTTGTTCGATCAGTATATGTCTCTGTTTGTGTAGTACAGTAGTTGCACAAGATGCATCATACGCCCTCATGAGAGTCGTATAAAAAGGAGAAGCTCCCATGGCCCTCATTTTTACGGGGTTTGGTGTTCGATTCAACTGAAAGGTGCGTGTTGTTTTATAATAAAAAAGGTTGTTCTTTTTCGTCTAGAAAACTTTGTGGCTGATGTAAGAAGCCCTACTAGATACGATGTCGAAATCAATGGATGCCGCCTCCTTCCTTCAAGAAGCTTTCCAATTTGTGGTAAACACAGTCGATGACTGGAAGAGCGAAATACCTGAAACACTTGCATTCCAACGTGAGATCGGCCACGTTCAAGAAATTATTGGCCCCGTTGCCACCGACGATAAAAACGATCTCCACAACTGCTTGTCAACTTTTATCAACAACGGTTGCAAGAACGGAAATTCCAAGTCAACGCATGAAGCAATTCTCAAGGATATCCTGCGAGCGGTTTATAACGGAAAAAAGCGCTTGGCAAAATACTATAGCGAAAAGAGTAGTAGCGTTGCACTATTGCCTCTACCCATTTTCAAACGTAAAGTCAATGTCACAGGTTGCAGAAAAGATATTGAGGCGCAGGCCAACAGCATACTGTCGGGGCTCGACCAGCTATTCCAGCTAACTCACATTGCGTCAAAGGCCAACAGGCCCACAACCGCCAGCTTTGAAAAGGACTTGACCAAGGAATGCTACTTGTTCTGGAAACGATCCATGGGTCAAGACATTATCGGCAGCTGGGACACGTTTATCAGCGCGTACACAAAACTGTACGCCAATTTTCAGCCCCTTGATCTTGACTATACCCAGACATTGCTCTGTGCAAAAGACGGTAAGACGATGACACTATACGGCTTCATTGCCGTCACTCGGAAACACGCGTTTCCGTTTGAGAGCATGGCTTCGCATGCATCAGTCAACAGCACAGCCACGAGTGAAGAAGCGCGTGCAGAGATAGCAAAGATGGTGATACCTCTCGTTACCGAGTTCTCATCACAGGAAATGCAAGCACATCTCGTCGCTTTATACGGCTGGTACAAAGGCACCCCGCGCGACGATGCGAAAGCCCTACAGAATCGAGCAGACGAGTGGGCTCTACTTGTTAAAGCATCAAGGCAGCAGACGGACACAAAGACAGATATGCACACAGCAGCAGATGGTGTTGATGCTGCACGACGTGCAATCAACTTTTTTTACCAGCGATTCATGATGATGTGGCGTATCGGCCCCATTTCAAGAGACATGTTTGCCAGTGCTGGCTTTCCCGGAAAGCCGCGCATCAACGATTTTTTACGATACGTTCAGCCCCTGGATCGGGCAAATCTTACAGTGATTATTGGCAAACAAGATGTCGATTGGAATAGCAAGAAACCCGAAGTTTATGGCTTCTTAGAAACGCTTTTGTGAGAAAGCAAAACAAAACAAAATCAAAATCCTTATCTTGTCGTCCCCTGCCAGCGTTCCATCTTTCCATGTGGAGAATTTTCCAACGGCCACCCCTTTATTCTTAGCTATGATGGTCAAGCTCGTTTGATTTTTTTCATCCGTATAGGTTATATATATGTCATTACAACAAGTATACTATTTATGCATTCATCCGCTAGACAGTACCTCTTGCGCGCTTTTGAAAGGTCGCTTATATTGCTCTCAACTAGTGTATATATGCCAGGATTTGACCCAAAGTTCCACACAGATGTATATACACCAGATGCTGTTTGTGTAAGAAGCGAACACAGCAAAGATCGCCATTTAGCTTGAAGATTATATTTATTGGAAGGCTAGGCTAATGACGGTACGCTTGTAGCATTGTTGTCGCTTCCTTGCGGTATGAGGATCAAAAAGAATTACATAAAAAAGAGAGATGGTACGTTGATTGAAAACCCGCTTCTAGAGAGAGAAAAAGTCAAACCAGATTCAGGTGTTGAGGGAGGAAAGGTTACAGAGTAAAGATAGGGAAGGAAGAGAGAAGTGCAGATGTAGGAGGGGCGGGGGAAGAAAAGAAATGTCGATAGGTGCTTTGAGTGTAGTGAGGAATGTGGAGATGATTAAAGAAACCGCACTGGCGAGGCCTAGCACTTCTTCTGGTGTCGGTTCAATTGTGTCGTAGTCAGTGTCCACGATCGCCATCAACCGTATGGAGGAACCAGCTAAAGTTGAGCTTTGAGATACCTGAGCCAACTGCTGTCCTGGAACTTTGTATGTAGTTACTCGTGTGCCTATTCTAAGGTAGTTCAATCGTTCGAAGAACTCGATTAAAAATATGTCGCGTCGGCTGGATAGTCCATGGTAACACGGCGATACATTATGGCGCTATTAGAGCATGATGGAAGTACAAAGGAAAGAAAAATTCTTGAAACCCACTATACGAATGATTGCGATGATCATCCTACTATTTTGTAGCACAAAAAAGTGGAAAGATATATGATGTTGGGCAAATAGAACTTGAATTGTTATAGCGCTGTATAGGGAGCTGATAGATAAGCAGACGGTTCAAGGTGAGGGTGCACACTTTCATGATGGCGTGAGTTTTAATACACTAGAGTTGGAAGAATGAGAAAAGGATGGTTGTTTGATCGGCATTGCACATTCGATATCTTATTTTTTCAAGTCTAGTAATGTCAATTATAAGACAAGCCCAGCAATATGGAAAACCAGATAAAGAAATAGATTTATCCGCTGCAGTATCGGCTAATTTAAGCTTCTTACGTTTCTATTGGCTTCTTTTATGCCAAGAAGAAGGCTATTTTTACCATGGATGTCAGCAACGATCTGACGCGTATTGTTCTGGGCAAAAAAAAAGGTTAAACGGCTAAATACATATTAAGGCATTTTTGTTTTGAAAAACTGAGATGGGGGATCAGTAGGGAGAGCCGTTTCATCGTCTTTGATTGCCTGGTTATAATAAATACTGTGTCGATGCACAAGTCGCAACATGTCAGTTTCATTTTAAATATGCAATTGTGCTGTTTCCAAACTTGGTTGATATAACTGGGAAAAAGATCAATGCTGCCACGCGATGGCGAACCCAGACAAAGGTGTTATAGAATAATATGGAAAAGGCAACAACGGTACCATGCATTATTAGTAATACATACTGCAGCATGTACTGTACGTAGCAGGCAGATAATGGACGTCGGATGATGGGTGTGTATTGACCATGCTTCTGCAGAAATGTGTGATTCGATCATATCTAACAATGACACAACGACTTGATTGTATTAATGGAATATTGTTACAAAAGCAACAAACAATGACAACCCCCCCAGGAAGAACTGCAAGAATGATGCAGCATTCAGTCAAGACATAGAATTGCACTAATGCAAGGACTTTCTCTAGTTACTTTTACAATGTGGTATACCCATTTATGTACGTTTTTGTCCTGTTGTTTTATGTAGTTATCTGCTATTATATGCATGATTGAGCCTTCTTGTTGAAGACAATAGGTTGTTTTTACGCGCTATGATTGAAGTTTGGGAGGTAGTGCGAGCTAAAAATATCTTGCTTAATGTGTATACATAATAGAGTATCCAATTATACTACAGCGGTGACATAATAGCAAGCAACAGGGCAAGATTAAACGCTACTGGAACCATACATCCAGAACCGCGAGCATTGTTGTTGTTGCCGTTGTCGTCAGCATATACATAGCGTAACCCCTCACTCCTCGTACCTCGTGTTGTACTACTTGGACTTGACTACATAAGAAGTAACAGCGCGTATTGGACGGGATGTGTTTTAGGGGGTGGTAGTAGGTGTGGAGCGAGGGCGGGAGGACAGGAGAGGAACAAATGAATTGTGGTCCCCGCCACACATCACAGTTCATCAACTCCACGTGGCGATGCATTATTTTATTGTGGGAAAAAAAGTCCTCCAGATCAAGTCAAAGAAAGAGAGACAACATGCATCAATCAAGATATTCGAGGTTCGTCACTTATGATGATTCGCCCGGTTTCTCATGGTGGACCGTCTAACACACGTTCGCCATTTAAGCAAAAGATCTGTGCACATGCTCTTTATGGCAAACTCATATTTCATGGTTGTTTCATTACGACTAGAATTAATCCGGCGCACACATCCGAAACCAATTCCCAGATTGTATGTGCGCAATTCTAAAGAATGATCAAGGGAGGCTTATTAAGTCATAATGTGGTAGTGGTAGTAGTGGTAGCAGTGGTAGCATTAGGACATAATAATGACAGATCTCTTTTCTATCGGACCCTTTGCTTTGCCCTCCCCTTTTCTATAAAAAAAATAAAGATTGAGTTATATTTACAGTTTGTTACACAGAATGGCACTAGCGGTTTGGGAAAGAGAGAGTTCCCAGGCAGGCTGAAAAGGAGAGAGGGGGGGCTGCTGCAGATCATCGAATTGAAAAAAATACGGCAAAACGGCCTATCCGAAATCTGTTGCAGCATATCACTCTAGCGCGAGCAGAGTGAAACTATCATCCACAGTTGGAACGGCGATGAGGCCGATCATTGCCCCGTTCTTGCAACCACACTGTGGGCTGATGATGATGATGATGATGATGATGATTACGATGACGGTAGCAGCAATAGTAATAGTTAGTGCTTTGAGTTTAGCGGGAAGAGAGTAAAAAGCAAAGGGCTTGATGCACTATGCATGCAAAGCCTCGCACTTGCTTCCTGGCTATTCACTCTGTATAGGCTGGAGTGATGCAAACACAAAATGATAAACAAACCTATTGTTTCAAGGTAGAGAGTGCTACTCTCTCCCTGTAGAACCTCTCTGGAATATATGCTTGGGGAAACACTTTATCGACTTCCATGCCAGTCATCATCAGAGCCAGCTGAAGACAGAGCCTCCTCCTCCTCCTCCTCACATCAACCCCCTTTAGGGGTCAACGAGTGAGTGAAAGTCAGTAGACCAGCCAAAAGCAATGAGCAAACACAACCAAGAAAAAAAAAAAAGATCGGCCTGCCTGCGCATTTGTCGAAAACTCTGTCTCTCAAATGAAAGCGAAACTCCGTGTGAGTTGCCTCTCTGTGTGTGCTATTTCTCTCTCTCTCTCTCTCTCTCTCTCTCTCTCTCTCTTTCTCTTTGCTCATTTTTTCTTGCTTGATAAAGGCTCTCTTTATTGCTTCCTAATATTACCTCCTCTTTATAACAACCCACACATGTCGCAAGCTGTAGACAAGCCTACATTACCAGGCATTCAGTTTCTGCTCAATTCTCCTGAAGGTAATTTGGGTTTTACACAGTTTGATTGACTTCCATGAAAGATGTTGTCTAATCACCGCATGTGCATTGGCTACACTGCAGGCGGGGGTCGGGACAAAAAGCAAGTGTCGACATCTCAAGGAGAAGGATCGATGAATACCCGGCCGATGGGACATAGAAGCACTAGAAGTGTGAGCAGCCTTCCGTCCGACTTGCAGAAACTGTCACTGTACCCGGCTAGTACAACTACTGCACCAGCAACAACGACCACCACCATCACCTCGTCAGCAGCGCAGGACGACAGTGCTTCCGTGGTGAAACAACGCCAAGATATGATGATGATGGCGGAAAATCAGCAACAAGCGCAACAACAACAACAACAGCACCTGCCGTTTACCATGTCCTTGCAGAATTCTCAAAGCACAAAGGCGCCTAGCTGGATGCACCCAGCGGCAGCAGGCAGTCCGTCAGGCCCTGTTCTCTTGCCTCCACTGCCACATCAAATGGGCACAACAAGCAGCAGTGCTGCATCCACCACCCCTCGCCACCAGCATAGTCTTAGCCACAGCCATATCCATCACAGTAACAACAACAATAATAACAACAGCAGCAGCAATCATCATCACCATCATCATCATCATCATCTTCCTCTTCATCATCCGCATCATCATCATCGACGGCCACCAGGCGCCACCCACGGACGATCCGTGTCAGAATATACCATACAGCCACAACAGCAGCAGCAGTCATCACCACCACCACCGCTACCCACTACTACCACTACTGCAACTACTGCTACCAACACGTTGTTGCAGCCCCAACGAGCACCATTGCAGCCATTCGACAGTTTGCCCTACTTGAATCGACCGTCTGCTCCAACAACTACTGTAGCAGCAGCAGGACGTCATCACCACCATACACATCGTCGTGCTGTCTCTGCAAATACCGTCGACTTTATGTTCCGCCCACCTGTACCTTCGACTTCCTCATCCTCATCGTCCTCCACCTCATCACAACAACAACAACAGCAACAACAACAACACCAGCATCAACGTGCTCAATCAGATAGCCCGCCTGAGCAACGACTGCGATCGCCACCACCCTTTCCTCAACAACAACAACAACAACAGCAGCAGCAGCAGGATGGCATTGATGATTCGCAACAGCCGCAACTGCAACGCGATGCGAGCTCCGGACGATATCTGTGTCCATACTGCAACAAGGGATTCAGCCGACCCTCGTCCCTGCGCATCCACACATATTCGCATACGGGAGAAAAGCCTTTTGTGTGTGCTGAGGAAGGATGTGGACGACGGTTTAGTGTGCAGAGCAACATGCGTCGCCATCTAAGAGTCCATCGTTTGGGCCGGTCCTCGGTAAAGGCGGGTAGTCCTCTCAGAAAACTGTAAAATGAAATCAATGCGCTGTCTCTTTACACTGTAACTTCTTTAAAGCCCACGTTGTTCCCCCAATTCCTCACCTCTGATCAAAGACATTCCCCATGCCCCCCTCCTCCTCCTCTCCCTTCTCTCTTCTTTTGCTACTCAGAAAGAAGTCCCTCCCCCCTCCGCCCTTGTGGATCCCTTGCTCATATATCGTTTTGATGTCTTTTTCTTTTCTTTAGCGTCCTAATTAACTGTTTCCATTGTCACATATTCTTTCTTTATCCTTTTTGAGTGTACATGATAACTCCCTCTCCAGTCAGGCTCTTAATAATTGTTTCTTTTAGAGGTGGAATAAAATGACGAAAACAAATGCATGCCCCCCCCCCCTGATCTTATTCGTGTAGACGCATTGTCCGCTGTTTGGAAAAAGTATGCATTGGCCAACACATACACACATGCTAAAGTTGATGTTCCGCCCAATGAGTAAAGAGGGTCTGCCACGAGCACTTTATGCCAGATTTTTGCCACGTCTCTCTAATAAACTCTCTTTTTCCCTCCCTTCCTTTTTTTTCCCTTATCAGAAAAAGACTACTCAATGAAACAGGGCATAGTGTCAACATTTGTCCTGCTAGTGCTTCTGGTACTTGCCACTGCCGCTCCCTTTTGTAGTGCCGGATTCTGGGGTTCCGGTAGTGGTCCAACCGATGACCAACAAGAACAACAACAACAACAATCGAACCAGGAATCAGTGTCTGCAGCAGAAGCAGCACCATCTGCAAAGTTGGATTACAAATTAACTTTGAAACGACCCTATTTTTACAATGGCACTATACCATTTTGGAAGATGAGTCAAGGTAATTTTAAAAAATATCACTGATTTCGCGTCGTGGGACGTTCGTCTTCCTCTGGTTGTGGATTGGAAAGTTTGACAAAACCAAAATAAAAAAAAGTAACCAAGGATTCACTCTTTCTGATAATGTAAAATTATAAAGGAGTCATCAAGGCAGATGATTTTGTTCGTTTGGCACCCTCCATTCCTGGTGCACGCGGTTGGGTCTGGTCAGAACGTCCAAACACGCATGACGAATGGCAGGCCGAAGTAACATTTCGAGTGACAGGAAGCCATATGCATGGAGGACGCGGTTTGGCATTTTGGTATACTAAAGAAGCTATGGGTGATGGTCCTATCTTTGGTGCTGGCGACAAGTGGGACGGCCTGGGTATCTGGCTCGATTCCGCGAATCCTCGTGTACGTGTCTCCCTGGTTGTTGTCAAAACACCACCACCCTTATAACAAAAAGAAACTCACCGCCTGCTTCTTTTTTTTTTTTAACTTGTTATTTTAAAAACAATCAGACACATACACCCACGACGATGGCTCTTTTAAATGACGGATCTTTGGCTTTTTCATCAAGAACGGACCCTTCGGGCTACATTATCGGATCCTGTCAAATCAATTACCGAAACACTGGGAACGTGCCAGCACGTCTTCGTGTAACTTACACGGCAAAGACATTGACAGTTATGCTGGACCCCATGGGCGACGGCAAGGATTATCGAACCTGCATTCAAAAGACGGGCATCGCTTTGCCCAGCAATTACTACTTTGGTTTTTCGGTATGTAGTTTCTTGTCATGCGTTATGCGATCTTTGTTGTTTGTTTGTTTTTATGTACAAATCGCGTTCCTGGTCATTTGTGATGTTATTAATTGCTTGTTCTTCTTTATCCCCCCCTTTTTTTAGGCTGCTTCTCACAATCCTGCAGGTAAGAACAAATTTATTGACTTTTTCTCTCTCTTCAACGATAGCACGCTCACTAGAACACATATTTTTGAAACTGTAGATGACCATGATATAATTTCCTTTGAAACTTGGCAATTGAACCCACCTGCCAAGATGCATCGTTCAAAGCGACCGATGGAAGAGGAGATGATCAATCAAGGAGAAGAATTCAAGGAATTGAATGAAGAACAAAAACGGGTAAGTAACTGATTTCAAAGGTTTTGGGTTGGGGATTGATAAAACCAAATAGACGAGCCTTATGCTGGAAATGTGATCTACATATAGCAAATTGAAGAAGCTGAATACCAAGTGCGACGGATGCGTGAGGCAGCTGAGGGTGACGAAGTGCGCTCCGAAACTACGGCAACTCTGGTAAGAAATCTGGATTGCTAGGTGACAAATGCCGGAGGAGGGGAATTTCTCAGCAAGTAAGCATCTGACTAAATGACACATGTTTTCGTTTAGGCATCTATATTTGACACACAGCGACGCGTGCTTGAAGATATCCAGATCATGCAGATGCAAATTGAAGCTATCGGTGCACCTTCACCTGAAGATCTGCTTCTCGGCAATTATGAAAAGAAGACGACGGCATCTGGATCGTCGTCATCATCAGATGGCGACAGCAAAGAAACAATGTAAGCAAAGGCAATAGTTATGTTACCATTGGGATCAACGATGCATGTGATGTATTTATGTATTTACTAAACTAACCTACTTCGTCCCCCGCGCGCGGTTCAGTAATGCCATCAATCGACTGACTGGAGATATTCAGAAAGAGACACGTGGCATGGCATCTCAAATGGCGTCACAAATGGAACGACAAAGCCGTGACCAAGATCGCCGAATGAAAGAGCTGGAAGCCACACTTGAGCGTGTTGAAAAGACACTGAGCAATATCAGCGTAAGTTTGTTCTTTTGAGTGGGATACGTGTAAGAAGGGTGCTAAAAATTTTCTCTTGTTATATACAGAACCGCATGAATATCCAGCAAAAACGCATGAACGAAATTGGCAAAGACTCGGCCGAAACGCGGGGTACCATGTCGACTCTCTTCAAATATATCTTTTATGCGTTTGGCGTACAGGCGGTCGTTGGATTTGCAGTATACCTCTATTATAAATTACGCGTCGAACGTAATGAAAAGAAATTCTTGTAGAAAAGAAAGTAAAAAAGAAAAAGGACAAAGAGGAGATATACATTTTTATAGTTTATTATATTTGCATGTAGAAAAACAGATGTTGGGGATTGATGGCGGAGGGAAGGAAGGTTGGTTATAAAGTGTTACTGGAAAGCCAATCTTTGGATACGTCTTCCAAATGTTCGTCGAAATCAATGACTCGGTTATACGATGCTGAGCTGAACATGCCGCGTACTTTTGGATATGTTTCTTCGTACGTCAATGTGATCTTGCTATCCTTGCTGAATGCTTGTTTTATTCCTTTCCATTGTCCCTCTGAGTATGTGTATGGCTTTTGGGGAAAAAACAGAGTTAATATCTTGATTATCTCCAAAAATTGTGTGTGTGTATGTGTGTGTGTGTATCTTACCAAAATCACGCTTCCGTCCTTTATTTCATTCAATTGACCCAATTTCTCGTTATTTACCTATCAATACATAATGCAATAAACCAGGTCAGATCGAGTGCGCTCGCTTTTTCTCCACGAAAAACCCGTCTACTTACAATAAACACAACAGCTTGTCCGGAGTTGCGTCGAATAACGTCTGCAACGCGAATCACGTTCTCGTGTAAAGTCGTGTCTTTTAATCCAGCATTTGCTTGGTACCAACCAACAATCTTGAGTTTTTTCTTGGCTGCGTACAATTCGGCCTAGACACGAGCCAAAAAAAAAGTACTCGTTGTTGGCATGTTTTCGTACTGCAGGAGAGCTACGTGTATTTCCTCGTTTCCTTACGTTTTTAAGTGCCACCTCAAGCATGGGCGTCAACGATGCCCAGTGATGAAACAACGATAAACCGCTTTTCACGTCAATGTTGCCGTTGCTGCTATTGACCTCACCCAACAAGACACCACAGACAAGTGCGTCAGGGTACTTTGCAGCATGGAGAAGTGGAAGTGCGAATGCGTCAGGTCCGACTGTGATGCTCATTGGTGGTTGGAGGGGGGAGAGGGGGAGAAGTAAAAGTTGCTGGGTTGTTGCAGCAACAAAAAGTTATGTGTGGTAAAAAATCGCGCTGAGTTCCTTTTAATTTTTATTGGAACTTTATGCTTCTAGCCATTTGAATGATCCTAACAGCAAGTGTTTACGAGGAAGTCGACCTGGAGCAGGTGACAGAATTGTCATTTTCATTCGTTCTTCATCCACATCGGATCTATAATGTATATATGTACATGTATGATAAGAATTTTAGATTTCCAAAAAGGCACACGGACATGAAATACAAAAAGACTTACACGTAGATAAATCCAGCTACATTTGTTTCCAAGAGTTGGCTTTCAGGCGTCGTGTTTTCTGCGTTGAGGATCGCAAGGATGGAGTGCAAGCACATTTCATAGCTGCTGTCGACCTTGACCACCTGGGTTTCAGTAGAGATACTTTCCATACCCAACGGCAAGGCTGAAGATGGCGCCATACTTTCGCCCACACGCCACACATTGACGTCATTGAGATTGAGAATAGTTGAATAAGGCGATAAGTCACACTTGATCGTGCCATAGAAATATTCCTGGATCTTGCTTCGTTGCAATTGATTCTTGAACTGCTTGTCACGTTCGACGACGCCTCCGGACTTGGCCAGCTTAACTACTTGAATGTTGGGGTTTTCCTTGAGGATCCGAGTCATATCGCTATACAACCGTTCGTGGCCGAGCACAATGACCACATTGACTAGATCATGATTCGTGTTGCGTGAGTATCGTTGGAAAATGGAAAATTGTTGTATTTGAGAAAGGGTTACCATCAAATTCTGCAATGATATGCTGGATCAGATCATATCCGACATGATCGATCAATCCTGCTGTGTCAATGATACAGCCCGACTTTTGGCTTTCATCGTCTTCTGCAAGCCGACATTTGACGGTATGTGCCAATCGTGAGGTGACGAGTTTGAACAGGTTGACATTTTCTGCTGGGTTTTCATATCCGTAATAGTATGCCAACGGCATTGTTGATGAACCGAGTGACGCAGCAGTCGTTGCAGAGGCGCCAAATCCTTCTTCTACGTCGATAATGGTACTGATGTTGGTCGCTGATACTGTGCCTGGCATCGTAATTGATCCCTAAACAATGAATGTGATTCGATTCAAGTTTGACTACCCATCTTTGTTCCGTGATATAAAGCTCCAACTTCTCTTACCTCGGATGTATCCAAGGAGACATAGATAGGTTTCTGGCCTTGTCGAAGCGCATAGCCTGCTAGTAAGGTACATAACGACGTCTTGCCTACATCATGTGGTCCAACAACCAAAACCTAGTATCTCCCTTTCAAATTAGTTTTTCTTTTTCGTCCCTAACCCTTTCTTCTTCTTCTTCTCTACCCGAGGGCCTTGATCGTTGGTTTGTTTTGCATTTTCTCGTATCTGCTGTAGTGCCAAATGTGTATTCAAGTAACTTGTCATCGGTGTCTCGTTTGCTGTGTATTCTACTAAAAAATCGCCACTGATGTGGATCATGACGCGCTGCTAAAGTTAAGGAAAGTTGTTTTCTTCATCGGATGGAATACACAACATGATTACTAGAAAAAAAGGATATCTCTAATGTGCATCCATGCCAAGTATATACAGCAGCCTTTCGGCCAGTAAATGTATATGTGACATTTATAGCCAACTCTGTGCCAAACACTTCTGCAGTTCCTTTGAGAAGCTTTATTAAATATTTCAAAACAGAAAAAAAACTAATGTCAGCCACCCAATCCCTCAAATAACAGAATCGATTGCTCTTCTTTATTACTTTGCCTTGTGATAGAATCATAGAATTAGAAAACAGTAGTACCTTGAGTGTCACTTTTTTGTTGAACTCAACCTCGAATCGAAACTCATGTTCGCTATCGAGTTCTATTGTGCGTGGTGGTTCAGCCGATGTCTAGATCGGTGGCGTATGTAACGTTTGAGTTTTTCGTCTTCTCTCAAAAAGCAAAATGCTGTGTGGATCGTTATCTAGATTCCGCTGTTGTCCTACATTTGTCTGCATCGTGTGTCGTCGTCGTCGTTGTCAAGAATAACGATCGCGTTTGCGGTCTTGCTGGTTGAAGTAAAATTCGTCTAGACATACACAGCACTCCGCTGGTATCTTGGTCCGCATAACTTTGCCTTTAAGAAAGAAACCTATTACTGCTACACTGTAGTCCCCAATACATTGAATAGTATGTGGATAAAGCATTATTGTACATGAAACAATGGCATTTAGACATAAACGGTTTTATTATTGATGGGGTAAAACAAGGACAGATTGTGGTAATATATGATATGGTGTATGTAGTGTGTGTAAACGCTTGACGTCTAGCGATGTGGTACCCTGACTCCCTTGGTAGCTTTACAAACCACAGCTCTTCATTGCATCTTTCTGATGAAATCCAATTTCAGTTTATGTATCTTCCTCGAGAATATTGCTAGTCTTCTTGCGGCTTATTAGTCTGTTCATAGGTTGTCCTCTCCTTCCTCATTCTATGTTGGTATATTTTTATAAAACAGGCTGTCAAAGTGACCTTTTGCTACGATGATACATGCCTGTCTTGCCGTTACAGCTGCTCTGTAATTGATACAAGATCCCTGACAAGCTTACGCACCTTACCAGATATACTGTATATTACTATTATTGAATTCTGGATAAGGCACTTCAATGCTAAATGATGACACTATTACCGGACACGGACTTTACTTTGTTTAATCCATGGCATTTCAGCTTTTGTTAACGGACTTCTCTTTCCGCCAACAGCATATTCATTTAACCAAAGGCATTTTTAGTTTTGCTAGCAGCATTCTTATTTTGCTAGCCATCCATGCTCAAACAGGGAAAAGCTAAACCCGTCTTTTAACAATGCCGTACACCTCTGCTCAACAACGAAACATGTGAGTTATATATCATGCATGGAAACCGCTGTTTGATTAATTACGCTATCCCGGTGCGAGGCAGGTCGTCGTGCTTATTTTATTTTTTTGAATGTGTCTTTTTTTTCAAATGGCTCTAGAACAAAAAAAAAACCAAGGTGTGGTGCAGTTTGTAGATAGGATCGTTGTGTGTGGTTCGTGTTCGTGCGTAAAGGTTTGCCGTTTATGTAACGTGCGTTCGTTGCGTTCTTTTTACAATCTAATCCGATCGAACCTTCAAGTCGGACAAGTCGACTTGGTTGCCAGTGACAAGACCACGAGGGCTTCCACGTTCAAAAGATCTAACAAAAACATAGAAAAGCCATCCCAGTTAGCACAAACCTGTATTAAAATAATGCAACCTAGTTCGCCACTTACTCTGGGTTTCTCAAACGGTAGATGGGAGCACGCTGAGCATCTTGGGCAATAAGTCTGGATTGAGCCATCAAAACAAAAAACCATGGTTTAGTAACATAAAAAAAAGAACAAAAAAGGTATGATCCACCAATAATCATAACAACACAACGTGTTATTTGAGCGTTATACGCGCGTAATTTACCTATATTCTGCCAACTTGGATGCTTCATCGAGTTTCTGCTGGTTCAACTTGTCCATATCGTCCGACGACTCCATATGGTATTCAATCCACTTGGTGAAGGGATGCTTCTCCTATACGACATATCAGAACACTCCGAGCTTAGTTTTCAAATTCACAGTTTGATTGGAAGTATTATTTCTAAATCGTTTAATTTCGTACCTCGCCCGAGTTGGTCAAGTGTTGATCGATGCGATAGACAGCAACACCAGCAATGATAGCAATCGCTGCATTTCTCCAGACATTACCGTTGAATGCTAATTTTTTATATTGTTTATATATGAGTTGCACAAAGTCGTGTTGCTGGTGGATTTCTGGAGGTCAAGTTAATTATAATAGGAAACTCACTCTCATCGGCAAACTTGGGGCTGGCATCCTTGGCTTCGGATGCGTAATTACGGCGAGCAATTTGACGAGTCAAAGGTGCGCGCACCAGGCGAGTCGTAGAAAGGAAGCGAGAGGCCATGGTGTGGTTATAGGGTCTTTTTGTTCGTATGGTATTGGTATTTGCAGACCGAGACTTTTTGTCTGCACTTGAAGCCCACACCCAGCCCGTTTGCCCTAAACAAATTTGACGTCACAACTTTTTTTTTGTTGCCCAGCAACTTTCGCTTATCACAGTGTGCTTTTTTGATTAGCCTTTTCTCTCTTTCTTTCATAACGAACCCTCCACACCCCACAATGATGAAACGATGGCAAAAATAGCGGTAATATTATGATTGTGGTGGTAATTGTCTCAATGATTATATTCATTGCGATAGCCACCGCTCTGAGCACCATAAACAGTACGATTACTTGTGATTGCCTCCACAACCCAGCCTGTATAGTACGATCTAGTGTTATTGCTATATGCAACAAAGTCACTGAAGCATTGATTTAGCTTCATCTGTATTATTTGTTCTGAGATATCGGCAATCAAACTTTTACATCATGCTTCTTACAAGTCCCATTAAAACTGATGACGGAAGCTTGATGCAGAAATCTCTGTGTCACAAAACTGCAGGATGCTCTACATAACAAATCCCTCTCGAGCGTAAATATTTGTATGAGAGTTTTATATATAATAGCAGGCGTTTTCTCTCTTTCGTTTTAGATAACATCTTCTTTTTTCAACCTGCAACAATTCTTTGTCTTTTAAAAAGTAAAAGGAGAGATGACCCAGTTTCCGTCTTATGACGAACTTCCGATTGATCCTAAATACCCTCCCAAAACAGCTTGGGGCGTTTGGGGCGTAGATGATAATCTTGGTACACTCAACCATTTGACAGAAGAGCGCGTCCTCAAGGTATATATGCTCATCGAAAAGACAGACAGTGACATTAAAGTATACTGTTGAGAAGACCTCCCTTGTCTACTACTTACTATGATTGTTAAATGATATATACAGGCTTCACAAACGTGTATACGCCGAGGTGCTGTCTTTCCTCTCAACTGGAAACTTGAAGCACCTCAGCCTCCTTTTCATAACCGGTCAGAAATCGACCATCAGATTGTCCGCTGCAGCGCAATGAAGGACAGAATGTTTGACGATATCTACCAGAACTTCAACACGCAATCATCATCACAGTGGGATGGGCTCCGACACTGTTGTCACTGGAAAAGCAAACAATTTTACAACAATGTAAATTTTTCGGATATCGAACCTGGAGCTGACGCCACTGATCGATTGGGTGTGCATCACATGGCGGAACGCGGTATTGCTGGTCGTGCCGTTCTCTTGGATTATGCCCGATGGTGGGCAAAGCAACGAGGACAGGAATTAAACCCGTTCAAGCGATATAATATTACTGTTGACGAACTAGAACGGGTGGCCAAAGACCAAAACGTTATTTTCCAGGAAGGCGATATTTTGATGCTGCGGACAGGACTCACGGTAGCATGCGAAAAGCTGGCGGGCGAACAGTTGTGTCAGCAGCATACACCCAATCCAGAATGCATTGGCGTCAAGGCGTGCGAAGAGACGTATCGCTGGGTTTGGGAGAAGAAGTTTGCGGCGGTGGCATCGGATAACATTGCGTTTGAGGCTGTTCCGTTCTTAGATGATAATGATTCATGTCGTAAGTATAATATAGAGGAAGAAGAAGAAGAGGGTGCCGATTAAATGAATCCAAAATACATTTATATGATTTGCGCGCATACTACTACATCACCGGGAATTTGAAAGAACCTTTTTAATGACATCGGTTATGTCCCACGCTTATTCTACTAGATTCCCAGTTTTTAGGGGGCTTTGGCATGATAATAGGTTAGTCCACTCATCTAACAAGGGTTACTCGGTTGGATGGGAATGAAGGCTTTTGAAATATAGTGAAGCTCATCGCATCATATGTAGGCGAGCTGTTTTACTTGGAAGCTCTCGCGGATGACTCTGCTCGGGATGGCGTATACGAGTACTTCTTTACAAGTGCTCCACTCAACAAGTACCAAGGTGTGGCATCACCCCCAAATGCGATCTGCATAAAGTAAAGTAAAAAAAAATCCCGAAGTTTCGATTAAACCACCCTACTTTTTTTGAGGGATTTACATTCCACTTTTCTTTTCTATTCTTCTTCCTTAATTTCCTGAATAAACCTATCGAATCATGCCATCATACGTTGGAGCTATTGACCAAGGAACGACTTCAACACGCTTCGTCATCTTTGACGATAAGGGCAACATGATCACGTGGCACCAACTTGAATTCGAACAACATTATCCGAAACCAGGGTTTGTTATAAGGCGTTTCTATTGTACGGATATCTTTATGTATCTGGTACTGATGTAATACTGCTCTCATCCTATTATTAAGGTGGATTGAGCATGATCCTGAAGAGCTTTTGGATGTAGTATCACGATGTGCAGAGGAAGCCCTTCGCAAATTTGGGATGATGGGACGTGATCTCAAGGAAATTAAAGGTACTTTTTGTTACTGAAAGAGCTGAACAATATGAAGGGTATCTGCTTAATTCCCTACACGTGTTTAATATCAGCCATCGGTATTACGAATCAACGAGAAACGACTCTGGTATGGGATCGAGAAACCGGAGAGCCACTTTATAATGCCATTGTATGGGGCGACACGCGAACAAAGCACGTCGTCAAGCAGCTCAAGGCCAAGCAATTCGATGTGCAATCCATATGCGGATTACCGATCCATAACTACTTTTCGGCAGTCAAGCTGCACTGGCTGATGAGCAAGGTCAAAGATGTTAAAGAAGCGATAGACAATAAGCGGGCAATGTTTGGAACGGTCGATTCTTGGCTCATTTGGGTATGTACACTGTTTATCTACAATGTAGTTATCACAGAAACTGTTGTTGTCGTACTTTCTCTCTCACACAAAAATCGTACAGAATTTGACGGGAGGTATCCACGTAACAGATACGACAAACGCAAGTCGAACGATGCTTATGAACCTGAAAACACGACAATGGGATAAAGATTTGTTAAAGTAAAAGCTTTGCTCCCTACCTCCCCCACCCAAAAGTCCCTGAGATTGAAAAGAAATTGATGTCATGATTACATTTTTAGCTTCTTTGAAATACCAGAACACATCCTGCCAAAAATCGTATCTTCGTCGGAACACTACGGTGACATCGTGAGCGGACCCTTAGAAGACATGCCTTTGATGGGATGTCTTGGCGATCAGCAAGCGGCATTTGTAGGGCAAAAATGTTTCTCGGTCGGGGAGGCGAAAAACACCTATGGTACAGGCGCATTCATGTTGCTGAATGTTGGATCAGAACCTGCTTTTTCCAAAAGCGGGTTATTAGCGACGGTTGGATATCAGTTTGGCGATCGCGTTGCGTATGCACTTGAAGGATCTATTAGTGTTGCTGGCGCTGCTGTCAGCTGGCTCAGAGATAATCTCGGTATTATTAAGCATGCCCGTGAAGTGGACGAACTTGCATCCAAAGGTAAGTTGTTGTTGTTATTAGCGAAGCGTGTATGACTAATCAATGGCCTTCTCCATTTAATACAGTTGAGGATACCGGTGGCGTCATGTTTGTAACGGCATTTTCGGGTTTATTTGCTCCGTATTGGCGTGACGATGCCCGTGGAACATTGGTGGGATTGACTCAATATACCAACAAATGTCATATCGCACGAGCAACATTGGAAGCCGTATGTTATTCCACACGAGCAATTTTGGATGCCATGAAGGAAGACGGTGATGTAACGCTCAAGATCTTGAGAGCAGATGGCGGTATGTCCAGTTCCGACATCTGCATGCAGACGCAGGCCAATACATTGGGCATCCCTGTTGGTAAGGTTCAATTACGTAATCTTTACCCCGCCTCCCTCCCCATATAGATGATGAAAGCTACCATATTTCTCATGATGGCTGTTATTGTTGTTGTTAGAACGACCGGCCATGCGAGAGACAACAGCGTTGGGAGCTGCATTTGCTGCAGGTTTGGCGGTAGGGATATGGAAAGATGTTGAAGAGCTACGAGAACTTCAGGTCGAAGCTGCAACAGTGTTTAATAGCAAGCTGGATGATAAAGGTAAAAGCGGGGAAAATCAAAAGGGAACAGGGTTACGGACGAGTGATTAATTTTGTCCCTGTGTGTATTGTGTTACCAATGGTCTTTTTTATATGTAGGACGGGAGAATTCATTCCATGTATGGGAAGAAGCAGTTCAACGAAGTATGGGCTGGACAGATGTACTTTATGATGAAAACGATTAAAAAACTGGTTCTTTGTTTATTATACGGAAATTAGAGCTCTAAGAAAGAAAGGAAAAAAAAAAGGGGGGGAGGAGAAAAAGAAGCCCGATCAAGCAACGATAATATTAGATTAGAAAAGGAGATGGTGATAGTAAAAGTGGGAAGAAAGGTAGTGTGATGTTGTATTTGCTTTGTTGTTACGTGATGTAGGGGGTAGGTGGGGTTGGTACAAAGTTTTACAGTTGGTATGTAGAAGTTGCGCTAGGTTTTGAGTAAATGGAGTAAGTATGTGTATGTCGTGTGAGAGTGCTAATGCTGTGTGTATAAATGCTTAGTCCTTGCGATCATGGAGTGAGTTGTTGTATGTCCATGCACCCTCATCCAACAGATTTCTGCGCTTCATATCCTGCAACATCTCAACGTTGCGCTTGGTGTATGTGTCGTCCGCAGATTCATCTCGAACAAACTTGAATAACTTGGGAGCCCACACTTCACCCTTTTCGGCCCGTTCTTTGCGAACACTGCGCTGCCAATCTTCAATCTTTGTTTTTTCAGCATTGGCGACAGAGTAATTTTTCGTCTGCAGAGCTTCGGTGACAGGGCCCCACAAGCGATGCGATTCGATCTGCTGCTGCTCCTCGACTGGTGCAGTGACTCGTTTCGCCATGGGCTCTGCTTCAGCATCGAAAAGCAGCTCCTTGTTCTCGCTGCCCTTCTTGGTGTAATAAGACTTGTGGCTCCATCGTCCCGACAAAGTGTAAACATCTTCGCCATCGCATGTAATCGATCCCTTGATATGGTTGTGTTCGCCACCAAACCAGGGCTTGGGCACGAATTCGATGCGCGTGTTGGTTTTTTTGGACGAGCACGCAATTGTGCATACACCCGCTAGTTCAAGATATGCTGCGCCCGTCAAGAAACCTCTGATCATCAGATCCGGAAAGTCAATCATGTACTGCTCGTCCCATTCCTTAACATACAAGACGGCACGGCCAACTTGCTCAGTCTTAATGCTAGTGCCCTTAAACCGAGATTTCTGGCCACCTAATATATTTGAAGTAGCGTTTAGTATAAAGGAGGATCATGATTTGGTAAGCCAACTAGCTTATTAACTTACTATGTCCATTCAAAGATACACCGCTTTTATCATCTTGAAGATAAAACGCAGAAATTGGAGGATGGTGACACACTATATCAAAGTTTTTTCAATTAATCGATATTATTAGATGAGTTAAAAAACATTGTAGCGTGTTGGGTAAAGATTGATTACCTTGTTCGCAAACACATTCAACATCACCAAGCTTGCAGTGGAACTGCTCACCGAGAATGGGGTTGTAGGGTTTCTTTTCGGTTTTACCGCCTGTACACCGTGATGCATAACTGCCCCAAAGGGTCGACATGAACCAACGTGACACCGCAAGCATACGTTCTAGTGTAGTAAAAATGTATTTAGCTTTAATCACATCACATACCACTTAGAAGACAAACATTCTTTTCTCTTATACCTGCTGGGTCAGAAGCAGAACTAATAGCAGTGAAACTATATCGAAGTATACATAGAAAACATAGATTAGAGAGCGGATATATGATTAGAGTTTTTGTGTGCGACCCCAAAAAAGGGACATGATCGCTATCTCTTTTTATTTTCCACTTTGCACTCACCATGAAGGATGATCGCCCCAATACGAGCTAAAAAGTTTATAAACAAAAGAAAAATAATTAATCATCCGCGTGCTACCGCGCCTGTTCGCGCGCATATGATTATGCAAGATATAAAAATAATAGTACAGAAACAAAACAAGGGCAGAAGACCCAACAGTCTGATAGAGTCAATAGTTTAACTTACCCATACTCGAGTAGCGACAAACCATTCAAGAAAAAAGCAGGACAGGTCAATGACGAGAGATCGCCAGTGAAGCTAATGACCTGCTTTATGAATTCTTTAAACTGTCCGCCTGTGCCCGGCTCGGCGTGCTTGACCGATAAGGTGTCGACATCACTGACACTCGGAGACTTGTCAAGTGAATCTGTAGAAGTGGAACGACCGTTCGAGAAAATGCCCATTGCGAATTTAAGATGGAGCAGAGAGAAGTTTAAAATAAAAGAGGAAAAAAAAACGAGAGAGAGAAAGAGAAGGAAAAAAAAGAAGTTTGGGGGGAGAGCAACAAATTGGGAATGGATTCAAAGGCCGGTCCTGTCTTATGGTTGTTTGTTTGCCCTCGTCGCATCAGGGTCCCCCATGAACAACTGGAGAAGCATGCCTTTATGAAGGCTTTTGTAAGAGCGCGATATAACAATCACCCCCGGAACATTGGGACAATGTACGAATGAACTTGCCCAAACTATACTATTTATACTGTGCGCAACATAGCGTTGTGCTGCTGGCATAATTAGTATTACTCTTCCCCCCATTCTTACAGTATTTATTAGTCTCAATCCTTGATCGCTTTCAATGAATGTTCAAAACTCACTTCATGAAATTACCCAGTCTACAAACTCTTATTTGGTATTGTCCCTAGCACCCCGCTGCCGTTGCTTAAAGCAACGTATTTGTCTCTATGGAGATAACGGGTTTCTGTTGCTAGGTTACGTTCAATAGAAAATTCCACACTAGTCGGTAGAAGTAAACATCATTTCTCTGCATTATCCGTTCCAAACCAAAGCAATAAGAGTGAGAAATCGTAAAGTGCATGGATACAGAATGCTCTCGTTAATTATCTGGGGAGGTTTAACATAACGTCTTGCTTTTTCTTTCGATTTGGCCCAGCAACGGAAACTTCGGTCAGCAACGCCGGTAGAAAATCGATAATTAGACTTCAAGAATTCATTCGCCGCGTGTGTGTGCGGACATTTATACTTAGACGCGGATCTCAAACCTGCTGCTTATTAACTGGGTCTAGTACTACATCACTATTACATAGTATGCTCGTAAAGAAACCGTCTACATCATCACCATCTTTTCCATGTATCGGGAGAAAGTTAAAGGAGAGATGAGACAAAGAACGTAAGGAGAGTTGAGACTGCCATCGAAATCTCTCGTCAAGATCCCTGTCTCACTCCCTCCTCTATCACACTAAAAAAGGTGTTTGCGGTGGGAGGTCAAGTAAATGGGGGTAAAGAATAAAGGGCTTTGTCGTGGCTGAATTCGCCCCAGATTTTGTCCATCCGGTGCCTGACTCGTCTAGGTCACGTTACTTTCTTGTTGTTTTGACCCAGACTCGTATACGACACACTTTGTTCAGAGAGAGAAAAGGCCAAACATTTGAGTTACGTTGGTGCGGATCAATTTATTAAAGTCTAATATTTTACAACCAGTCGTTCATCCGTTCCTATCAATGTGCAACGTTAAGGCAGAGAGAAAGAGGGGATCACAGCATATACATCAAGGTCTTTTCATATATAAATAAAATGTGTATCATACATGTCGTGTTGGTGTATCCTAATCTGTAGTATACATACCACGAGTATTCCATATGACTTCCTTGTTGGACTGTTTGGTATCATTTATTCGTCGCCATCATCACGCCGCGCACACACACATCCATACACGCGTGCTTCTTTTCTCTATCGCTTCAAAAGGAAGCATTATATATGTTATACAATATTGAAACGAAAAGGGGGGAGCGGTGCCGGGCGAACATAGCAAAGCTAATGGAATTTTTGCTCTAAGGCTCTAATATAATGCTTGGGGAAATGGATGCTCAACATATACGTGTGATGGCTATGGATAATAATGCAGTAAGTACAACATTATTTCTACGCTTACAAAGAATTTAGCTCACTTACGTTTCTAACTCAATTTTGCCCGTTGTTAGATCGACGCGGACGGGCTCATGGTGCGTCCGGCTGTCGAATGACACATGATAGCCTCGTTCGGATAATACATCCATCACAATATCGACAAAGTGGCCGTCACTTAGCAACGAGTCCTCTCTAGACAAAAAAAAAACATGCATATCAGTAACTTCACGTACCCAGTATAATATTCTTTAAAGTAACGCACGTGCGGATCATGGCATGGCCACTGATTGAGTGTCGGTTGACTTGTGGAATGATATGGTCATCAATAAACTGGATAGCGCTCTGCAACCTAACCGGTTCAATTTCTTGGTAATGCTCTAAACGGCTGATCAATTCCTACAATTGGAAATGTCAATGACTTAAATATCTACATTTTATGGGTATCCAGTTTCCATTGCACCGTACTAACTTGACGAGCATGCACACCAATGGCAGTGGCAAGTGGGATATGCGAGATGGCATCATAGGTATCCGATTCCAGTTCAAGTGAGGACTGGTACTCGAACTCGTGAAGAATGATCTCCATCACCTCTTTAATACGGCCTGTGGCATTGATTAAATCTAAAAAATGATACAATGTGTTATAATATGAATAAGGGGTTCACTATCTGCAACTTGACTTTTCTCTGTTTTCACTTACGAAAGGGGAACATTTTAGATAACTTTAGCAACGAGCCATAGTGGGCTTTGAAAATCGAGTATCGATTGCGGATCACCTATCACACAATACGTGGGAATTCAATAATGCTTTTCTTTTTGTCACAGCTACTTTGATTAAACGAGCACATACCATTTCATCGTTGTCCGTCACACGTTCTTCCCACACCACGCCTTGACCTGTCTTTTTCACTTCTAAATTATGATCGCGGATCATCTTTCCACGTGCCAACTGTCGCTGCACCGAGATATCCTCATCCACATATAACACACAAATACGGAACACTGGGCGTCTAAATATACAAGTCCAAGGGTGAAGGGGTTAGGAGGCCAATCAGTTCGATCCATACACCTGTCAGCAAAACTAAAGCTAACCGCATAGCAGCCAACGAATTTCTGTTTAATACTTACGGAAATTGATCGCGACGATCTGTATTGTAAAACTCTCTTCTCAGCTCGGCCATCTTTTCATGCAGCATCTTTAACGCCTCGACCTGGATATCTGTCCGAGGAAACCCATCCACCAAGACGCCAACGGATGGATCGCAATCTAACATGGCATGCAGTATCAGCTCGATCACATACCGATCCGAGATCATCTGACCCTGGTTGATTAACTCTTTGCACTCGGGCGTCTGTAGCAACTGCGATACTGAAATCGGCGGATTGGTGATGCCACGAGCACGTAGTATAGATGGTGTGTGGGTGCCTTTACCCGATCTATTACAGTTGGAAATTATCATTATAAAAAGCAGTGTGTGTGTCCCACAGTTTAGTGAGCTGACAATAACGACGGTGCCTGATTACTAGCTTCCTTCCATTCCCTTTTATCTCTTATTTCTTTAACAAAAAAACGTTACCCAGGCGCACCCATCAAGAAAATAAACTCTCGAGGTAAATGAATGTTTTCTCGGCCATAGTGGTCTTCAATATTTTTCCATGCTTGGTTGAATATCAGTTTCGCATCCTTAATTTCGCTTGCTCTGGAATATTTGGGATTGAAAAGCCAGGATAATGTGTCAGTCGCTTGTTTATTGTTTTCTTTTCGTTCTCCAACAACACCCCTTCCCCTGGTGCGTCACCTTGTCTCCTGAGACTCGTCGGCAGGCCCACTGCTCACTCTAGACGCAGCGCTTGCTGCAGTAGCGTCTTTTCACTTTTCATGTCAGTCCAATCAAAGCTTTGAAATGCAAGTAAAAGAGAAAGAGTTTGTGCATCGTTGGTGTGCATGCTTACTCGATTGTTGAGGTGGCAAGTACCGCGGAGTTGACGGAACGGTATACGTTCGTGCAAGGCGAGACACCGTCTGTGAAGGTGTAGGTATTGTCAGTCTTGAACGTAAAAGGGTAGAATAGCGCAAGGCGATGCAAAATGGTCTAGCAACTGTAGTCATGATGAGCCAAGGGACATGTATAACGCACGAGGGTTAGAACGGGAAGAAAAAGATAGGTGCTGCAGGGCTTAGAATGCGGGGTCGACAATCAAGCATCTGTCGTCGGGGTAGAAAATCAGAAGTATTAATGATATACTTGCATAAGTGGAATGGTCGGTAATAACTGAGTGACATCAGTGCTGCATTTGATGCTTTTGACTATATTTAGCTGTGCGCTGCCAGCGATTTCTGTTGTTTTTCTCTACGAAAACTCATAGGTTCTTCAATGTAATACGTAGCGATAGGATACACACTCGCCAGCCGCATTATAATGAGCTTCCTCAACAATAAAGCGCTGAATGAGTGGTATTACCAATTGATGGACCCTTTCAATGATTATATTAGTTTGATCAGCATCTGATAGGTATATACACCGAGAGAGAAACGGCGTTGAGAAACATTAAGCTCTGCTGTAACCTTCTTTTGACATTTTTTATTTTTCTCCAGTGTTCAACCACGGTCCCATGCCCATAGACTGCATATGACGGCATATGTAAAACGCCGTCTGTGCCACATCAAGCATAAAAATAACAACGTATACATCTTTCTATAACCTTTGCGAGCAAGTTTTTTAAACAATTGGTGATGCTTATGTAGATGATTTTGTATATTCTCAAAAATAGTTAATACACAATATTACTACTACCACAAACTCTGCAAACATGTCAATGAAAAAAAAACACTTCTAATACATGCAAAAACATACATAATTTAAGCGCACCAGATCCGCTGGTGATTACCGTTTTTATAAACAAACATCCGTCATGATACCCGGATAGTTAGTATGGTCCAAAGCGCCCCGCAGCTATCAGTCTTGATGCCGTTGTTGGGGCAAACCTCTGCACGTATTATAAACAGGTGGTCAGTAATTATAAGTTGACTATAATAAAATTGAAGCTACTTTTATATACTCACGAACGGTTTCATCTTCCTTGGCCCAGAAATCCTCGCCGGCATGCAACAAATTGAAAACACTTGGAGGAAGATGCGGAACAACTGATAGTACCATTTATAAGTGACAAGTATCGTAGCATAAATTTAGACAGTAGTACGTATGTAGTTTATAGAAGGCTTACTGTCACGCTTGCTAACAATGCGCTCATACGAGAAATTGGTGCTCAAAACATAATCAACAAATGCAGGATCACCAACGCGAGGTTGTCCTATATCGTTAGCAAAGATTAGTTTTATTTTTTGGGGCGAAAATATAACAAAACTGACATTACCTTGAGTATAAAGTACCATATTGTCTACGCCGTTGCGACAAGCATTTGTATTCAAGAGATCCAATGCACACAGCAAAACTGGTGCACCACCAAGGGAATGTCTTCTTTGAATTTTCGTTCAAATGTGCCCGTTGAGTACCTCACTTTAAAAATTGTAGCATTTTTCTGCAATGTGGGAACATACCCAGTGGTGGCAACTTTGTAATCCGGGTACTTGTCTACTTGCTCATCTACTGTACACTAGAACTTGCAAGAGATCATCTCTAACAGCATCATAGCTTGCGAGAGATCCTGTTAAGTTTCCAGGTTAATATAGCATCGTCACTACTGACCTTGTGGTGTACAGAACGAAGCAACGTACCTTGATGGATCTGTGCTCCTTCAGCAATGGGATAATCGACTGCATTGAATACAAAATCCTATAGACACATGTAATCAAACAGTACCAGTTTCGTTGGACGACGCTGAGGTCAGAAACTGCTAACAGTGTGATCCCAGCAAGCTTAACATTATACATACAACAATAAAGTTTCGAATGGAGCTCAATCCTATTTGACAGTGTAACGGTACGTATGGATCAGTTAGCATAGATATTATAGCGAAGAGAGGTTTAATTACTACAGCAAGAAATACTGCTTACCTCTAAAAACAATACAGATACAGTAGTCTTTTGAGCTTCACCAATTAAAATAATTGCATTAGTATCTGTGATTAAGGCTGTGAAAGTCTTCACAAATGAGAGACTAGTTTTTGGCAAGTAAAAGATCCTCCTGGCATAACTGCTCTGCAGTATATTGAAGCAGACAACTTGATATAAAAGATAAGCTCATTTATTTCGGCTTGAGATGCTATGCACACACTGCCCCCGCTTGCACTGGATGTCAAAGCCTCTGCATCGCTGCTTGAATATTCTGTTGAGTTATTAGCCATGTCATTCTTCTGTTCTTCACCAGCCCGTGGTTCTCCGCTCTGGGCCATTAGGTTTGCTTCTGGGTCAGTACTAGCAACTTGCCGATTGCCATAATGATGATGCACCATTTCTACTGGATGCGCTGCAACCCGTTGCAACAAAGATGCGATTGCCATTAGCGTAATATTGAATGAGTATCAGTACTTGTACAGTAAAAGATGGCGACAGCTTCATTTTATTTGCTCCTGGAGCTAAGGAGCACTGCCATGTGGAGTTATATTCCCGCCTCTTCAATTATTCAATTGCTCAAGCTTATACTGTATGTCACTATGACTACGTGTTCACATAGGAAAATATGTACCGTTTTGTCGAGTGTAGCCTTCTTACAAAATTTAGTTCCGTTTTCCACGCTGCATAGAATATTCTCTTCGTGGGGAGAGAAAGAAGATCATATTTTACGTATCGACAAGGTTAAAACGTATTATTCTCTCAGCAACAACTAGCGTAATGACATTATATGTAAACTTTTTTCCGCTGTACACTGCTAAATCCTGCGACGGCTATGTATGTGTCAAAGTCAAACAAGATAGCTGGGCTGGCTTCTTGTTGGTTAGTACAGTGCATATACAGAAATTATAGATTTGAAATTGTTTCTAAATTCGTATCTAATAGCTATTCGCACTACTTACTCTTGTCTATAGTAGCAGTAGCTACACCTTTCTATATGTAACTAGTAGCAAATTAATACATACGAAACAGCATGCTTTCATTCGGCACAAGTTGCGACATAATAGATATCAAACCTTTTGCAAAAGGCATATACACAAATGTTCAGGGCAATATTTCAGCTGTTGGGGAAAAAATTCAAAAAAAAAGGCAACGATAGGTAAAAACGGCGTCTTCTTCAGTATACGGTATATACTATTATTTTATATGTAATACATCGCTTCATCCTAAAACTGCCAATGATCTTTAAATAAAACTACTGTGGATAATAAATATACAAAGGTTAATAATACATTAAAAAACAGTACATCAAGTACCAATGACAAAGCTGAATTACACAAATTTTTTGACAGCAACGGTAGTGTAATATATTTGAATGAAGCAAACCAGCTCTGCTGGTGGCTTATACTATGATAAGATCTCATCACTACAGACATAGACCAACGTTTATGTCAAGGTAAGTAAGATGATCCAGCACACTTGTAAACGGAACGATTGAGTTTGAACAGCTATCTGTTTCAATTCCATCGGGGCAAACCTCTAATACACGTAAATTGTTTTCATCATTGTGAGTATCCTATTTTAGTATACTAGGTACTATAATCATATAAAATGGACATGCTCAGAAATTCCTGTTCGGTAAACTTACGGACGCCATCATTGTTGATCCAGAATTCAGAACCGCTGTGGAGGAAGTTCATAAATCCAGGAGGAAGATGCGGAATAACTAACCAAAAAGGAAACAGAAGCCTTGAATACAAGTAGTACAGTACGCACATAGAGCTACTTTGGGAATAGACGAAAGATAATGTAGTACTTACGGTCACGTTTATTGACAAGTCGCTCATAAGAAATTTTAGTGTTTAGAAGGTAATTTGCAAAGGCGGAGTCGCCAACGCGGGGCTGACCTGAAAATGGAAACGAGCATTGGAACATAATTAGAGTCTCGTTTTCAAAAGTCGATCAGAAGCGTTGGGCATATACCTTGAGTATAGAGTTTTAAGTTAACAGGGCTGAACTGCGTTCCGTTTGTGTTAAGCAGATCCAGTGCACACAGCACTGCTTGAGCGCCCCCGAGCGAATGTCTGTGAATTTTTTTTAGTAATGTTCAAAATGAAGTAGGTAAGTTCAATGTTGCTTTACTTGTCTGTTCAATTCTTCACATACCCCGTGATAGCAATTTCATAGTCTGGGTATTGTCCTGCTTGCTCTAGAACAGTCTTTATGAGATCATCGCGGACGGAGTTGTAGCTTTCCAGAAAACCTACAGTCAAATAAGCAGCTGTTGTATATAATTGCTTTGCCTGCTACTATACCAGATCTTGGCGGAAACATCAACACGCACCTTTATGAACCTTGGTTCCCTTAGCAACTGGATAATCAACCGGGAGAAAAACGACGTCCTATTTTGTTGTCATGTAAAATTAACAGCATCAATAAACATCTGTTGATTATGTAGGCTTTATAACACGTATCATTTGTTGAAAAGCATATACGTACAACAACAAAGCTTCGGATCGAGCTTGTTCCTAAAATATTCTGAGTGTAAGTGTAGTGATCACTCGCTTGGTATACAGTAGTACCACATAAAAAGGGATAGAGGTTTTACCTCTAAATGCAACGTAGATAGCCTTCTGAGCGTCACCCCGAAGCACCATTACATTGGTGTCATCGATTAAAGTCGTGAAGGTTTTGATGAGCTGCAGACTTGGATCACAGTGCTTGCAAGTAAAGTCGCCTCCAGGGATTACCGATCTACAATAAGCTGCGGCTGAAAGCTTGGTATAAAAAGTATGGATATCGATCTCTGTATTGGTGGCCTGGCGAACAGCGACATCAGCGCTTGTCGACGAAGATGCTGTCCTGAGTTTAGTGGAGCTCTTTGGAGATAATGCCTCGGCAACGCTACTTGGATACTCTGTAGCATTGAGAGCCATGCCATACTTTTGCTCCAATTCAGATGGAAGCGGTCCATTTGTTATCTTCGCGGCTGCTTCTGGATCATAACTTGTCTCTTCGGCTCGCTTGCTGTTGACCTCTTTAACCACCGGATGGGCTGCAGCCAGCTGCACCAATGCAACTGTAAGGATCAAAAGAGCGCACAATTTCATTTTCAAAGGGGAGGTAATGTATGCGACCTGTATCGCTTTGAGTTAGGATGAAAATGATAGCGCATCTAAACGCCATCCAAATATATCGTATATATACAACTTTTATTTTTTTAAGATACGCTTCCGTTTGATTTTGTTCCTCTGCGAGAGCTCATGCTCGCGGAAATCCAATGCTGAAATAATGTACTACATTGTGCTGGAAAAAAAGTTTGTTATCAAATTAGAAGAGGTAATCTCATGGGGTAAGTAACGTATCAAATAGCATGCCACTAAACCCTAAATGTCGTATGCCGGAATATGACAACGAAATTATATAGAAGCTTTAAATTTGATTAGAGGCAGAACAGAGCCAATCTTTGTGTCAAGAGCAGCGCCTGAATTACCCACAGCGTCACAAGATATTCTTTTTTGAACATCCTACATAGATTTGTAGAAGGTATTCTTGGAGTAGTACAAAGTCTATTTTTGATCCGGACGATACCAAACGAATATTGCGGGGAATCATGCATCTGCATGCACAATCATACTCCAACAACTGCTACTGACATTCTTTCCTCTGTCATTTCTACTTACCCTACTCTAGCAACATTAGGATTTATTTTAATCAACACATATCTACTGCTTATTATGGTTTATACAACAGTAACATCGACACATTTCTATGCAGTAATTCTTTTACATCTTCACCGAAACATTGGTGTCATCCATACTCAAGGATTTGTCCTACCAAATGTTTGTTCAACTTCATGGGAGAACTGTAGTGCAGAGACTTACCAAAAATTAAGATCGCGTATTCCTTTGGGGAAACTCACATGCTGAGAAAAACCTACTCAATATCTCCTCTTTTAATGTTCTGAGTTAATGGCTATTTGTACTTTCTTCAATATAAACGTCCTATAATCCTGTTTTCGATTTTGATAATAATAGACGGCATATGATCGTCTTCTGTTGCTTCCACATTTAACGTTACATAAGCTGATTAAGAGTAGAATGTCATACATGGAACATCCCAACTTTGATGTTTCTGATATAATCACATCGCAACATTGGAGAATATTGTTTTGATTTGTTTGGAATATTGCGCGAGAAAGACCTCTAGAAAGAAAGGCTTGTGAAATATGTGATAATAGCAGTGTACAAACATACAGTAAATAATAAGCGAGGATTCACGTATAGGCTTTGGATGGCCTACCACCGGTATCCGTATGCCCTACAGAGAAAGTAGGCTTTTGGTTACTTACGATATCTGTTCAAAAGATCGGGTACCGTGACAGCAAAACTATGATGTTTCCGGTAAGAACTTCTTTGAATGTCAAAGTGACCCCTCATCATCAGTTATAATCTATGATATGACAATATACAGGTATATCCCATTTTAACCCATTTTAAAAGGAGTATCTGTTACGGGGTTACGAAATTGAACGATAAAGGGTACCATCGACATTCATTTTTATTTTAATTTACTCTGACATACACCTTGCTACCACTCGCTACATACTACAGTCAACCCCGTTAACGTCAACCCCGATAACGTCAACCCCCGACAGCGTCAACAGATTCGCTGGTACCCTTTCAAATTTAGCAGTTAAAGATTTGCCTACGCTCTACCCCCGGTGCTCGTCAACCCTCGATATGGTCAACACTTTTGCTGGTACCCTGAGGGTTGACGTTAACGGGGTTCGATTGTATAGTAACCGTTTTCCAGCCATTTGGAAAGAAGGTAATCACTACAACGCTATCGGCACCTGTTCTATAGTAACCTCTGGTTACCGCTTTTCCCAACTGTAATACACCTCCTGAGAAAACATTTGTTTATATAAAGCATTCTTATGATACATAAACAAATGTCTTCTTGCACTACATGTCAGTACATAATAATGATTTTTAACCGACTGACATGCTGCCAATGCTTGCATTTCTTAGATAGCTGTCAAAGAACACAAAATGATCCAGCAGCAATGCGAATCAAGCAAGTGCGACTGTATGAATGTCCATAGCAACTTTAGATAAAGCGACTTTCTTCTACTAAGTCGAGATCCTTCGCAAGTGTATGCAGTAACATACCAGATAGATTCAATAGTTTCACTGAATCATGATAAAACAGGGTACTGACAAGAAGTTGAATTCAATGCCTGCTGGTCCTCCTCATCTTTTCTATCAGTAATTATAATGAATGTATTCATTGGATTGGCAAAAAGTCGTGCCATGTAAAATACTGTAAGACATGATTCCGGTTTTTGTGGATATGAAAATTGACGTATCATTACGTACGCGATTGCAACAACAACGACGGCTTTAGCCGGGCAGCCTTGACTCACTTTTATGGCAAGCGGAGAAAAGAAAAGGCGATGTTTCGGAGTCGGCAAAAGAATGCTTATATGGTGTGATCAAGAGTGCCCGATATTGTCGTTCTTTTTATTTCTCAAAAATATATTTTCCTTTGTTTGTTATACTACTACTGCTACAGCTAACCATGAGACTCGTCAGCGATAAAGATCAAGAAGACGCAAGCAACTATGCCATGAAGGGCTTTGCCGTTGGTGCAGCACAATGGGCTGGTGTTGGTCTCTTTGCTTCGGCACTCGCATACTCGTTCTTCCCTTGGTACCGACGCACACAAACTGTTAACAAGGTAACGAACTGGCTGGATTTTGTGAGAAGGATGGGGGTAAGAAAGGATAAATGGGCTGACAAAGGGGTCATCGATTGTAGTTCTATATCGTCATGTGTTTTGGCTTGGGTGGTGGTGCTTACAAGTCGGATCGATACATGGTCAACTTTGAGCGACGTGGACGTGCACAGATGCTGGATGAAACCACACGACAGCGATATGAGATTATTTATGGTGGCAAAAAGGACGAGAACTTACCCGCACCAGCAGCAGAGCAGGAGGCAAAGCAATAAATAAAACCCACATATAGACAATATTATACACCGTCTGCTTCTTGAAGAATACCACGCATTTCTGCACGCGTGGTTGGAAGGGTGCGTGGATGGCCAGGGCTTTTTGTCTATGATGTAAAATTGGTGCATGGGCATTTCTTTGAAATGCTTGGTAGTTACAAAAAGTCTCTTACCAAAAACGGAAACTGACTCCGCAAAAACATGCTCCGCAATTTCGAAGCATGTATTATTTCGTTTAGGGTTTAAGGTGTAGGAACTATGCGAGCGAAGCGAGGTGCTCAGGGCAGTACTTAATCTGTTTGAAGTGTCTAGGGCAGCATAGGTGGCAATATGTATTGTAGTACTCATTTAAATGATGCTTGGAGAGGGGAACCTACTAGCAAAAAAATTACCTTTAAAAAACATATACATCTTTTTCTGTATACAGATAGTGATGGTTCGCATAGTGCTTCGTCTACAGTGACCTTGGCTCTGATCTCTAAAAAGGTATGGTAGGATATCATATCGTCTTTTATTGTAGGTTTTACCTGTGATATGTACCAATTAGAACACGCGCACAGATCGTTAATCAATGCTTGAATAACGCTTATTTCTGGGATGATGCTGTCCACCATCGTTTACAGACAACATGCGTGTGCAACAAGCAAGCAACACTATGGATGGATTCATACTGCGTCAATTCGCAGAGTATCTGCTACGCGTGGGAGATGGGCAAGAGACAATGGCACCCGTTATCAATGTTAGAGTACGAGTTCGGGATACTATGAGATTACCTAAATCCAATCTCTACACTTTAACTGATACTGTTAAGGTGATATGCTGTCCGCCCCCCATCATCATCGAGTTTTTGGTTAACCGTCGCCATCCTGACCACTAAGAACAAGGATGTTGTCGAGATCAAAAGTATTCTTTTGGATGAGCAATGTCGTGGTGAGGTCCAAGAAATATTGAGTGCAGACACCATGGGCGATATCGAAGACCAGTCGCTTATGCTATAGAGCATTTAAGCATTATTTACAAGCTTGATTTCCCGACGCTATTACGAGAAGGGATGTTGTGATCGAAATTTACAAAATACCATTCACCGTTTTTCCTCCTTGAATCCTTACGTAAATATAAAAAATGGAAGAAATAATGATGAGCCGCGACGAGAATTATAAGTGACATTTTAACAATCAACTGAGGAATTTACTGAGGGAAAGAAACATAGCCTCTAACATACATTAAATACTTATTTGCGATACTACCACCAACATGGATAGTTTAGTGAGGGTCCGCAAGGTCGAGCTTGTGATGATTGAGATGAAGCGCACTTAGGTCTCAGTGTTGGTTGGCGTAGCGATTTATGAGTGTTTGTCGAGAAGCGGTCATTTACATATGCCAGAGCTCTCAAGTGGCGCTTTGATGATTCGTTCAACCATTCTGATCATAATATGAGCTGGTACCAGCTGTCGTATATTATGATTTGTGGGCTTTGACTCGTATAAATAAGCTTTTCATCTCAACTTAGTTATGATAGTTCTTTTTTCGTCTCTTTCTTCACTTCCTTCTCTTGACTATACGACACATCACCAGCATGATACTAACTCGGAATGTTTAGTTGGAAAGATAGTTCTACACTTTAGCTATCTACTTTTCAATAATCTACAAAATAGACACCAAAAATGACATTTGAATTAGGTAAATCAAAGTGACGATAACCTACTATGTACTGTACATTGTACACGCATGCAACTTGGTACATATCTGCTCTAAAGTACCCCTGATCCTTGGACCCTGAAGTTGAAATACATTCTCCGCGGTTCTGTGAGATACTCTTCTCAAGCAGTAGAAGAAAGTTTGTTGTGACACCATTCAAAACATCGCTTTGGTTTGACCCGGTTTCCCCCACCTCGGGTTATAATAGTGTCTAGCTGGGGGACACAAGAGAACGGGCCATTTTTTATTGCCAAATACTAAAATCTAACGAACAAATGCGCCATAAATGATATATTTCTCTTCTAACTATAGTGCTGCTATTCGGCAGGAATAATTTTGTAGCAATATAATATTAAACCGGTCTAGGATAACATGAATGCATGATCGTTACGGATAAAGGAAATTTTAAGTGGGAGTTTGTCTTTTACAGGTGTGCATTATATATAAATGACATGCCTGTAACGCAGTGTTTAAAACGGCTGTGTAGATACTAAGCTAATGCCACAACAACAAGTGGATACTGATAACGTAGCTAGCTAAATTCGGGACATTTTATCGTCACTGTTGTATGATATCAACTGAAAAAAGCAATCAGTCATATCATCCTCAGCGTCGACATGAGGGTTTTTTTTGCGCACTTACGGTTGAGGCAGTGTTACCATGAGGAGCATTTTGCTATAGCAACAAAGGTGACACTAAAGCAAACTTAAATTTACGATGGGCACGACCATATCTCATATTATACAGTATGTCAGCATTTTGATTCACTTAGTTGGCGCGACAACATTCAGCATATTCATCTAGACTATGATAAGATACTTTTTTTATAAGAAAAAGTGACACTTTTATTAGTTAATCCCTTATGCGAACTGTTATGTAGTAATTTTGTGTTTGGGCCCATATTATGATATCATGAGCAGTGAACTCGTTCTTTTTGGCAGTTTAACCAGATTAGCACCAGATCTGAAAGGGGCCCACATATTCTACTGGAGTTATGTTATGCATCAAATAGTGCTGGACGGCGATGAATGATGTCAATGTACGGTGATGCTAGGTACTATAAAATACAAACAGGGATGTAAACAGCACCCATGCTGTGAGGAAAACAATAAGAAAGGTTTCCAACTCCAGGGGATGGGAATTTAAAAAATGTTTTTGATCATCTCCTCCTCACTGCAGTTTCGTTTTTCCGAAACGACGGTGAGTAGGTGAAACAAACTATTCTAACGACAAAAAAAGGACCGTACTGCCAACCTTGGCAATCTTCTTCTTGTATATTTTTTCACATGGGCTGAAACACAATGATATTTTGTTGATGTGTATGTGTGATCTGTGATGGGTCGCTTTAGCCAAAAGTTTATAAACAGATCAATAAAAATGATAATTCTAACGAGTCAATGCGAAAAAAAGATGGGAGCGATAATAAGGTTCATGGCTACGGCATAACATTTGTTAGTATATCATTATCGCTACGCTGTATTTTATTACTCTATTACACTCGGATCCCTGATATGACAAATGCTATGGTTCTGTGGTTAGTACATTGCAGATACGATGGAAAGTAGTAGGATTCTGATTCCTTCCTGCACACGTGTATGCATGTCATATTGTTAGATACACGCAGCTGGTTGGCAATAGCAATGGGCGTTTGCTATATATCCCTAGATATACACATCGTATGAATAATGTGTACACATAAAAAGGGGACGATGTCCCAAGCAAACGAAAAAAAAAAGGTAGATAGGAACAAGTCGGGCATCATCAATCAATTTTTTTCTTCCATGCCTTGTTTGAATATGATTATACACTGCTACCATCATACCAGACTGTGTTGCTTCAAACGTTGTAACTTTATGCTAAGTAAACGAAACGTTTGCGTTCCAGGTATACGTAAGCACCAAAGAAAAGTCTATGCGGGTCGCTTTAAACCTCCAATAGCACGCAGAAAGAGAACATTTTTATTTATAGATGAGCTTTTTTTTCATTACTTGCTATTCTATCCAAGGTCATGTCGTAAGGTTTAATGTGCGTCGGCTAACCTTTTTTTCTTTTTTGTCACAAACCTATGGAGGAATATAGCATGAAGTGACCGAAAGTATACATTCGCAACTCGATTGTATGCGAAAGAAAACGATACCAGGTCATGTAACTTCATCTGTGCTGCTACGTTGGACTACGTCAGACGAGGCTGGAAAAAGTACGGTGTATACTGGTGAAGCCACGCAGGCGTTGGAGATTGCCGATGATAACACAGTTTCGACGCGTCGTGCAAATATACCGACAGGGATCGACGTGTAAAAAAGAATATAGCTGTCTCTCATCCCACAACAAACCTCCCTCAATTAACATTTCAGTTTAAATGAGGGGCATTTACTATCGTAAGCACAAGGGATTAGTAATAATACAAAGAGAGAGCAGAGCCCTGCTCAATGTAAGTAAACAATCAAGCGACAAAAACAAAAAAATGATCTGCATGTACGTATGTAAAGGGGGTTGATGAGAAAGAATCACCATCAGTTATTTAGAACTGCTACTAAGTAAAACACATCATACTTGGACTTACTAAAGAAATTGGCGACTTTTTTTTACTTCCGTTTGCAAGGGATAATAATAATTTCCGGGTGCAATAATTCAACTAGGATTTACAAATCATTATGTAGTATCTATGATATACACAAAATGCGTTCATATAAGAAAAAAATAAGGTGAGAGATCAAGGGGAAATAGGGAGCGATGGGTGGGGGCCAGAGAAGATCAAAGAATAGTATAAACGAAAAATAAAGGGGACTAAGGGGGCGGGTGGAGGGGAGAGTTGTATGTGCGCGCGCAATTCGTGGTACAATATGTTAGCCCATGCCTCGCTTCTTCTTCTTCCGGCCGGGATGTGGTGCGCCTTCCACCATACGCCGTACAAGCATAAAGACGCCTTCAGACGATACAACAATATCTGAAGTACACACACGCGTAGCCCAAGAAGAAATAAGCATTGTTTTAGTATAAAAGACGCGGTGATGATTAACCACAACGCCGACGTTATACTCTCGCGCCCGTACCGCGATGGTGATAATGGAACAAGACACTTACTTTGATTCATATCGGCCATACAGTAACCACCTAGATTCGCTTGCCAAAAGTAAAAATCCTCAATGGTCTTGCCATTCTGAAAGGCGTTCTCAAGATCGCGTTGATGTTTTAGTGCAAGCGGATGGAAGTCCTGCTCGCGTAACACGCCCCATTCCGGGTGGTATTGCTTTGTAGGGTCCTGCACATCAGAATCGGTCTTGACCTGCGCTTGCATGCCTGATGTGCTACTAGCGCCTGTGGTGCTTGAAGGCTGTGGTGCTGCAACGGCTGACGCGCCAGCAGAAGACGTTATCACCGGAGGTATTGCTCCTGGTGCTCCTGCTGCCGATGATGGAGGTAGAGGTAGAGATAGAGCTGTTGCTGGTGCTCCTGGCACGGGAGGAGGAGGTTGAGACATAGCTTGGCCATAGCTCATGTCCGCACCAACCAGGCCACTACCCGTCGACGGTGGCCATGGCAGAGGCGTGCCTAGATAGGATTGCTGCTGCTGCTGTTGTTGTTGCTGTAAGTCTTGTGGAGGGTATGCTTGTTGCTGTTGTTGTGGTGGCGGTTGGTGATGATGCTGTTGTTGTTGTTGTTGTTGTTGCTCCTGATACGGTTGGGTGTAGTTATATGGATGCTGAGCGTGTCGATCAAATGTCATTGTCTATACAACGGACAAATCAAGCAAGCAGAAGCATTGTCATGCGGACACCGGTAAGTTGGGCTATAAAGAGAGGAAAGAGGAAAGGAAAAAGAAAAGGGAAGAGAAGAGAAGAAGAGGAAGAAAAGGCGTTTTTTTGCGCAAGACGAGCAAATAAAAACGTAGCGCAAACGATATCATTATCACAATGGGGAATCCCCAAAAAAGCACACAAGACACGAAAACAACAACAACAGCAGCAGCAACAGCAAGTGTTTACACGCTCACGACCCCCGCAGATTTTATTGGATGCACCATCGAAGCTCATACCACGTCGTCGGCTGACCTCGATCGCGCAAAAAGCTGTCATCTCGTTACTTTAGCAGATGTACATCAACAACAACAACAAACCCAAATGTGTCGTTCCCGGCTGTGTTCGTTTTCTCCAACCCCCCAAACAAAAAGTCATACATTGACTAAACACTAGCTACTAACTTGTCTAGAATAGAAGAATGAACTCGCGACACACCATCAATGCGTCAAAAAGTGCACTATATTGAGTTGTTCGTAGTCGCCTAACCAGATGCTGCATACAATGCGAAACAGCAAAAAGAGCGCCCAGCCACCACAGCTAGCCCATATGAGTACTTGCACCAACATTTGATGCTTCGACTCTTTCAGCATATCGTGCCTTTGTCGTTGCCGCCGTCGTGCGTCGTCATGATCCGCCATCATCATGGTGTCTTTTGTATAGTTTCTGACGCTGTTATCGACGTGCCGAACGCCTTTTCGCCTTCGTCGTAAATGTCCTGCCCAGTCGGAATTCCGAGAGCTAGATCTTTCCATGAAAGATTGATCGTAATCGTAATCGTAATCGTCGCCGTCTGCCAAGGATCTTCTTTTGTCACTATCGCGGTTTCTATTACTGGATTCGGTTGTCGTCGAAGATGACAGATATGGTAGGACGCCTCGATGTTCTGAATGTCGTTTTGGAGTAGCACTAGATTCAAATGCAATAGGTAATTGTCGTCGTTGTCGTGATGAGGGTCGTTTACCAATCTCCATTCTTGTTGCCAATAGTAGTGGTTTGGGTATATAGTTGTGAGGGACTAAAAAGACAAAACTATCTTGGAGTCTCCTTTCAATCTTTGAAGAGTCGGCCAAGTCGGAACTTTTTTCTTTTAATCAGTCGTAACAAGTTTCTGACTGTACCCTTCAGGAACATAAGCAAAGCACTCATCAGATCTGTAAGAGCATTTTTCTCTCCTGGCCCTGAAGGCTCGTCACTCTCTTTATCCTTTTGCTCCTGCATGGAAAGAAGCATTGTCGTATTGTGTGCTAGTATAACATATAACATCTCCCTCTTCTTTGATGCACAAGATTCGGCGTCGATGCATGCAAGTGAAAGCGACAACGCACGGCTATGAGGCTTCAAATCATGAGATGATAAACACAAAGGTCTGACATGTATACATTTTTCTCCCTGACCTACTAGATTTCATGCAAGTAGAGAATAATACTAATTGCAGCAATAATAAAGGTAATCTTAGAACGATCTGGACTCCCCAAAAATACGTCTAATCTTTGCTTTGCTGCAGACGCATTTTCAACTTTCTTTTAATGGGATACGAGTGCAATTACACACCTTAAAATGGGAGGAAAAGAAGGGCTTTGTTCTCTCTTTGCCATTCCCCTGACTCTTTGCTTCTCGACAAGTTAAATGATCATCGCATTGCAGAAACAGCAATAGTAGTCATTACTATTACCACTAGGTGCTCGTTTTCTCAAGTGCAAGCATACGCTAGTGACAGATCTGCTTGAACGGTAGTAGAGAGTAGTTCTACAGTACAGGGATTTCGGCATACTACAATAGAATAGATATCACCGATACACATTTGTCGATGAAGACGTTGATGATAATAGAATAAAGAACTTTTTATTTTTCTGTTTGTGACAAAGGAAGTAAGAAAGCAAATGAAATCAGAGTACAAAATGAAAGTATGGGATATAGAAGTGTGTTTGTATGCTTAACGTGTTTCTGTTAGAAGGAGAGGGATAAACTTTTAGGAAAAAAAACTATTGTTTTCCGGGCAGCATAATAAGGTTATGTGAAAGAAATGCAAGAAAAAAAAAGAATGCCATATATGTACGTATGATATAATGGAAGAGAATTATTTACAGTAAACAATAAGAGGGAGCTATGCACAACGTAAGAGGAAGAGAATATGATAATAAAAATAATAATAGCTGAAATCAAACCAGGCTTCTCATTGGACTCGGATTATTTGTTGTTGTTTTGGCGTAAAGTAATCTGGACTGACAAGAGTGCTGGAACTTTGCCGTGTTTCGTGTTGAGTGCGGTTGACAGAGAATATAAGAAGAGCATTGACGATAAGTATATAAAGCACTTTTTTGTTCTGTGTTGGTAGTATAGAGTAGTTGTCGTGATTTGCATAACAGACGTGCGTTGCCGGGATAACAACACCTTCTGGTAGATTCATTTCAAGAGCGGGCATGCCAGTCGACCGTGGCCGTATTTACCGCACCAAGTACTAATCAGTTCATAACTGCTTTAATAACGATAGATATACTTCGGCTCGAATTTCGGAAATGCTTAACACAATCTGGAAAT